GCTCAGGCAATTTGATTCTAAAATAGATTTAACTGCATGGCTATTTTGAAGTTAACAGTTCAAGAAACAGATGCAAAAGGTCTTTACTCTTGCTTCTTTTTGGGACGTCTTTCAAAGTGAGGATGAAAGAAATAGCCTAGAATTATCCAAATAATTAATATAACGGCGATAACATACGCAAATTGATTTTCGTCTAAAACCCATTCGTCCATGGTAGGATTTTTAATTTCCTGTTAATAGAAAACATGGTCATTGAAATTTTTAAATAGGTACATAGTATTCTATTTAAGCAAATACTTCATTATTGCAAGGTGGACTAAAAATAGCTTCTACTGGATATTATCGAGCTATAGGAGATTTCTGCTATAGTGATAGCACTGTATCTATTTGAGGGTAATAGAATTTTAATGTATCACGATGTTTAACCCTGTCGGTAGGTGATATACGCGTTAATTAGCAAGTTTTAACATAAGGAAATACAGGTCTGTGATACATGTATTCATTTAGAATCGTCTTCGTGGCTGATAACATCAATAAGAGTCAAAGACTTGAACACTGCTACTAAAGTAATAAAGCGATAACATCGTACATGTACGTGTACATATACCGTATAACAGAAACAACGGTAGTCCTGAATTTCCGATTACTACCTGCAATAGAGTAGACCATCTATGCTACGATATGGTCTTATATCATCATAACTACTGTATATTGTATAGCTTGAAAGGATTCTCTACTAATGATTTTAGTACACATCCTGAATATCCGGTCGTATGATGACGTACTTAATATGAATTATTGAATAATTTTTCTTGTTATAGTGAGCGAAAAGTACGAAATTGCCTGTAATACTAATGTTATAGCACCTAGTGGAAACTGGTGCTTTTTCAAAGGGTCATGGTTAGAAAGAATGAGCGTCACTAGTAGTGCCATGACTGATTTAATCGTAAGCTGTCCATACGTATATTCACCCAATGATGACAAAAGTTTCAGTGTTGGTGTATAGTATAACTGATATTTCGATCTGCAGACTTTACCTGTATATTGTGGTTTACTGCAGATTATGACGTATTAAATCCTATTCATAGAAAAGTTAAGCACATGTATACAGTAATTGATGCATCACTTACGCTAGAGGTAAACGGCCAAATTCAATATGACAACTGGTAATAATCTAAATAATGAAGAAGATTAAGATCAATGATAGACTAAAAAGACACGTTATATCAATGCACAGTAAGATAGCTTTACGAGTATGATTCATTCGTAAGCTACTACTTTACTATAGGTAAGACGACAATATCGATCAACATTTGGGTTGATTGCTAGACTTGATACAATCTAATATGTGCGGTGCAGATGAGTATGCGGGAGTTGGTTAGTGAGTGAATAAATTTGTGAAATTATACATACTATAATACACATGCTGAACAAGTACCTGTTCGTCAACTAAACTACGCGCATTTTCAATCCATCATTGTCATGTTCATCCTTGATCATTAAGTATGATATTCATGGAAGATTTACAGCACGATGTTGTACAACAGACTACCATAAGATGATCAGATTTCCGTTCGTTTAACGTCAAAATGAGTAGAGCACTAGTGCTACTAAGGATAGATTGATGGCTTTTTATTACATAACTTGTTATGATTGTTATTACAAGGTTAGGTAGAATGTTGTATTCCATCGATAGTGCAGTGACTGTGTGATGAAGGAGATAGAGGGAGTGTCGTGGTAAATCACGGAATCTAGAGATGATGCCATGGCGAAAAGCTCCATAGTATCCAGACACTATAGTGTATCAGTTGAATCCTTATCGAATACAATATTGGTATCATCGTGTAGCTTTAACGATTTCTTGATGACAAGGGCAGCTAGCAAACTTGTTGCGAGTAGTCATGATGTTCCCATAGGAAATTATTGACACGTCTACTCGACACTACCGTCCAGTATACGCCCATAAGCACGGTGTAGTACAAAAGATATTTTAAATGCTTTGGAGTTGTAGTAAGCAGTGATAACTGAACTTTTAAAGTATTTTGTACAGTTTCAAATTTCGGTTGTACTCCTATTTCGTTGGATAATTCATTCATATGTGTGCGGTATCCAGACTAGTTTGATCGGTTCAAGGGATGGCTAAAACTAGCTGGCGAGAAAGATGCCAAAAGAGACATTTCACAGTACAACGTATACTGATACTTGGGCTAAAGTATTGACTCTAGCTCATATTTATCTTCATCTACTTTCTATCCGTAGACATCAATTATGTCCTCTGTATGGAAAAGAGCAATAACAAGTTAAGTTTACCTTTCCTTTCCTAGGTATTCTTGTAAACCAACTGCAAATCAAGCTACTGATGCTAAGTATAGTTGGAAGAAGCGGATGAGAACTCGAGATTGGTGGGTCGGTCCGTCTGTTAGTCCCGAGCTCGCTCGTTACCGCAGCGTACAGTACAGTACTGTACAGTACAGTGTACAGTACAGTACAGTACAGTACAGTACAGTACTGTACTGTACAGTACAGTAATGTGGCAGTATGAGAAAAATCGCGAATCTTTTACTATATTGTACTGTAGGCGAACATACTGTACTGTACGCTTACTGTACCGTACCATACCGCACCGTAAATGTACAGTAAAATGCCACCTGTCTATCAGTCGAAGTGTCGGCGCAATCGCACCTTGGACTGCCAAAATGGACAAGGCTGTTTCTCGTAGTCCATGATTGCAATCCAAATCAGCAGCAGGAAAATAGCTGAATAAATGCATTGATATTAGCCCATCGATGGTCTCTACTTGCCCACCTGCCTGTAAGATGATGACTGCAAGGTTAAGGCATTACAAGTCCTTGGTTAGAGGTGCTGATTTAGGCAAATGCAATGCACTAATGGATAGTACAGCCTGGGACTTGTGAGACAAATACTAAAAGTCCCTGGTACAACCATGTGCCTCCAGAGACGGCAACATCATCAGAGACTTTGAAGGAAATTCTTTCTATTCTATCAATCAATTCGGATCCACATCAATATATGACTCCCGTACATTATATGACATATAAAATCTACTGTATCAATATCAAGTAGCGAAACCCATGGAAATTCCACGCAATATAGTACTAATTCAGTTAATAATTATGAAAGTGTATACTAACAGCGTGACACATATACATTGTACATACAACCGCATTGAAGATCATTTGATGATAGACGACTTTCCCATATTCCATAGAAATACGAATCTACTGGACTGTATTTATATATACATGTAATGTAGGGGAGTCGTATAGGACAGTATATAGATTGTTAAAGTCCCTCTTCTAGTTGTCTACAGTTTCATGTCGATTCTAGTGCTAGTCCTGCAACACAGATCGGATTTCTATAGTCAAATCGCCTGTAGATTTTCATATCTAAAAAGATTAAACTCTCTAGTTGACCATTTGACTACTTATTGTGATATATAGCTTGTAGGATCAAGTCCATTTCACAAACTAGATCAATTATTCAGCTTAGTCACTCTTTCTTTAGTTCTACTGACTATTCCATACTACTGCCCAATTGACTTATTCAAGAAAGAAAGGATATGTCAATTTAGATAGCGATAATAACATGTTGCCACTGCATCAGCGTAGAGGTGGTGGTATGTCATAGGGCTCATCATCAAGAGCTAGTGAGATTTAAAATGGCACATTGCGGGTGTGTAACTAAGCATACATTGAATAGGTATTTTCTACAATCAATGAGTGACTATGGTAGCCATTGCAAATGAGGATCAGTAATAAAATTGAACGGTAGCGTCAATAATCACAAGAACGAATAAAACAGTGACTAAGCTAAAAAATAGATGCGTATAGCCCGTGAAATAGACTGATCCAGCTTAGATTATAATAATTATTCAGTGCCACCTGAAATTGACTACAGTCTGCCATTATATGACAAAAGGAAAACAAGGTCAATTTTTTCGAGAATTGAATTTTTGACTATACTCGTAATTACTTGGTTAAGCACCGTGGGAACGTAGAATGTCGGTTTGAGCTTAATAAAGTAATTGCAGATACTGACTGATACGATGAAATCTGTCTACTTGTACTATGACCAGTATTAATATGCGTTGAGTGACATATTAGGAATTTGCGCTATCTGAACATCTCAAATTGGAAGTTCGTAGATGGCAAATCTGAGGGATTCAAAATCTATTTCATGACCGAGTGGATAAATCATGGCAAAAATGCTACTGTACAGTGTACACGAGTCTGTATGGCGGACTTTGAAAACCTCTGTAATATTGGCTTACAGTATATCTTTCAGTAGTTCTTGTTGTCACCATAAAGGTAAAAAAGGAAGAAAATTGCATTTTCCCCTCTCTATTGAACTATACAGTATGATAGGCTGATCAGTGCATAACGTATAGAGGTTAAAGGAAATATTTTTTCCCCCTTCATTTCCAAGGTTTAGACGTTTAGATTTCCATACTTGGATTGGGCAGCCAGCGATAGAGGACCGATCATAACCAAAATGACTCAAGTATAGATAGTCAACCATGACTGGCAGGCTTCAACTTGGCCAGTCCCTATTAAAACATACATACGACAACTACCGTCATAAGAAACGCTGTAACCGCCGACTGATATTAGCTATGAGTCAAAGGAAAAAAAATCGCAACATGTAAATTTCAAAAAGCCACAATAAATTCAGGGAATAAATAGTAATCAAAATAAATAAACATTCTAGCCAAGCGTTCATCATAAGGACAATTCCAACTGGCTGCAATGGTTTAATTAATTCCAAAATTTTTTGAAAGTGTACTTTGTACAATTGCTTACAATATCGCTCTTAGGGTGTTAGCCTGCATACACAGACTATGCAACAAGGTCTGCGTCGAATAAATGCATGCGGATATCGCTATATACTGACAGAATTGTTATAAAGTAGATGTTATTTTTACTATGATGAATGCAGTCTTAATTTAGAAAGTTATTTACTATCCTTTGATATCAAGCAAAATGGACACGCAAATGACACAAGTTTGTACTATCTTTAACTATCTCAATAGTAAACGGATTCGCCATTTATGTATTCATGTTTGACGGTATTCATTTTTTCGATTGGTATAAAATAAAATTATTTAGTAAAATCTTGTTCCTTTTTAACTCAATGACAATTCGTTAAGTATCCAATATAGAAATTGTTCTACTCGTATGACCATTCACTGTTAAAGTATACGATCATGATTTTTCCTAAATTAATTTAATTGCACTATATTACGATCCGCGTTAACGAAATGGTCACCATCCTACCTAGAAGTGAGATTTGATGCAGTTCTCTTTTAATAATCGACCGATAACTGCGACGTAGGATTGATTTAAAATTAACTTGTCGTGATTAACTTGTTGATAATTAACCTTTTACTGAATGCACCTTTGGCAGTTCTTGATAGAATCTTGCAACATGTTATATTCTGCAACGAGAAGTACATGATAGTTGGCATGGCTATAATAGATATTGTCCAAGATTAGCTAGAAATAAGAACCACGCTTGAACTACGTTGAATATAATCTTTATCCCTTGACTTTAGGGTGCCCATGTATGGGTCTTTAGTGGTCAAAAATGGCTGCCAGCAACAGTAACACAAGTAGCCGGTGGGATGATAACACTCGAAACCAGCTATGGCGAGGTAAATCTTCTAAAATAGATTATAAAATCACTCAAGCAGTTTACGCGCTTTTACTAATTCAAACAGATATCCATATTCGCCTATTTCGGCATTATAGCATAAAAATGATAGAATATAGAGAAATATTCTATCGTGCTTAAATGATATACGCAAACATATACATATATATATATATTTAGGTATATTATATATCTACGACAGTATATACAGGTATATATATGTACAGGTATAGCTATAAACTGTTGAGAACTACATTGCGTTGAATGATTCATTGGAATCATACTATCTCGCACGTATAAAAAATCAATCCATCCATGGCTTTATTTGCATTTTAATTTCCATCTCCTACGATCCCCGGTAGGAGATGGATGAAATGTCAGTCTCAAGTCTCGTTAACCTATGCATTTATTCCAGCTACACGTTAACTTATATTCACTTTCAATAATATTTTACAAAGTTACGACTGTGTAGGTTAAATACAGTAAAGTTATTGCTATAATATATTCATCCATCATTCTCAATCTATTTCAGAGGAGAACGCGTCTTAACACTGTGAAATTTTATTTTTTACTAGGTTATCACCGAAGCAGTAGTAGATTGCAACCGAAATAAACTCACCCAAATGCATAGTAGTAGCGTTGATGGCGTCGATGATATGGCTACCTTAGGGGATCTCCATGAAGCCTCAATTCTTTATAATTTAAAGATTCGATATATATCGAATCACATCTACGTAAGGAAGAGAGAATAAAGAATGTTTTCTTTAAGATTGTAACTCCATCCAATAGTTTAATATGGAATACTGCCTGCTTACACCGTATAAATTAATTACATATTAATTTTATTAGAAAATGAGTTTTAAACTAGTTGGATAGCGATAAAAGGAAACGATCTTTATCTTTACCGTAGTAATTCAGCTATACGCGTTTACTGTTGAATCTACGGCTATTTCACTTCATTAGAAATGAGTTTTAAGCTAGTTGGATGATGGCAAAAGGAAGCGATCTTTTTCATTTTTCCGTAGTAATTCACCTATGAACTACCATGCTAGTGATACTATTGAGTCTACGGCTACAACATTCCCAATTTTAGTACCATTAAAAATAAACTTCTTCTATTGCAGTAGTATATCTGTTTTGAAGCTTACATAAATCGTAAAACTGAATATTTTCCTTTATATAATAGACATACGTAGGTTCAATCCTTGTTTCAGTCAATCCTTATAAATCTATTCCTGGCCTTTATGCATCCGATCTGATCGGTTTATACCAAAAAATGAGGCTAAGCGATTTACCACCTCATGTTTTTGCAGTTGCTAATGAAATGTACTGCTGCCTTATAGAAAATAGGCGCTCTCAATGCGCTATTGTAAGGTAATGTAGCATTCTTTTTTCTTGTGTTCTTCTTTCTAAATCAAGAAATGACTCATTTCCCCAACGTTATTTTAATCCTGTTTATTTGAAAAGGCCACAGTAAAAGCTAGTTCAAATAATGATAGTAGAGTAAGTTTTATCCTTCATAGAAGTACGAGTGGTTTATTTAGTACCATACTATACTTTTAATTCAGTCAAGCAATGTTAAAAACTTAAAATTAGTTTATAAAATGAACTAAATACATGGAAAATATAATAATGTTGACTTATTTAGTTGCAGAATATGTATAATTATAAAGAATGACATCGCAATTAATTAAAGGACGTTTAGGCACCAACAAATTTATAATCGAACGAGTTTTATGACAGATAGAAGTAGTTCAGTTTGTATTATATTATACATTCGATTCAATTAATCCATACCGTAAATTTAAATTAGTTCAGAAACAAAAACTAGACACGTAGCGAATTCCGGCAATATTAGCTTATTCAGTTATGGAATATGGTAGAATGATACAGATCATGACATCATTGATTAAGGGCGTTTAAGCACTAACAAATTTATGCAGCATAGCTCCAGTAGTTCATGATGCAAGTGTATCAGTTTGATTATTTTGAATGCCTATTTTAAGTGGAGAATCAGGAGCTGGTAAAACCGAGACGACAAAGCATATCCTTAACTATTTGACCTCCATCAGCCATAAAATTCAGGGCGATTCGTCCTTAACAAAAGGCAAAGTGGAACGGGTATTAGTGGAAAGCAGGTTAGCTAAAAAAGATTTCTTCTTTTATCATAACATTAATGCATCTTGTAGTTGTTACAATCGTCATCGTCTCCATTATAAGTAGTGAAGGATAAGCATAGCTATAAAGTAATTTTTGAAATCTATTAATTTTGTGGTATATTAGCAATTCGATATAGTTCAATGGAATCAAATCGTTATCACATGAGTAAACTAAGCTAATAGCATGAATTATCTTATTTAGTCCCATCCTAGAAGCTTTTGGCAACGCTAAAACAGTCCATAACAACAATAGTAGCCGTTTTGGAAAATTTATCCTCATTAATTTTGATGAATCTGGGAGTATTGTTGGTGGAAAAATTACTGATTGTATCCTACTCATTCTGCTATAATAAAATCATTGAAATGTTTCGGTATTCATACAGACTATGCTGGCTTTAGTTATTTCAATCGTAGTTCAGATTAGGATAAGAAAATGTAATTTATCATCATAGGCCAATGTATAGCTTTACCAGTAAAGGATAATTGTACATTATCTATTTATAATTATTGCCATTATGTCCCTTAATCTTTAAAAAAATCATGACAATCTGCAGATTTGTTAGAGAAGGTAAAATTATAGCACTATTGTCGGCAGATTTGCAATTAAAATATTTATAATTAAAAGTGTAAAAACGCTACATTTTATTATAGGAGATACTAATACATTCTATCTTTGCTTACTTTTCATTATTCTTGTTTAACAGAACCGTATTGTTAGACAAAATGCTGGAGAGAGGAACTACCACATCTTTTACAATTTACTTGCCGGTTTAAATGATGACGAAAAACGTAGGTGACACATATTTGGCAGGATTAGCTAATTATACTGTAAATATTGCAGTAAATGCGGCAAGACAGAAGTATCATTTTTATCAATTAAAGTAAGAGTTCTTCGTATTTTGTGGCGTAAAACAAAGCTAATTTGATGTTTAATGAAAATCTATTACAGAGGCTCTCCATTTGAAAGATGCGTCACAATTTCATTATTTAAATCAGAGCGGTTGTATTAAAGATGACACAATTGATGATTTAGAAAGCTACAAGGATGTTATGGTAAGTAAACGCGTATAAAGGGTATTTATTACATGAAAGAGGGAAAAATAGCTAATGAGCAGAGTATTTCCATAAAGAACACCTGATGCACCAATACGCAAATGAGTCATTAGATATTTTTATGAAACGCCATTCATATAGTGGATTTGCAAATATACGTAAAAAGCAATGGCAGTATTTATTTTCCAACATTTATAAGTAATGCATTGCTTTTTAATAATGTCAAGAAAAATAGTGGTAAATATAAGTACGGAATAATATCAAAAATTAATTCTTTATGTCATATAGTCAGCAATGCAGGTAATGTCTTTCAAGGAAGATGAAATCAATGATATTTTACAACTTCTTGCTGGTATTTTACTCATTGGCAATACAACATTTATGACCTCTGGTGGTGCTCAAATTGAAGATGAATCTGGTATAAAAATTAACCTATTCGTCTTTTAGATCAACTAGTATATTTTATTATTTCTAATTGTATTATTTGTAAATGTATTACTGTAATACGGCATAATCCAATGATTAATTATTTTACTTCGTGTAGTGGTATGGCAAGTGGCAGAATTGCTGGGATTAGATCCTTATGAATTTACGATTGCTTTAACTCAAAAACAAATGTATCTACGTGGTGAACAAATTTCTACCCCACTTGATGTTCAACAAGTAAGCTCCCTTACTTCGGCCAATCCATTTGTTTTTTCTGATAAAATGAAACTGTCTTGGAGTCTAATTCTTGTACTGAATTTATATCTATATAACGTACCGTTACTTAAATGAATTGAGAATGTATATTATATTGATTTCTCTGCGAAATTTATTTGGCCATTTAATGGAAATTATTCGAAATTCGTATACGAAAGTAGTTTAATATAGATTAAACTGTTTAATTAGGCTGAAGATTCTAGAGATTCTATGGCAATGTCGATCTATCGGCACTGCTTTCGTTATATCATCTCGCGAATTAATTCTAGAATAGTCTCTGAAGGTGATCATAAATCTATCGGTGTACTGGACATCTTTGGCTTTGAAAATTTTAAAGTAAGATATCCTTTCTGATGTCATACAGTTATTTTCAATTAGAGTACAACAGCTTTAAAATATATATATTCTTTCTATAGATTTTTAAGTCGCGTATCTAACTTAACTTAACTCGCTTAATTTTCAATATTGATGAAATAAAGTTATTTTTAATTAAGTTACAGCAATTTTAAAATATACGCAATACATATCTATACTTTCTTTTAATAGATTTTTAAAACACCTTATCTAACATGAACTTTGCTTACATAATTTTTCTTATAAATATATGATAAAGTAATTTTCAATTAAGCTATAATAATTTTAAAGTATAAGTATAATACATCTATGCTTTCTTTTAGAGGGTTTTTTAAAACGTGTAATCTTACATGAACTTTATTCACTAAGTTTTCAATATAACTACGTTTAGGTGAATCGATTCGAACAATTCAATATAAACTATGCAAACGAAAAATTACAGAGTTTTTTCAACAAGCATATCTTTTCCCTTGAACAGTATGAATACAATCGGTAAGGATTGACAAATAGTTTACTAATGGCAATATAAAGAAAATTTAAAGGTCCTACTTCAATGACTAATAAATATCTATTTTATTATTTATTAGGGAAGGTATTGAATGGTCAGATATCAACTGGATTGACAATAGCGAATGTTTGGATTTGATTGAAAGAGTTAGAATTTCACTTTATAATTATTTGATAAATTAAGCTTCTAAGCGTAATTTTCGTTAGTAGCACTAAATAAGTATCCTTGATGAATCGATAGAACGTGCAGTATAATTTAACTAATAATCGTATTTAAAGATCTACGTTTCCCCACATAAAAGTATTATAATACTGCTATACGCATCTAGAAAATGGGAATCATTGCCTTAATTGATGAGGAAAGTCGTTTCCCCAAAGGAACTGATGAAACACTGCTAAGCAAACTTTATTCTACTCATTCTGTAAATAATTGATCCATAGCTCATGTTTTTTTCCAGGCGAATGTAGATATGATACAATTGATTGAAATTTTATCTCTATGACACCTTTTTCTACTGTAGGGAAATCGCTATTTCATCAAACCCAAGGTCAATCAAGCCAAGTTTGGAGTGAAGCATTATGCAGGAGATGTAAGTAACATGTATTAACTCTTGCTCAAGGTTATTTTGAACGACAGCTTGAATGAATACAGTATTTACAGTTTATTGATACAATTAGAAAACAAAACGATAGCTCAGCCTAGTAATCAGCAATTATTTAAAATTTCTAATACCGATTCTTGAAGTAGTTTCCGTAACCGTTCTAGTTCAATGTATAATTATAGTTTATGCAAACAGCCTGTTTTCAAGTCTAACCACAAACACTTAATTACATATGGGATCGTAGCTACCGAAACACTTCTATATTCAAAACACGAATTTTTTCTATTAATAATTCCTTGATATATGTGAAGAATTATCCATATCAATGTTAAACCAGATATCATTCTCAGGCGGTATAAAAATACCGATAGTTCTTAGTCGAAAGCATTTATTCATCTGCAGCTGATAGAAATTATTAAGATCAGAGTAAAACCTAGATTTTGCTGATTTTATTGTGCAATTAAGTAAGATAAAGTCGATTTTCAAAGTAGCTAAAAGGGATACTCCACTCTGTGTAGATATTTTATGACATTGAGAAGTTTTTAGAAAAGAGTAGAGATACCTTTCGTAGCGATGTATTAACCCTTCTCCAGAATAGTAGGTAAGGAAACTATTTTAAAAAATTGATTGCGAGATTTTGTATATAAAGTCTGCGTATTCCTTTTTTTATTTTATTATCATTTGAAATAACAATTAAAAAATTCATTTTTCTTACCCCTGACTACATTTTTTGCTACTTCCTGCAGTATGAGAAAGGCAGAAAAGCCCGGCTTGTATTTCAAGAGTTGCTCTATATCAAAAAATTGGAAGAGGAGAAAAAGCGTGAAGAAGAACGATTAGCTGCAGAAAGAAAAAGAAAGTAAGATATATATCAAGTATGAGTAATATGAAGATAAATGCTTATCAGTAGTTCTGATAGTATAGATTGGCTGTGATGTCATACTGATATGTATGGTTAGACCTGATTAAGAATATTATTAACATATTTTATTTGTATATTGTGAAACGATGACGTTTTAGTCAAATATCATAGCTAAACGTATTAATTCTTAATTATTTGTATTTCCGCATTAACTAAATTAGAGAACTAGAAAGGCTAGAACAAGAAAAAATGTTAAAGGAGTTTGAAGAATTGAAGCAAAAGGTAATTTTAACTTATGCTGCACTAAATTATGTCTCCAAATACTAATATGGCTACTGCATTTACTATTTTTAATTAATATGAAACCTAAGTTTCTTATTATAGCTTGTTATTTCGAGATTGTTATAAAGTAGTAATTGATAACAGCATAAGCGATTTCTCGGAATTTCATAGCAAGACTAAGATAGAGTTTCTTATTCTTATATATTTATTAGATGGAAGAAGAGGAAAGGTTAAAGAAAGAACAAGAAGAAAGGGAACGTCAAAGACTAGAAGAGGAAATTATGATGGAACTCCAACGTATTAAGGAGAGAGAAGAAGCTAGGAAAGCTGAAATGCTAGCTAAAAAGAAAGTATGAAACAATTTTATTCTGTTATTGAATAAAAATGTGTATAGGAATACCAAGTTTTTTGAAAATTAATAAATTAAACATGAATTAAGGTCTTGCTTAAGTGAATGGTTTCCAATTGATCCTCATTTAGTCTAACACAAAACACAACAACAGCAATATCAATATATAGTTTTAATTATATAACTATTAATTTATAATAGATTGAAGAAGCTGAACGGAAAAAGCAGGAGGAAAAGGAAAGGCAGCTTGCAGAAGAAGAGGAGTAAGTGCTTAAGCATACGCTTATTCAATCTCGAGATTAAGTACCAAGAAAAACGATTATAGTAGCAGCAAATGAGTTCATACATTACTAAAATTGGTTATCGCAAATGTGGATTGTACGTTAGAAAATGAAATGTGCTTATACAAATGTAAAATTAGCTCAAGATTAATTGGATATTACTTATAATATCTGACCGACTAGCGATCTTTCGGCTAGGAAGGGGCTATTTTAAGCTAATCAGTCATGTAGTTAGTTATACTAATCATAAATGTGATGGTCATCAAATATCTGGATTTATTGATGTGGAATATGAAGTATATATGCAGAATTATATTGTTGAATAGAATTAATTTTAAGATAAAGAGCATATGAAAGATAAATTTTATCGCTCAAAATATCCACTTCTGTTAGACGTAAAAAGCAGGAGCTAAAGAAAGAATTGACATTAGAAAGTATCCTACAGGGAGACGGAGATTTATACTCTTCTATTTCAGATAGATTTGAGGTATGCGTATTAGCATCAGGTTGATCTGAAATGAGTTCACATAGCTCAAAAAAATTTACTACCTACCAATATCAAGTCGATCATATTATGAATATTACTAAATAGAATAATTATAAAGAATACAGTAGACTTCTTATATTATCCTCATTTATAATTAACTTATTCTTATCTAGTCGGAAGAGCTAAGTGACGAAGAAGAATCGGAATATGATGAAATCAGCATTAAAGAATCTGTTAGCGAATATTTAGGTTATGAAGGCTATTTATCCATGAAAGGTAGGGTACCCTGCAAGCAAAATTAAGGCTTGATTTACAAGACAATGCTCTTTTTTTCTAATTCATCCTACTTCTTTCGCTCTACTAGCTGGTATGATGAATAATTGGAAAAGAAGGTGGGGTGTATTAACTTCAGACAATTTGATGTGGTTTCGAAGTAAACAGGTTATGCTTTTGAAAATAAAGAATGATTAGTAAATTAACATCATCACTGTATAGCAGCTCAGTAAATCATTATAAATGCCTTATAGTCAGGGACATGAGTGCTTGAGCTTAACATTTGATTATGCTTCCATCTTTATATGATAAGCTGCCATGAATTATATTTGTTTATAAAACGATTATCGCTTACAATTTTAAGAAGAGGAACGGTCGTTATCCTATATATAATTTAATTCTGATGCTCAATGATGCTTGATGTTAAAATCAAATACATAAATAACTTTTGCCATTGAGCTTCAGAACTTGAGAAGACTTTATTACAAATCGTATTAATATTTCCTTTTAGACTGTATTGAAAAGTGGCTGGTTAACTATCCGTAATGGGCCTGCAGCTACGGTTTCTAAGTTAGTTCCATATTTCGTAAAATTCTCTACGGTTATTATCACTTCTTAGATAAGTGAACTCTTAATGTTCTACAATTTTTTCCTACTAATGTAGGAAGCAACCTAGGAGTCGATGGTTTGTCTTAAAAGATAATGTTCTCAAGTACAAAGAATCGGATCAGGATGGAGCTCGAACTGTTGGCAAGATTGAAATCAAGTCTATTACGTAAGTGCTAGTGTTGGTATTTTTATTAAATAATGAAGTAAGGGGTTTGTATCATTAAGTCATAATTTCAGTTAAATCTAATTTGATGAACTTAGCATTATATGTAGATTAAGTTATTAATTTCTATAAACTATAGACTTTGTATTTATAGGGGTAGCGCAGATTTACCGTTACTGTAATTATGTGGAACAAAACTAAACGTTTAATATAGTTGTATCGCTAAATGGTGATTTAGATTGAATCCATTTTTGTAAATGGATCATTACATATGAAGTGGTTCGCTTTTTAAAAATTACAAGCTTTATATGTGTAGTGATAGCGTAAGTTTACGCAATATCATAGTTGAGTGAGTCGAAATTAAAGCTATACAAAACAGTAATATCAGTTCTTATTCGTAGTGATAGCGTAGGTTTAGGCTAGATTGCAATTAAATATCAGATAAGGCAGCTAGACTACTAAGTGATAGTTTAGAGTGAATCTGGTTTTATGCTTATGTCAATGTATATGGATTAAGTCGTTGATTTTTGAGGGCTATTAACTTTATATTCGTAATGGTAGCGTAAATCTGTGATAGATCGCAGTTAAATGAAATGAAATTGAACATTATATTCGAATGACTAATTTATTCTACTATTTGATATGTGCAATGGAAACTTTGTAGATTTGAAGCTGACTAATTGATAATCTATTTTAAATTGCATATCCATTTTAATTATTATGAATACAGAAAGCTTGAGAGAGATCCAACAAGTGATAACTCGCTTATTGTTACAACGAAAGGCAGTAAAGCACATTACTTTAGTGCCGACAGCCATGAGGATTGCAGGTATTACCTGGAGAATGGAATGTTTGACTTTTAATAGATTTCTCGTTGAATCTACATTATGACTCTACTATAATATATTTCTAATCCTTACAATGTGTTATATCCCGATATTTAGTCAATGGTTAGCAAGTTTACATTCTGTCATGGCAGCAGATGCCAGTGAAGTCAGGAAAGTCGCTGATGAAACATCCTACTTCAAATCTGCACTGGTACTAATCACGACCTAGCTAAATTCTGTATAGCTTTTAAATCTTATAAAGATGCAAAATTAGCATTGAAAGGGTTTCTTATACTGATTATAGAAGTTTAAGCTATTAGTAATATTACATTAATTAAGCAATTGTGTCTCTAGCGGTTGTAGTAGAATAGTCTACGGCCACTAACACTTAATAATTTCTTACATTAGAACTGTTTACCATATTAATAGTGTATTGCTGGATGAGGTGATACTTTTTATTAAAATTTAGATTATCAATTTAATTTATACCTGTAAGTTCAGGATTAAATTGCAAATTATTACTATTTGAATAAAAATTAGCCTATAATTTTGTTATAGTAATAGTTTTGTTGAATCTACACAATGAAACTGATAGAAATTTTGAGTGATAGACGACTTACAATTAAGATAAATGTTAAAATGGGAGTTAAATACATATAACCTACCTTATAATTAATCTAGGATGCTCTAGATATGGATGAAATCTCTTCGGTTTACCCTCATAGTATTGCCTCAAAGTAAGTTATTAATTAAGCATATTCTATATATTCTATTACTCACTCTAAGTATTAAGAATACAAAATTTGAAGTTAAAAAAGAAAATTTAATAACATAGGCGATTGCTGGTTGCTCTCAGTAATTATAGACGATGTATGCAATTATGTACTACGTTTATAAATTCAATTCAAGGGTTGTATTATGCTACAATTATAATTATATATAATATTAAAATTCTCCAACAATCTAACTGTCTCATTAGGCCTGGGTCTTTTGCTATTATTACAACTGAACGCATCTATAATTTTGTTGCTGATACTCCTCAGATAATGGAAGAATGGGTATTAAGTAGGTGTCGAAAACTGTTATTGCAGAACGAATTTGTATTCTTCAACTAATATTATCAATGTATTACTTAATATGAGCCCTCAATAGCCTAATTGTTATTCTCTGAGCTAACTCTTCAGCGCATATTTATAATTTGATTTTTATTCGATATGGCCTTAAGTGCACAATTGTTATAACTAATACCAAATTTATGAATGATTTAAAAACTATTCTATCATTCAAGATATACAAAAGGTAAAGGAATCCTATCAAACAGAACATACTGGCTCTGGTTCCGAGGGTAAAGGTATGTGATAAACATTTAAGTTGAATTCTTAGCAAAAATAATTTATTATCGTGGTTATAAGCGCGGCCAGTTAAAGGATTGATTAGTGAGCAAAACGTTTGTGATAAAGTATCATATGGTAAAACCAAATAACATTACGAGTACTATTGTAGGTTGGTTATATCGTGAAAATCCGACCCAAGGAACAAAGAAAAAATGGTAAATTATCTGTATTGAATTAGTGATAATATCGCTTTTTAATCGTAGCGTATAATCAATTTTACTGATTAGCATTGCTCCTTGTAAAGTTTCAATACTTATTATTCATTAACTCATGTTAATCCAAATAATATTTAGTAGTCAAATTTTCTTCTTTATAACTAAATATGGCATTGATAAATTTTGATCACGGGCAGCTGGGCCATTCTTACTTCTAATGGTATGGAATTTTATAAGAATCCAGAGAAAGAGAAACTTCGCGTACAGTCTTTAGTCTTCAATAGGTATTAAAGTTATTATTTAGATTTATATTTTGTAATAATTAAGAGAAACATTATTACTTATAAGTAGCATTCGCTTTCGTCTTAAATGTTAAACTTTACCTTACCGCTACGATTTTTTACTATTATCAAATTCGAAAGTTCATTTATTAGTAAACTTGTGCATCCTGTTCTATAGAAAAATTTTATAGCACACTGTAAATTTTGTCCGATCACCTTGGCCTAATTACGAAAGAACTGATTTAATAATCGTTGTATTTATTCAATTCTTAATATTTAGCATTATTCCATTATTATACTAATTCTAGTTAATAATGTATTTTACTTTTTTCGTTACTATTAAATCGAGATTCACCAATGGATGTTTTCTATTATTAGTTTATGTTCGGTATATGGTCCTGAAGAAAAGATGTCTGGAGATAATGGTAAACTGATGTAAAATAAGTGTACACATTGCTCTATGTAAACTGATCTTATATTTTAATTACTGTAGTTTGCAATGTTAATAGATTAATTCAAAGATTTGTGGTAAAAAATACCATGAATTTGTAAAACTATGATATTGACTTATATTTTAATTTATCAATTACTAGTTCTATGGACGTTCACTGTTTACGTACGGCGCCAGGTCCATTATTTTTTTACCAAGTTTCAAGAAGATTCCATGGCATGGGTTAATAGTATTCAACGGGTAATTAAATAAATGGTATATTAAATGTTGTTAATGATTTAATAGATTCAGATCAATTCGATATCTTTATCAATTTTTTGATTAATAAGCTTTAAACTCTGGGCAACCAGAAATATTTAGAGATTAACATAAATGCGTATTATGTTAATAGGTTATTGATAACAAACCTCGACTGATCATGCCGACAGAACGACTGATTAGCAAAATAAGGGTTGGTTACATCAATAATAAAACTGAATTTCCACAAAAGTGGACAAATACAGCATATCGTTCTAATAAATGTACCTTTAAAATTTTAACGGTTTAATAATAAATTTAATAGACCATACACTCTCATAATCTGTTTTGCTATTTCATTAAAATCTTTCAAGTAAGATGAACTTGCCGTAGCAGGTTACTAATTGTCAAAGTACCATTTCTTTATTTAACTAAACTGAGATAGAGTCTTTATCAAGTTTCCTGTATTTAGTATTAGATGTAAACTTGTCATAATGGGGGTATCCGTAAATATTGGTTAAAACATCTAAGTTTTTCATATCATAAATAAGGACTAAAGTTGTGTATTAGCTAATATTATTTTATTGCCGTACTAGGACTCGAATGATGTTGAAATAGAAGACATCTATCGATCTAATCCAATCTTAAATTATTCTAATACATCCATTAAAGCACCTCTTTTAGCTTTACCCTATGGAAAAACTGTTGGTGCCAACGGTAAACATGAAGCATTAGTTATGATTTTATAATTTCTTATTTACTGTTCAATGTCGTGGAGTTCAATTATAAGTCATCTACTCAAGAGATCCATAAAATTGCATGATTGGTATCATTGTGATAGATAAAAAGAAACGAGGCTATGGAACGATTTCGGAGGAAGCAGTAAAAACTTTCAACTCCTTACTGACTAGTGAAACTGTTGGAGATTATCTTGCTCTTATTCAAGTAACTATTTATCTTGTAACATGATTGTAATATTTAGGGATTAGTAGCTTGTTATCTTAAGTATCATTATAGTTAAAGCCATACCAGAGTCTTAATCCTGCAATTGTACGCCACTAATAGAGTCAACTGCAAAAGTTTCATGATCTGCCAGAGTTACGGGACGAGGTGAGAATGCATACTAAATTGAGCTGGTTTCTTCGGTAAATGAAAACACATTCGCTTACACATTATTTACAGTGCGTAAGTGGATGTCGTATAGCAGTTTAAATCAACACAATCGATTTCAGTAGCAAACTTTATCTGTTCATTTAATCACTTTTACCCAATGCTAACGTAGATCTATTAGCCGATGTCGTATAGCAATTAAAATCAACACAGACTTTAGTAGCGAACTTTGTCTGAACATTTGATTGTTTTTTATGCAGTACTGACGTGGATCGATTAGTTGATGTCGTATAGCAATTAAAATCAACAAAATTAACTTCAGTGACAAACTTTGTTCATTTAATTGCTTTTTACTCAATGCTAATGTAGATCCTACTTGTCGATTTGGCTATAATTGTATTTTGTAGATTTATTGTCAAGTTATCAAGCAAACAAATATATCAAATAATCCTGATTCCATTGGTAATCTTCGTTATTGGCAGGTATGGACTACAGGGAATTTTCAAAGTCATTAAAATGTTAATTTTCCTGCTAGTGGAAGCACAGATAACAAAATCACATTACTTGATTGATTAATTAATATTCTTGGTATTATTTAAAGCAATGATATAAGAACTTACAGTATTTAAGTTTCTATAAATGCACTGAGAGTAATATACTCATTTCGATAACAGTTAATTTCGAATAGCATTGAATAGTTACCATACAGTGTATGGTTTTACGTTTATAATTTTTCGTCTAAATGACTCTATACTAACAATATATATTAAATTAATAATATTCAGTTTTTAGCCTGTTTATGCTGCACTAGAGCCCCTTCAAGAAAATACCTATATTACTTAAAATTTTACCTACAAAGGTATATCGCGATAATAATTATTATTTATCAACTACAACATCTGCTGGCATTACATATAGCTAAAATGAAGCAATACACTACTTTCTCATCTATTGTAAGCGATGTAAAAATCTTTACAACACTATTACTGTTAATTCAACTGAATCATCCGTTACATTTTTCGACTACTAGATCCTTAAAAAGATTTCCAAATACTGAAGCTGCTAAATTTATGGAATTTTGCTTAACTGCATGCACGAAAACCAAACCTAGGTAAAACTTAGCAACAAAGTAATGAACTGCATTACTGTGCTTATTCCAGCATTGATTTATATTGCATTACTCATAAAATTGCATCTTTATTTATTATCTAGAGAATATCCGCCGGGTAAAGAAGAAATAATTGCTATCTTGGTAAATAGCGTGCATAAACAGCACAGCTGTCATCTCCGTATAAAAATGCAACAATTGTATAGCAAGATGAGACAATTTCTTTAGTGTAATTCAGATTGAACTACCTATTGTAAATTTCAAAACTAAAACATATTTTCGACTCTTTTGATCTACTACCAGGGTCGTCGGCCTATTTTAACTTACATTTATACTTACGGCAATTCATCTGTTAAAGCACTTGTTGATTCATCCATTATCGCTGATGAGGTACATCAGATAGAAAATATTGTCTATATCCGATTTTATTAAGCTCTTTGCAAATTAAAGAAATTACTTTGAATTCCCATGGATTGATTGCGGTAACTGTTTATTTATAGGTTGTTCAACGATTACGCTTAGGCTTAGGGTTATCGAATACAAAAAATTGCTACGCTCTATTTGAGAAGTGTGGCACCATTTACCGTGCTATTGATGGTAGAACTGTCATGACTGATATCCTTGCTAAATTTGAAATGTAAATTTAATTACTCTTACATACTGTTCTCTGTCCAAACCTTATGTATCAACAAGTATAGTTATGTTTTCATGTCAACTAATATTACTGTATGCTGGCATTAGTAGAAAATGACTTTAACAGTGGAGTAATACTAATATCTCTCAAATATGTGTTAAATAGATCCATTTTGGCTCGTTAAAAATTTATTTTACGTTGATATTTTGATGATTACTTTATGTATTCGACAACTTTGCAGATTAAAAATATTCGTATAATATCTTAATTAGTTGTGAACTTGTTTCATTTTTGTTTAGCTATCGTACGCGAGGTATTGGAGAAGGGACTAATCGGTGGCAAATCTTTTTTAAACCATATTGCTTTATTGATCTAAAGTCAATTTCTTGCATTGCTGAAGAATTTCTCATGTTTGAAGAGGTTGGACTGATTCTTTCCTTCTTATTTGTTCATACAATTACTTTCTGAGATATGCTAGATAGGATCACTTACCAGTTGTCTTTTTAACATAATTTCCGTAAATTTAATTAGGGAATCAATTTCGATAATCAATTAAGAATTTTGATGCTATCTTTCATATATAGGCACGCGAATCCGTCGTTAATGGCCACTTCTTGAATTCTGAACCAACATTGGTTCGTCTTGCTGCATTGTACCAACAATTTAATCATGGAGACTATTTTGCTGGAGCTTGGATGTAATTTCTATTTTGCAGTAGCGAGATATTTTATTCATTGCAGATACAGTTTGGACTCATTAGATTATGGTTTTGGGTTAAGTATCATGTCGCCATGAATTTGATGTACAGTGCAACTGCTTTGTGTCTTAATCTAGTTCAAATTTAGAAGAAATTTACCCAATCAAAAAGTCTGTAGATGTATCGATCAAAATGGAAGATCCTCTATCTAAATTAAAGAGTAGTCATGGCTTTGGATCATTGGTAAGTTTATTGGATTTCAGCATCTACTAGTGATTGCTGATAATTACGGATATTAACTGTTCAGCATCAATAATAAATCTATAGGGAGCCTCATTTAGGAAACAATCCAAAATAGTTAAGCCCGGTATGGATATAAATACTAAAGGAATTAGTGTATCTAAGGCGTAAAAATTTTTAGATTAGCATACATACAATTTCAGATTTAGTTAGTATAATAACGCTTTTTACGCTTCGTGCTGTAGTTACTGTATAAATTGTGAGAGTTTACATTTACATATAAATAATAGACCTAAATAATATTATTTCACATCGAGTAACGATTTGAAATAATTGGTCATCTACATTTCCATTTCATACACTTAGAGGAAAACGTAAATATAAACTTTCAAGAAATGACAGAAGACGAAAAATCTGCTATTAAAAGTTCTATTGTGGAAAAATGGAAACAACTAAAGGTAGTTAAGTTCTTTTCAAATTGTGCTAGGTATTGCACGATAAGAATTGCTATTTAATACATTTTACTATTACTTACTACTTATATCCCAATCACACTGTATCTGTATAGGGAATGACTGAAGATACGGCTTTAGAGCAGTATATGGATATAATCAGAACGTGGCCGGGCTCATCTGCGACCATTTTCGATGTTAAGGTATAAATAAATTTCATTGAATTTACTGTAGTCAAGAGCAGTAGTATTATAAAGAATTAAGGCTCATACAATTCAACACTAATATTTCGGTGAGTTTAAGCATTAGTTAATATTTTATTGCTGTAAATAGGCGTAGGTATATATTTCAGTATGCGCGTACCATTAATTTTATATTTGTAGCACTTTTAAATTCAATAATTTTAGTAAACAGTCTAAAATCATTTCACAACATAATGTTGGGCCAAAGTACAATTTTGTAGCATCATGATGTAGACCTTTGCTATTACAAAGATTCAAATATCTTTTCCTTACAATTGGAATAGTAACTCAAAACATAATACTACCAAATTAATTGTAATAATACTGCAATAAGTATTTAAAATTACTTCTTACTAAGTATGGGTAACTTATTTAGAGGGCGCTATTAAAAATAACTAAGAAATACCAAATTAGAATTTCAAAATTAGATGAATATTAGCCTAAGTGAATTCTTTTTATCACTCTATTTTCTTCGACCGTCTAATAAATTACAGAAATTTAGAATTTATTCTACATAGTATCAAACTTCAAAACTGTACTTGTATATTGGAAATAACTACAAACAATAACAAATAAAACATGATAGCACAGGCAAAGAAAGAGGAACGCGAGTTTTTTACATTAATATGATTATCGACTGCAGATGATGTTAAGGCATGATAATGTATTCATCTATCGCAATGCTACCAAAGATGTCGCAAATGCTGCTCTTTACTTGAATGTCGTAAATTTTACCTATGTTTCGGTGCATTTAGGTTATTAGTGGCGGCTTTGCTGTTACTAAGGTTTGGTTGGCTATTGGCTATGAGAACATTACAATCTATAAAAGAGGAGAATCGGTTGCATTATCGACTATGGATTATAATGGGTATTTAGAGATTATTATTTAGCAGTATATTTATAACTGAAAGTGCTATAATCATAGAATTATTACTTATTTGAATTAAAAATATACAATTTTATACAGCGAATCATTTTTTGAAGTATGATATAATTACAAAGTAAAACATAATACTAATGTTCCTTGCAATGGAAATGTATTTTTGCTGATATTTGATACTTTTTTATCATTGCATCCTTATTAGAATTACTTGGTCTGGCATAGAATCCAATAGTAACTATAAGATCATAATCGATAAAACTAAATCTATTATATTTGAAACCAATCAGGTAAATGAAACCATCTTTTGAAATAGCAAATTTTTATTAAGTTTAAGGGTGCATCATGAAGCTTTCTATTATCTCTTGTAATTCTATAGAGGCGCTGTTAATTATAATTATCAGTTATCATATACGCTTAGTCCATTTATAGCTCTATACAATATTTATTTTTATTAATAGGTTGCTGAGATTGCAAAATTAATTAAAGTATGCCACGAAATGCGCCGAAAACGAATTAGCCAAGTAATATAAAAATTTAGCAATTGTAATTTGCAGCGTTAATCCCTACCAATATCACTGCAAGTTATGATTTAGACTATAACCTGTGGATATGAATACTTATTTAAGGCAATTAATGAAGTACTCATAAGGCTATAATTATTAATATCAATTATTCGTTAGTAAATAGAAGCGTATATCCTCAGCATGTTTTACATATACAGTATACAATTATACATTGCCTATCTGCACAGTTTATGAGTGACTGTAGAGCCAGTCAATATTTCTAATTTAGGTATTCCTAGTAACTGGGTTATCACTTGATTTACTTATCCGTAGCCGAAATCATATCAGCTTACTTTCCAAATCAATTTATGAAATACTGAAAAGTAAATTTTGAATGTAAAACTATCAGTAATATTTCCCAAACTCGCAATGCAATCGATAATGCAATTAATTTGATTGATTTTATTTCTATCATGACCAATAGCAATCACTTACAGTTTAATATACTCATGTCTATTAACGTGTTTCTCGCTCAGAATTATTTGATGTATGGCTAATGAACTTGCAAAAAATTTTGAGATGAATACTCTCGTTCTTTACAAGACGTAGAATTTTGTAGTTTTTGAATACTAAACTATGATTTAAATATACTGTTAAATCAAATAAAGGAGATTTCTTGCAAAACTTTGCAAAGTTACTGCGTGCTAACTCAGGCTCATGGGTGCTGTGTCAAGTCCTAACATAATGTGATTGTACGTTGTTACATCCTCCGTTCGTAATGCCGAAAAGCAATCATTACACTTTAATACTGTCAACAACATGGCAAAAATAGAAGCGTTCAAACCGATAATAGAATTGATTTATTAGATAAATCTTTACGTGCACATTACGATTATAATAATCTTTGAACATAAAAGTCTTTTATGACGATTGTAGTGTTCATCATTCTTAACTGTCTGCTTAATTTACAGATCATAAATTTGCAAATTTTAACATCAATATAATTGCTCTTTTCAAAATTTTAAAATCTTGTCGCTTGTTATTAATACTGTACCACGATGATTCCAATTTATATCGAATAAAACTGATACTTACATGGGATGAAACTCTAAAGTTACTACAAACATGTACTGTATCATGTGCTTATTATTACTACAATGATTACAGTGATCATTTTTAAAGGGTGATACAAATTCATGATCGCATATCTGGAAATCTTGTTATATCTAAAAGCAAAATTAGGCTTTTTTGTTACTTTTCCATCCGCAGGTAAGGTATTGCAATTGGTAATAGCTTTACATTGTCACCTTTGATAGGAATTAATATAGAAAATGCGAAAGAGTTTTATCCCTGGTTATACTACGTACAGTAACTTGTTACATTAATTACGTAAGTTATATATATATAATTTAAAATTCAAACGATAATACTGTTTCAGAATAAAGAGGTATCTTCAGAATAGGTTGTTACATGGTGATCATCAACTTGGCTAGAGTTGACATCACAGAGGTAATAGTGGTCCTTTGGATGAATTCTATAGCGTTTAGACAAAAAAGAGGAGCAATTAAAACATTCTAGCCATGAAATATCCTCTGCATAACTGTTCTATACTAACTCATAGCTAGAAATGGAATCTAAAATCCAATCAATAGAAATTGGTGGAGTAAGGAAGGCCTCACGCAATTCTAAGCACGGAAATGAAAATCGTTAGATTGGGAATGTTTTTATTTTAAAAATTCTTCAGAAAAGAAAATTTTGTAACATCAAATGTATTAATTCATTACCGAAGAAGTCATTCGAGCTGTTATCTGGATCACATATAATAATTAGACCTTTAATCTAAAAAAGACGCATTTATCAAACATTGTTAAATGTTATAAGGTAGCAAAACGCAAAACGCAAAACGAAACATAAACTACTACTTTATCAGATCTTGCACTAGATTCCTCAATGACTTTAGCACCAGCAAATTCCAGGACACGTCTTAATTGCCCTAAAATTTATAATAATAATAAAATAATGGATGTAAGAATCAGTCTGATATAAAAAGAAGTGTTATTGTACCTCATTACCTTTGGCTATAGAATAAAATTGTCCCCAACAGCAGAAAGAATAGCCATCGAACAGTCGCGGTTTCTACAAAGGATAAGATATAGTGTAAAACATGAGTAACTGGTGTATAGTCGAAACACTTTAATTCTGATATACATTAAATACCTTAGAAAGGCGTGCCAATCGAGATCGACGAGGAGCGCCTAACTCATTTCGACGAGTATTACTGTTGGTACTACCCTTAATTTCGTACATTTCCTTCGTTTCAAACATATAATTCATCATACTAATTATTCCAAAGACAGGCAGTACAACATCTACATATCTAATATGTTATGGAATAAGAATTTTTACCGTAGGGATAAGCGTATTCCAGGATATACATTCAAGCACCCCTAAGTGTATAAAGCAACATTAAATACTTTTCCAGATTCAGCTTGAATTAAGTAACCATCAATTCTCCTTACATTGAAAATTCACAAGGCATAGCCCTGCTGCGATCCCTTGGAAGTATTTTACAGTACATTCTGCTAGATTGTTTTCGTCTGCAATAAGAACACCTTCATTACAAGAGTAATCATTACGTGAAGAACTGGTTGAATTTGTATTATTTACCTGCTTTTACAATTACATGAGTTGTAGTTCGATTAATTTCTCTAGCAAATTTCGCATTAAAAAGCTTAGCTAACAATGCGACTTTATGCTAAATTTTACGACATAAACGTAACATTTAATTCCAAAGGTTAGCATTGCAGAAACAACAAAATTAGCAAATAATACTATATCTAGAGTATCATCCACCTTTTCTTTATCCAATAGTCCGGTCGCGACTAATGAAATATTTGAGGTGAGGACGTCACTAGATAGATGATGATTTTTGTGGAAGTCAGAATGTCGGCTTCGGTCTACGCCCATTCTCTTATAGTTAAGATTTTCATTTTTTGCAACTCGTGCAGAACCTATCGCATCAGAAGCATTAGTTTGTTCGGCTAACACTCGTACGCTTCCCGTTCCTGGTTGCAGGTTGCGGCTTTCTTGAAATGTATTTTCTAAAAGATACCACCAAATTATTGTTAAAAGTATATTTAAGGTAGAAGAAGCTCAAAAACTTATGTAAGATTTCTGAACAATCGTAATCTGTACGACCATTGACTACAGAAAAGCACACTATTCGATTATTTTCAGACCTATCTTTGAATCTTCATCTGGATCGTCAGGCTTATCTAGCGCAGACCAAAGCAAAACATTATTATCGCTTTTTTTCTCTACTTTAAGATCACGGTCACCATCCATCGATTCAAGGCTATGAGTGTCATCACTATCGCTAGCGACATGATCATCAGATTCACTATCAATCATATATGGCTGGGTACTAATCGGCATAACAGTGCATGTCAAATCGCTTGCAAGGGAAGAATCTGACTTTCGTGGTGATTGACTAGATGTAGTTGGTAGTGCAGCATCAAGTAAAGATTTCATCCTAGCGATTCTTTCTTTCTCTTCGTTCATTTTAACGCGGATATTTTCAAGAACCTTAGAAAAAATTAGTGAAAATATCATCTCTAATATGAGGAATCGATTGATATAATACGCGTATACTAACCTGCGAATCAATTGATTCCGGATTATCAGTATTATTGTCGTCTGCAAAGAGCAAAAAAATTACGGTTCTGATTAGATAATGTAGTATGTGGAATTGAATTAGCGTTAATTATTCTTAGAATCAATACCAAAAAAATCCAAAAAAGAAGAATTTTGAGTTGATTCCTGACTAGTAGATAATTCTAAAATGAAGGATAAATCGATATTTTTACATATTAAAAGGCAAAAGTGATAGATTTATATATACAGACATATTTACAACGCCTAACTTCATCATCATTATTACCATGTATCTTAGAAGATTCTAGTTGCCGCATTAACTCTTCCGAATTAGGAACTACGTAATTTTGTTTCAGTATGTATGAGTTTGTATTGTTTTCATCACTAGCGCTGGGCTCAAGAGCTGGATCTGGTACAAAATTTATGGTTTCCGACTTATAGTCTTTCTCAGTCGAATATTTTGAATCTGATGTTTGGATTGCTTCTCTCTGCTGATATTTATTAAATGGGTAATCCATTAAATCACTGTCTGGCGAAACAAAAATATCCGCTTCCTTGCGACCGTCACCACCAGGTATTAAATTCTTATATTTTGAAGTAAGTTCACCGCAATAATGATTGCTTTCGGAGCTACCTTTAATATCTAATGAAAATGTAGATATTAAGTTTAGTCTATCAAAACTCTGCTTACTATAACAATATGATCTTTGTTTTTGTTTACCTTGACTTTTGGTATGACCATGGTCAATATTATATGTTTTATGTCTTGGTACGAGTGCATCAGAATTAGAAAGAAACAGAGGCATAGATTCACTATTTTCTATAAACTGATTATCAAGAACACTAGTTAAGTTTTGATCCGTATCCTTCACACTAGTCGATTGATGATCATAGTTTGCTATTGAGTCTTCCGTTGTAATTTTAATATTTTGGCATTTTGTCGTTGATTGAGCACGGTGGTGTGGAACTTTAAAAGTACCTTCAATTTTTGCTGCGTATACATGAGAAAATTTTTCAAGGCATTATTAAGGTCAACCTTTAATGATGCGAAATGAATTTTAATTCTTACCTATATCTACCGGTAATGCTGTATGTTTCTTTCGAGGTCTGTCTGGAAATGACGATTCCAATGAAACACGTTTAGATGGCGTTTTCGTAGGCTGTACTATTTTTACCCGATTTATTAGGGATTCCTGGGAATTCGTTGGTGCTTCTGGTAAAGCTTGATCAGAATTTAAATTCTCTTGTGACAAGGCATGATTTAGGTTATGTGAATGTGGTGTACCCTCACAGGTAGTTTCCATAGATGAACTGCTGATACTATCAGGAATATATAATTTACCGCCAATATTGCGCGCACTATCACCATCTGAAGAAATACTTTCTGAGTGACAAATTCCCATTTTGGGTATACAATGGTTACTTTTACCACAATCGTGAGTTGCATTAGAGCTACTGTCGAATTTTTCTTGTGCAATCTGAATTGGTGTAGCAGATGGTGAGGTTTTTCTTTTCTGTGAGGATGCAGAACTCGAAATTTTATTACTATCGCTATTGTTGTCACCGTTGCTCGTGGACATTAACGCAACTTTCGGAGCTTCTTGTTGGACCGAGAGCATACTGCTATCAATTTTAATATGTTCTGTAGCTAGTCGATCGTTTCTTCTTCGGATGTTAAGTCTCCGTAGTCGGGCTTTTACATGATTGGTATTTGGTGTTCTATTCGCGGAAGAGTCTTTCCACTTTTGCATTGCTCGAGTTATACTACCAGCAAAAAATCGTTTAGGAGTAGTATTACTATTATTAGCTATCTGATTCGATTTGATAGATGTTTTTAGGTCTGAATGATGCTTTTGTTCTTGATAATTTTGTGACGATGACTTCATTTCAGGTGTTAATGTATTCAAATCTAACTGAGTTGTCAAGCCTTCTCCATCTTTGCTGAGGGACTTTGAAATAATCTTCTCGTTCTCTTCACTATGTTGACTATTATTATTTGTGTTGATCTGTTGCATATCTTTTTCTATTAGGTCGATCCAATCCTCGGACTTCTTAACACAGGCACCCACTTCTGACTTGCTATTTCGAAGTTTTTGGGAATCCGTAAGAGCTACGATAAAAGATGATGCTAGATTAATTGGATGTTTTGTAGATGATCGTGATTCTTCCTGATTTTCCATGGGGTTACATTTCTGACTAGGGCTTGTAACATCTGTAATTGAAGAGTATAATTCCCATGTAGGATCTGCTTTATCTCGAGCTAAATAGATTGTCCCATGATTACCAATTAGCGATCTTTCAACCATTTTATTTACAGTTTTCTCCAGTTCTCCTTTATCATTCTTTTGGCTGGGAACTTGGCTGTTAATATCTTTACGCAACCACGAATCTATCGTTTGCATATTTTTTGCCGTTAATTTTACATTATCGTTGTTTCTATCAGATCTCTTAGAAGAGAAATTGTCGATGCTATCATTAGAAGTGCATGCGTTATCGAATGACGATGATAAACCACTAGTTCGTTTATCAAATCCATGTCTGATAGATTTTGAAGCTAATTTTCGCTTCGATTTAATAAGTTCAAATCGAACCTTGTCTTGGCTAACGACAGTAGTATTTTCTGAGAGACCAGAATGTAGTATCGTTTCACCACCATTTTGAGATTCAGATTTACCATCCTTTCTATCTGTCGAAGTGTGAGAATGTAAATTCTGACAAGGCATGCTACGAGATTTACTTGATAGCTGGCTATTCTGGGATTGTTTGTTATCTGGATATATTTTATTATTTCCAGAATCCATTGAGGTCGTTCTAGTGATCTGCTTGCTATTACTTCTTTTATCATTTCCACGAGTTATAGTAGAATCTTGAATAAACACGGCAAAGGCACAAGAGAATATTTTGACATTAGTAAATGAACATTTAAAAGATTTTATGATTAATGTACTGTATGCACTACAGTTAATACCTGTTTGGGATGAATTTTTTCTTACTTTCTTGTTTGTTGTTTCTGTTTGTAATTCATCCAAGTCTTGCTGAAATGCTAGTTCGACATCTTTCACAACTTGCACAAATTTTTCATGGCTGGATCTAGTATTTAAACTCCTAAATTGATTAAAAGAGCTTGACCTTAGCATGTATTAGCAAACAGTTACATTATAGTAATAAGGAATGTAGTGTGGTGAACGTAACAACGTGCAGACTTGCAGTGAAATACAATTTTGAACATGCATATCGTAAAGATTAGTATCCTTGCTGGTAGATTACATTATTATACAGTATAATTTATAGGCATACCTTTTGGTAATAGCTTCCTTACATAGAGGACAACAAGGCGTTTTAGCATCTTTGATTACATGCTGAATGCAATCTCTATCATAATTAAAAATAGTATATCGGATTACATTACAAGAGAACAGCCAGTACACAAAGTGACGCCAAAATTTGCTTCTAATTATCGATTTTAAAATGTTTCGCTGGACAGAAGAAATAGCAGTTGCCTTTACATCAACAACATGAACATGCATTGGAGAGAATTTTAAAGAGTAAGCATGAGATCACACGTACCTACAAAAAACATGTTCACATCTGGTTGCTACTGGCTCAGTCAAGAAGTCCAAACTATAATTACCCGAGCGAAAAATTCTACTAAGAAAATGTCTTACTTGAAAATATAACGGTTATCATGCTCACTAATTCCGGATACTGCATGTAGTATGAACTAGTATCAATAACTTGAGACAAGGACTTTTAAAGAATTTTCTCTTAGAAGTCCTTGCTTGAGACTATAGAACCTCTTCCTATAACATTTTATACACTCTTATTCTATCAATCGACTGCTTCTGTTCATAGTGATGCACTAAAGACTATACATGCAATGTACATCATATACGGCAGTGCTGTACTTGTTGACGACTGTCATGATCACATACATTGTTTACGAAACGATTTAAAGCAACAATATTTACCAAATGGAACACTCAGCAAATTTTTGCAGCTTATAGATGAGGTCCTTTGCTTCCTTGATGACGCTAGCGCCTGTATGCATGATTCTTTAGTATAACTTGCTAATCGATACCAGCTGCTGATAATAATCTACGCTAAGTCAATCTGCAACAAGAGTAAATTATTATAGTTATAAAAGAGTACCCACATAATCAAGTAATCTAGCATACTGTCAGGTCAATAGATTACTGAGTTCCACTCGAGTTGTACTGTACAGTACAAGGAGTAGATAGAGTATTGCCACTGTCTACGAGTAAATTTCTATTCGAGCAAACTGCAATAATTGCGACTGTTGAAGCAAAAACTACATAACAACTCAACCTTTATAATTAAGAGTGAATAGTGCATTGGTTAAAATTTTTGTCCCCAATAGTAACTTATACGGTAATAATAAAGGGAGTAAATCACTAATATTTTAAAACTACCGAAGAGATTAGTAAGTCATTCACAGCAAGAGACACAGAGTCAGAGCAATGGCTAATACTGTTTGACATAAGCTGTATAACTTCATTTCTAGTAAACTCATTTCAATTTTAAGTCTTTTAACTGCATGCAATTTCATCTAATAATGAAATAGAAGATGAATCGATTCATTCTAATGATCCATGGTAGTCACGCTGTGACTTGCTGCAGCCCTCGCTTACGACAGTATCAAAGCAATCGCTAATACTTTTTGACATAAGCTGTATCACTTCATTTCTCGAATTCTAGTCAATGTATTTCAATTTAAGCCTTTAAACCGCATCCAATTTCATCGAATGATTCATCCATGGAAGATGAACCGATTCCTTTTATTGATTCATACTGTACAGTTCAGGTTGAGTACAGTACACTGCGACTTGAATCGCATGATACAGCCCTCGATTACCGTAGTCTTAAAGCAATGGCTAATACTTTTGGATATAAGCTGTATAGCTTTATTTCCAGTCAGTCCATTTCAATTTGAATCCAGCCTTTAAACTGTATTCAATTTCTCATGTAGTCATGAGTTACCCATCAAAAATGAACTAATTTCTTCTGTTAATCCATGCTAGGGCTTACTATAGCCCTCGCTTACGGCAGTATGCTACAATATTCAATCTGTTCGCGAGAACTAATAATGATTGAGTAGAATGCAAAGTGCGTCAACTTTGTATTGAAATTGCGCCATACTAGAAAATGGATTCTCAGTTGCAGAATGGCTACCAACAGAATACTTACGATTTAGTTCATCCTTTTTCAGCCAATCAATAATACGACTAGCATAGTTTGAGAGGGGTTGGCCAAAGGTTTTGGCTAGGGCAGCTGATTTGATTAATCAATAGTACCATATTAACAAAAAGCGAAGTTAAAAGGGAAATGATGCACACTGACTAGATGCAGCCACTGATAGGCCCTCAAAAAATCGCACTAACTCACCTTATCGAGTGATGAATTAATAGAAGAACAATCCAATCAAGCGGCTCTCAATTCAGTTATGGTTGTTTCTTGATGGTACAGGACCTGCGAGCAATTTATCTTGACGTTGGAATTCCTTAAACTAGAAAAGATTATTGATTCTTGTCAATTTCATTGAGGAAATTGGGGTTCAAGATGGACCAGAAATTAGCTTAAGGCTGTAGTAAGGCAAAGAAAGGTCTAGAAGACAAGCGCGACAACTCACTTTGCAAACAATGGCGAGAGTAGAAATATGAAGCGTATTGACACGTACCCCACCGTCGTCTCACCCTTCGAGCACTTGAATTCAATGATGTGGATGACACGAATTTAGTTGTTGTTGATGGCATGCAAGTCGCAACTTTTGCACGTCAGTCGACGTGCAGGAAAAACCAGTCAATCTCTATTACTGTCGACGGTCATGAGTGACAGTCTACTATCCGTAATCAATGCGGTACGGAACATGTGCAGACATGCAAGACTTGAAGTGGAGTCCGCTGTCCCGTACAGTACTGTCATTTGTATAGTACAGTAAAGAATGTTATTGTGTTGATAGACTTGGCACGGTGACTGCGATGATGGCGGGAAACTTTTGAAATCGATTACGCATAGACAGATGGCGAGATGGACAAGATTTCACATTGTACTGTTTTCGGCCTTCTTTCCAAATTCCTCGGTCAAGAATCTGTCCGTCTGAAGAGAATCCAGTCAAGTTCATCTACAGTACTGTACTGTACTGCAGCTTACAGTACTGTACTGTACACTGTTGTACTGTACAGTACTGTACACTGTACAGTAACTAATAATGGGGAATATTTAGTCGTCCATGCCTAGCTTTTACTCGTAACATAATGTTTTGTTATACTGTTACAAAAGCTCGATCTAACCGAACCCAGCCTCCACATTTTTTGCTGCGTTATCTCCTTTCCAGTCCCTCTCTTCTCTTCTTTCTTGAAGAAGTTAAGTACTGTACTGTACTCTACAGTACTATGCAGAACATGAAAGGGGGTTTGAAAAATTTTCTACTCGTGATGTGTACTGTACGTACTGTACTGTACTGTACTGTACAGGACAGCACAGTACGGTACACTCATGTAGAGTACAAACTACTGTACTGTACTGTAGTAGTACTGTACTGTCAAGTTTGCAGCTGCGACTAGAACAGCACAAGAATCAAAATCAGCTGCCATGTCTGCAACTGCAAACAGTGCATCGGAGATGCTCCTATAAAGATTGTGCTTGGCTTCAAATTAGAGCTAGGATAAATTCAGGAGTCGCTCGATATTGGATAGTAAGGATTGCACGAGAAAGTGAATCATACATACATGTTAGATCAACAGCATATGCTTAGTGTATGGATTGAAGAGATCAACCATAACAGTACAGTACCGTAGTATAGTAGGAATAATATGTTGGATAGGCGTATTGCATAAGATTAACCTCGGTGTTTTTGAGCTCAATTATCTCCTCGATATGATTGATTTAGTGGACTCCTATCGAAAAATTAAGGAAGGAAATGTTGAATTGCAAGCGACTAGCCCTACTGATATCGTCGTAAGTAATGGAAGTAAAATTCGTAGCGTTGTTGAACGATGTTTAACCAGCTTACAAGACCAAGCAAATGATACCATTAAATTGCAAGCAAGTGGTAAAAATATTACCAAGACAATTTCTTGTGCGGAAATACTCAAGAGAAAACGCCAGGTAACTGCAACGCTAGTATACTCTACATCAACCATCTTAAAATTTGCTCTAGCTACTATCGTCGATGTAATTCAGGTTGGAGATTCAATTAATAAATAAGTATTACACTCGATACACAGCCATTTGTCTAAATTGAAATTACTCTCGTTCCAATTTTACTTGGCTAGGGACTCTATCAAAGGAATGAAATATACTATCAGCTGTAAGTTACATTAATAATCCAAGATAGTAGAGGCTGAAAATAATCATTTTATTATAATAAACCTGGCCGAATGCAAGCCATATTGTAATTAGCGTTATAGCTCAAGCCGGCCATAAATGAACGCTTACCATTGCTGTTGCGGTCATATCGCTTTGTTTGTTATGGAGTAAGACAATATTGAAACGATTCAAGAATAAATTGACTACCACAAAAGTCAACATAATACTGGATATCGTAGTGAATCAATATTCTTACACTATCTTTGGAAGTGCAAAGTATTGCAATTATATTTGAAATCGTATACATATCATCACTATTCATGAACAGTTAAAAATATGAAATATTCAGAAATTTATCTATTTAAAATGACATTATCTGCTATTATAGTTGTCATTAAAGGAAGCTATATGAACAGCACTACGTATGTTGTTTAAAATCTTAGATACCACTGGCTTCCGATGTGCAAGCTATAGTACAGCACATAACTAGACCTCAGACCTTTTGCATACCCTGCACAAGAGTGTTGTAATGCATTAGTGCTTCAGAAACATACGAAATAATGAATGTTTGCTGCTTTAACTAATTTTCAATGTTCTTCCTAGGTCTGAAGATATATGGGAACCACAAAAAGAAGGACTAGAAAAGTAACTACAGCAGCACTTACTATTTAGAAATGATAGTTTAATATCATGCAAGAGACTGTAGCTGATGTTAAGACTCGCATTCTCAACTACAACAAATTTATGCAAATGCATCTTGTAATGCTATTTCTATTTTCCTGTTTACAGTCTTAAAGTTAAACGTCATATTCCTGCTATGACTATCACCTTAAGCAAGAATGCTATGGATGTTAAATTATCAGGGTTAACAATATCATTCTGCGCAATTATTGATATAATAGATGGACACCATGATTAAATTAGGACTATTGCCTATATTTATCTAGATATCAAGGTCCGTCCAATATTATGGAGGTACGACGTGATCATCCCAGTCGAGGTGGTAGACGTGGAAGAGGAGGTAATCACCCGCGTCGAGGAACGAATAATCGACGGCGTAATGTTAATGTAAGTAATACAGAATATACAGAAAGAACGAAAATGGACAGCCGGCAATCAGATAATGTCAAGTCTTTCACAACGGAATAGTTTTGTTCTCAATGAATCACGCGATATCAGTAGAATTGCAGGCGATGCATCCTGCTGTACATTTCTATATTCTTTCAAATCCACTGCAGTAAATCAATATTACCATTAGTACTGTGTGATATTAGCAGTACCATGGTAGTACAGCACACAAAAATATGTTGCTCTATTTTGAAAGCTATTCGAGTGGTATAGAGCCGATAAAGTTATATAATACAATTTATTTTTCAATACCGAAAATATTATCACCTTGCAAAATTTTGTATAACACGTTATTGGATATCGTCTATCCGTCTTTCAGGAGATATATAAAACCCCAAATTTCAATTATTAAACATTATCCTCTTACCGTTGTAAAACGATTACTATAATGCTATTGATAAATCAACCAAATTCATTACTAAAGCTTCTGTTGTGCAAATACAATAAATTTGCTATTACAAGAATGTTGATCATTTTTTTATCAAATAATGTGCAAGTAGGTGCCATTTGGAATGCAACCATTGTACTCATTGTGTTCGTGTACTTGAATATACATTAGAAAGCATAAGGGAAATATTACAGTCTATTGAATGTCAACATGTATCTTGATACCAGCAGTACTAGCAGCTTTAGTTTGATTCTTCTGCCTAATAGTAAATTATTAACACAAAAACAATCAAGAAATATAGCGAATGACTGATATAGAAATTACATTTATACTCTAGTTGAAATGTAATTTACCTCTCTATCATCTCTAATTTCGCTCTGCCATTATCGTCTTCAGCGGTTTTAAAATCATCATTATCATCATCTCCATTCATCTAATTTAAAACAATAAAAATATCAATCCATCTCTGTCAGTAAAATTGCCATTTGTAACTATAATACAATCAAACATTTACAATACCAACCTTCAATCCTATGACATCACCATCACATATAAAATACGGGCCATCTAACAGGGACTTCTGACGATGCTTTTTACCCTTCTTATTTTTGCGTACTTTGTTACCTTGATTGCTACCATTATTTATATACTAAAAATATTTAAAGCATATATTTAACATAATCTATGCTAACAATTTGCTTTCACAAATTTAAATTATAAAGGGTATTTTTATTTAAGGGTTACAACTCCATCAATTGCTAACCTCAGTAATGACTATCCATTGGAATTGTTGCTGATCATGTTTAGCAATAGTCAACTGTTGTGAAGGATCTATTCCTAAGACATATCGTATCCTCTTTTTTAATGACTGAGGGTTCTGCAAGTCATTAGAGTTGCATAATATTTCAATAGCTGGACCATACTCTCTACATTCAGAAATCCGATGACGAATAAATAAGAGAGTTGTGTCTACTGACAGCATTTCTTCTAAGGTCAACGCCTGCATGCAAATAGTTGATCGATGCTCAATGTTTAAATTCTTAATCAGGTTTGTATCACTTTTAAGAAGATTGCATTTATTGCCGCGCTGATGGTAAACTCTAAGATGATTAATAGAAGATAGCTGTAGTCTGTACGCTTCAGGCATAGTCAGTAACTGTATTTTTAATTCCTGAAGAGTGGAATCTAATGCAATCTCTATACAATTATCAAAAATGATATAATTCGATTTTAAATATTCCGCTTGCATATTATTCATGAGACACTGAGTTAATAGCACGTCACAATTGTAATGATTATGGAATTTATCCTCCGAAGGTATAAAAATTTTGACATTAATCTTAATATAGCCTTCAGGAAGTAGTAGACCCTCTTGTACAATTAAGTGATCGCCATGTTCGATATTAAGCTGATGTAAACTCTTTTCCAAATCATGAATAACAGCGAAACTATCCAACCATAAATTTGATTTCATAAGATGATAGCTACCTTCTTTTAAATTCGCTGACTTTATCATTTTAGACATACAGTTTTTAGCGCTGGTATGAGAGTCGACTATAATCTCACAATTGCTACCTCCAGTAGCACTAGAAGGGGTATCATATGTAAGTAGAATATTTGACATCTTTGTAATCGCTTCCCCTTTCTCTAATAACAACAATACCTGGTTGCCTTCCAATCCACATTTTCTGATATTCAAATATTCTCGTAAAATCGTTCCATCAAAAGTCTTTAACCGATAGTTAAGATAATCGTCATATCCAAATCGTGATATCACTATAGTCTTTATTTCTGATACCATTCTATCAGGACTTGTCTGTAGAACTATAATATCATCTGTATTATGATCTTGGTTATTCTTTCTTATAATATTCTTGACGATGCAGTGAAGCTGATTGTGTAATTGCTTACTTTCCGGTATCGTTAGTAGATCCGTTATATATAGTTCCTCTACATGGGCAAGATTTTTATCTTCCACAAACTTGTCACTATTTCTTAAATCTTGAAGCAAGCAAAGGAATTCAGCTTGTAAACTTGTACTTCCATTTCTTAATATACATAAATCATCTTTTGTAAAACCAATATGTTCAATTATAATTTCATACAATGTTGACAATTTCATATTGCTGTAAGCTCTAACATCGAATTTTTCATTCAGTGAAGCTATATCGGACATTGTTGTAAATTTTAATACTATTGGCTGATGTTTTTCAGTAATATGAATCGATCCATTTAATTTAGTTTCAGAATAGAATAAAACATCGTCGCCACTAATATCAAAATTTTCCATATCATAACTATTATCCAGTAGTCGGCACAAGTGTAAGCACCCTTCAAAACGCCGAGCCATATATAAATATGAATTTGTAACATTATGATCACCAATCTCAGTGTCACATTGAAACGAGTTTAATATATCACTTTTAATCCCTACAACGCCCGTCCTTTTGTCTATCTGCAGTAAGACGGCCAGCTCTTCTAGATCTGCATCTCTCCCAAGAGGTGTTAACAATCCATCATTGTAGCTAAAGTCTCTACAATTATATACTTTTACATAGAGCTTATACAACAAGGCATCACGATCTTCTAGCAACTCGGCATTTTCTGCGTTGATGTCGTCAATTAGATACTTCGGAATCTCATCAATTACATCGTTTTTGCATGTCGACTTGTCGTCAGATCGCAGCCGATAGAATAACATGTATGCTGATTCACTACCCGAATATTTCTTCTCAACCATATCATACGAAATAGGAGTAACTGATAGGTCATTGAAATCAAACCAGTGTCGTTCATCACTGCGTAAAAATAAAGCACTAATTAGTTGATCGTATCATCCATTATTCAATCATGGTATCAAGCGTAGACTTTAATGAAGTGGTAAACCTTAAATGTTGATTGTCAACGATCTCTGAAGTCTCTTCGGTATTGTGCTGGTCACATCTGTTTTCTATTTGTAAAAGCGTAGAATAACTTATAAGGGACCTTTTGTATGAGGAAGTTATAGTATCTGATTATCTATTTTTATTTTGTCGTACCTTTAGAAGAATTGTCTTTTACTTGCTTTTTATCGACTGCGCTAATCAAAGAGACTAAATCGTCATTTAAGGAAAATACGTCTGAATGGTTACCTAAGAACTGTATCGAATAGTAGTAGTGTCTGTAAATAGTCGATAAGTAAGCATTGCACAAGAAAAATAATACTAGCCAATTTTTTTATTTTACAAGTTAAACTGAATACTACAGCAAAAAATGCTACACTATAGCATTGAATATATCATAGGATTCATAGCAAAGAATACTGTTATGACAATGCTTATAGGATATTTGGTATATACCTACCGTAGATTTGATAACGAAATAAACATATTGGAATCATCTACATTTTAACATGATCTAGACACTATGTGGTATCGTATATAGCATTATCTAGATTTTTCTACCTTAATGACTGCTTCAATCTTAAACTCGTACAACGTATATATATGTCACAGTCAATGTAAGGATTCGGTATACACTATACGCCTGGTATCAACTTCAACGTTAGACTAATTTTACATCGTTAAATGACGCTATTATAGTAATTTAAGACGAGATCTTAATACCTACCTTATTAATAATACATTCAAGCCTACAATATGCTTAGATCTCGAATTTGAATAGAAGTAGGCTTAAAATCATTGGTATAGATTTAAAGAACCAGATTAAATTACTGTACCTTTTTGATCGGTCCATATTTTCTACGAAAACGGTTATTCCAGGAAGATCCAGTTTCCTTTGTTAATTTCTAAAGAATTGTTAAAGTTTAATTTTTAGTATATTAATAAAATTATTAACCTTTCAGTTGTATTGATATAACTAACATAAGTTTATATACATAAAACAAAGGACTATTTCTACCATGATTCCTAATTGTAGAAAAGAATGTTTATCAGTAGTAAATCTAAAGCCTTTCATACCTGTCCTATGATATCGATAGGTACATTAACACGACCCATGCAATCAACTATTGCGATTAATATTTGTAAAGGATCATACAAATCCATAAAGTCTATGTTAGAGGTAGGATTACTATCTTTACTTTCTGTAACACTAGTAGAATCTTCCTCCTAAATTAGTAGAGAATCATTAGTTACTAAAAGCTTCGTACGGAAAGCATTCAATAAATAATTGAGCAAACTGCAAACCTACCGAAATATTCCATTTCCCCATGTTACAGATATCTTCAGTAAAACAATGATAATGTCCACCTGTAAGTTTCCCCCTAACACATCGTAAAAAGTTATCTTAATCCTATATCAATTTTTGCTGTAAATTATACATTACGAGATCCTTACCGATGGATTATAACCGAGTACAATTCGTAAATGCTATCTTTATCCGTAGTCTACATTTGATATTGAGTAAAGATGAATTTTAACAGTTGTGCGTTAACATTTCTTTGTGACAATATGATTGTCAGCTTGATAATTTATCAATATAGATGATATGACATACTAAACCTAAGGTCCTCTAGGTATAAACGTTTTATGTAATTACTTGTATTCAGGTTCAATGAATAAATGTAATGCACGAAGTAGGGATTAGTAAAATAATACATCTGCCTATATAGGTCCACAATTGATTTCCGCACATTTTACTACAGTAAAATTACCTTACAAAATGAGCTCATGTTAAGTTTTCGCGGAAATGAAAATCTTTTCGTATCCTAAGAGTACAAATATGGATAGGATATGATAACGGCTTAGATAGCATAATACTGTACTACAGTTTTAGTATGTATTATACAGCTATACAGGTATATGCAATATGTTGAACCTCTAGTCAATTCGGCTTAAAGCGAATAAACGTTAAAAAATAATCATGTTACCTTCTTATAATTACCAATGCGACTATCGTAGTAAAATCGTAGTAATGATATTGTCAAAATTGGTGGTATCTTTAATAGACGACAGCTCTATAGGTTCAATGTTGATATAAAAAAATAATTAAAAATAATTCATTAGAGATAGAACGGCAACCTCTAGAATCTTAATTCCACCAGATATATCGTTGTAAATTTAGTATAGAAGTTTACCTTTTCTGCATCAACGTGTTTACCGCATCCTTCACAATAGTATTTATTGTCTCCAAACATAAGCTCATACCCCAGAAAATATCTAGATAGCGCACCATCCAATGTCGATACATCAGCAATAGACAAGCTGAGATCCAGAAATCCTTCCTAAAAATATTTTATTGTTGTGGATCATTTATTATATGTATAATAAACTATAAGAAGGCATAGAGGCCACTATATCGTAAATGTGTGGTCGCCGAAAGTATAACTACTTCACAATTAATTAAATGATACGATACCTCTCTTCGACTAATGGCCTTACACTCCTTACATTCAATCTGGAAAGTATACGTTGTTACGTCAATTTAAATGATAGCAGAATCAATTCATGCCTCAAAAATACTGCATAATAACTTAGTCGGTGCTAGCTACGGGTCTGAGGAGATACAATACCTCATTAACAATTGTTCCCTTATATAAGTCTCTAATAATTTTCTCGCTGTTTGTTCCAAACAAAGATTGTTCGATCGCATCAAATAGAACGCGATTAAGTTCTTGAATATCTTGTTGCAGAAAGGTCTAGCAAATTATATGGAAGCATAGTAGGTTAGAAAGTTTCATACATGTTGGCCATCACAACCTTAGTTTCAGCAGAAATATTCGCAAAAAGTAACAACAGTTTCATGGCCTTAACGTATTGGATATAGTTATGGCGCTAATAAAAAAATTTCATGCAATCAATTTTGTAAAGTTATTAACCGCCAATAAAAGACTAAGCATCATATTAATCTATGAGTAAAAAAACAAAAGAGCAATACAAGTAATGTACGAGTCTATACGAATATTAGTATTTACGGGTGTAATCAGTATTATCAAGGTTTAAAATCTATCAGTTGCGATTTAGTATATAAAATAGCTCAATAAACAAATTCAGCTTATGATCTAAAGATTTTAACCTTCAATTATGACATGATACTTAAATTTTACTATCTAGTCAGGGTTACGGTGATAATTTCGTTACGTACATCATTGCTATTCCATCCAAAACTTTCGATCAGTCGGTCAGTATCAACAAAGTCAATATCTAATTGCACCATCCTAGCAAATAATTTTCGCAATTGGATTGGAATATTGCGAACCTACATTGATATTACATACACAGCAGTTGATAATATTGGATTAGCATTGTTCTTTCCAGATCATGCTGTATTACAATATTGAACGTTAAGTTATACTTTTAAGTAAAGTACGAGAAAGCCGAAACAATTTTCTAACAGATTATACTCTATTTATACTCTAAATATCCTAACAGATTCCAATCTTTAGCCGAAATTGAGTAAACATTACAACTATTCCGAACATTTATCACCTGTGTAGCTTCATCAGTGTCTCCCAACTCATTTCTATCAATACTGAATATACTTCCTAAACATAGGTGAGAGTGATAGATTTACCTTATTAGTATATCACTGATACAAATACTGTCATTTGTAAGAAAGTGGCTTACTACGGAATTCTGGAGTCAAGAAGAGTGTTTGTAATAGCGCATTTAAGTAACATGTTGCACCAAGGTTACTAATGCCACAAAAGCCGGTTGGCCCTCTTGGTCGTCGGATAGTCGAATTATGTGTTCTTTTGTGCTGATTATCACTTGCTTCGTCGACTTCATAAAACAAGTCTAAGATTATAAATTGATGAAGTTCAAATAAGTTGGGTACCAACATAACATGCATATGTAAAGTAGTAATTCTAATCTTGACGCTCATTTTAGCAGTGCACTACTACAGTATGCGCGTACAGACTGGAGCTGGACCTCGAACTAGAAATCTTCTATGTACTACTGTATTTCGGAAGATCTTGTTGTAGTCTATGGAATGTTTATGGGCTTGAAAGGGTGTAGATACAGGTAACGGTTATCATTTCTAGCAGATGTAACTATTCTCGGCGATTTGTTTACAACGCATGCTACTAATTCATTTCTAATACTTATCTAACTTGACTTTCAATATCTTGATATTCCTGAATACATAGTGTATACTCTAGTACTTCTACCCTCAACACAGTGTCCATTTCTGAATACAAATCAATAAATTTGTGCTGTGTATATATATATATACTGCACAATATTAATCTACCAAAGGAACATGCTTACCAAATGCTGTACTATGTTTGACAGTTAGTTTTGAGTAAATTACTATAGCTGCAATAATTTCTATCGCAAAATAAATAAATGAATAGTAAAGGCTGAACACAACCCCTATGCATTTTCCATGATTTACATCATCAATCCACATCAGCTTCAACGACAATCTATGCTGTATACTATCACTAAGCAAGCATAGCGACTAGGTGTAACTGAATATTGTTGATAATCACTTCGATCTTATACAGTACCGCTGCACTCTTGTCCACTTGGTCCATTAACATGAACGAAGAAGAGTCATTCCTTAACGCAGTCTCTACACTGCACCATGATCATTGGCATTTTCTAGCAGCTGCAAGGGCAACTGCTGTAGCAAATATAACGATTACGTGTAACTGAATGCTGTTGATATTCACTTCGACCCTGTACCACTGCACTCTTTCCATGTTTATTATTAATATGAACGAAAAGTCAATCCTTGATCCAGTCTCTACACTGTATGATGATGATTGATATTTTCTGCTCGCTGCAATGTCAGTGCAAGTGTTGTCGATAGTGTCCATTTCTGACGACTACCGTCTTATGACTAAGTATGAATGAAGTAGCACTTACAATAATGAACACCTGTGCGGTACATCATAGATTTAATCGACAATTTCATCGCTAGTTCTTGACATGAACATAGTTAACTGTGGATAAAACTACAATCATTGCGAAGCAAGTACAAGCAGTAAAAAGCACTACTTACCACCAAACATGTTGACAATATTTACTAATGCACCCAGTCAAGTAGTACCACTGGACAACCTCAAACGTATCTTTTCAAAGACAGCAGTTAATACGATCACTACTACGAGATAACAACAATAATCTCCTCGATCAAGACAATTCTAAACGATGACAATATAACATCCAAGCATCAAGAAGAAATTACTCTACGCTTAGGCCACTATCTACCAATATTGTTATTATTATTTTCTTTTTCTCTCCTTATGCATTCTTTCTTTTTTTATTCATACAAATGCAATGATGGATTTAATTAATTAATTAAAAGCCGACTGTAAGCACCACCGAGCACGCTGGTAAACTAAACAAAGTACAGTAAGTACAGTACACTGTGCTGTATAACTACAGTACATTGTACTATGCGATTTCCGTACATGGTACTGTGCTTTTAGGCGATTGGAAAGGGACAAAGGCTACTGTACCGTACAGCAGTTCAACTTATTAGTGGCAGTATGCTAATACAGTTAGGCCTTCGATTGATCGAAAGTCTTTTTTCAATTATTTTGTTGTCTGTCTGTCTGTCTAGTATGCTCAGATGATCGCGTCTATTTCTAGGCGAATGTATGGGCATACTCCCTTTCTGTGTTGTTGTCTGACACAGTTCTTCCCTTTCTAACACTCTCATTCCTTATTAACCTTATTAAATGAAAGAATTGCCTGATTATTACTCTGATCGTGCAGCCGATAGTTATAAATTATTATTATTGGAATTAATTTTAACTCAGGTACAGCTTTTTTGCTACAAAAACCTAATGTACAGTACAGTATGCATTACAGTACTGAAGATGTTAAATTCGTACAATTCAATATTGTAATGAAAAACATAAAACGGTCATTTGTAAAGAGTAATGCTTATATATTTGAATTCTACATCTTGTACTTAATCGAAATATATAGTTTTGGTTTTGGTACGCATCTAAGAATAGCCTTTCTCAACTTCAGTGAATTAATAATTATGGAGAGTAGCGATCAAAATCATCTACCAGTTCTAATATGTAAATTGACCCTTTTTCTAAGACGTCGTCACTGTAGTGTAGCGGTTATCACGTGCGCTTCACACGCGCAAGGTCCCAGGTTCGATCCCTGGCAGTGACATAATGTATGTCTTCCTTTTTTTTCTACTTCGGCCCCAAATCCATCGGGCATTCTTCGCTTTAGAAACTAGACATTATTGGCCAAATGTTGATAGGATTAATAATATAGTTGATGGGAAAAGAAGGCAAGTCCTTCTCATTTGAATAGAATTCATCCTGAGGAGTAGAATTATCCTTTTCAATATACGCGTACAAAGACGCACATTATTGTTTACCAATGGAACTTGATGGGAAAAAGAAACGTAGGCTTGCGACTATGCCTCTAAAGTGGTCAATTTTGCTTTTCTCACCATTGCTATGCTATATATTCCCACTGATTATATCTACTAATTGAATAATAATCCTTGACATCATGCTGTAGGAATTGTATTGAAGGATATTTTTATCCACTAACTTAAAAAGTTAATGGGTATACCGCACTACAACTAGCGCCGCACTTTTCCGCTATTGGACAAACTAAATATATGAAAATTGCCGTTAATTTATATGTCCAAGGTACACATACTGAACCCTTGTATCCTAACTAAGATAGAATTATGTTCATAGTCAGCGGCTCCTTTTTTTAAAGAGAAATTAAATAGTCCCTGCCTGCTAGAGTAAAGAGCCCTATTTACGTCTCATCGACTAGTGCATAGCTTCTCTTATTTCCTTATATAGCTGGCAAATTTAAATATCCTTATAAATAGGCAAGTCCAATTTAAAATCATCATCGCAACTTTCATTGCGATAACAGAGCGATAAATAAGGAATAATTTTCGGTGGAAGACTGATTTAATAGTGTTTCACTTTATTTGATAAATTAATCATATCACGAGAAAAAGAGATGGAAATTGAAATTCACACTCGAAGATTCATATTGTCATTAACACATCATACATAGGTATTAAATAGTGTTATACAGTACAGTATATATTGAACTAGAAATATTAACTTTTACATGCATGAAAAATTAGGATCATTTAGCTGTTGTATTGTGATGACGAGTCAATATCTTAAATGGATATTATAGTGTAGGTAAAAAATAATAATCTCTAGTACTCCGTCATGGCTTCTGAACACGTAATTTAAGAGACACATCGCATGTTCTACCATATAGGTGAGTAGCGTAAGTTGCAGTTAGTATAAACTGCCTATGATCAATGTAAGTCTAAACTGATATCTGGATAATCATGTGAATAGAAGAATTTGCAGAGTATAATTCTAAATTAATGCCGTTAATTAGATTGCGAGGCAATTATGAAATTGTTTCAAGTAGCCATACACTCATGACAGTCAAAATACTGAAATGATAATCATGATTGAGATACAACTACTAAAAAAGAGTTAGTTTTTACATTACAAAATGAAATGAAAGCAATTTTAAAGCATCTGAAAATTGCAATAGAGTGCGTTCATTCCTAGCGAAATTAGCACTGTGAACAAAATTGCTTTCTTATCCATCGTTATGCCATATGCAGAGCTACTGGAATTATCGTTAATGACTGGAGATTCGGATTGAAATGTTGCCTGATGCTGCTCAACAGCAATAACGGTTGATAGAGAGATGCTACCACTTATAGGTAGGTTCTTATTATAAAACATAGTCTGCAAACTTTCAGTCTCTTTGTTACAAATACGAAACTAAAGAAGGTAAAAAAATTCTTATAAGTCTTCCACTTCACATTTATCTCTGTTATATTGCATGAAAGTGTATCAAAATAAAGTCATTTCTTACCTTAGTCATACTAGGAGGATCGGTCATTTTAATTATAATTTGAACATCTCCTTCAAAAGATTTATGCCCGTATACAATGCAATAAACCTTACAATATAGATGACATAAACTATCAATCTTACTGTATCAACACAATCTTAGTAATAGAAATATCATTTTTGATTATATAAAATTAAAATAAAATTGGTAAATTTACATACAATACAATCGAGACTACTTACAGTTGTAAGGAGATTTTGAATTTCTTTAACCAAGTGGATTACAGTTATCGGAGTTTGATCAGCTGCTAGAGAATTGTTATCAGCTAATTCATCACTAATTACGAGTTGGAGATAGGGCGCTAAGTAAAATTTCGACGTATTTGCATATTTTAGGAACAGTTAGAAAACAGTTATCAGAATTAGAAATAATAAAGTTATTTTGCAGATAAAGTCTGAATCTTTACCACAAATAGGACAGCAAGTTCCACTAAGTAAAACCTTTCTGCAATTAGAGAAAGGTAGGGGAGGGCAAATAATGTTGTGACAATAAGATTTAAAACCTTATTATGTAGAGAATGAGTGAAAATTGCCTTTGTCAGTAAGAAGGATCATTCAATCCACATTGGTCATATTTCAAATAATGGAAAACCGGGACTATTACCTTGATAAATACCGACATTCTGACATTCAGAATGATAATCAATTAGAACTTTAGCAGCTAAAGCTGCACATTCATGAATATACGTATTGCCGTCTGTGCCGCAGACTTTACCCGCAGTACTGCATTTATCCTAGATTAATAGTCAATAAGTTGCAAATAATATGGTAATCATGAGATGTTAGCAACTTCAAGTATCATCGTTATTTATATTAAATTAAAATTTACGATTTTATATTATAACTGATTGATTTTACATTCAGCATCTGTTTATAGATTAAATATTATAGCAGATAATCTTCAGCATTACCAAGCAGTAGCCGCTGTAAGAGAATGTTTGTCGGCTTTCAATTAAGCTAATAGTGCTGTTATGTTGTATATTATTAGAATCGCAAACAAAGTTGATGTCCCTCTTGCTCGGGTCCTTATTCTGCTCCTTTATAAATTCTAATAATAGCGAATAAGTCATCAGTTACATGTAAAAGTTTCAAATGATAACAGTCCAACAACATTTACTTTACATCAAAGATATATTTGATACTGTGATTAATAAAATTTATAGCTATGAAAAATGTTATACTGCAGTGCCATTTACATTAGCTTATAAGATAATCAATTGAAATAGTTCAACTTACCGCATTTATATTGTCGACAGCCTGGAAATTGTTTGCCAAGACATATTTTTCTATCCGTAAGACAACTAGGAAGTAATACCAAAAGATCAAAACTAATAGATGATAGTTACGGCAAACTTGCGTGAAATAATTTCGAATTCATTCTTGACTTACATGCCAGAGCTGCATGAAAACACTTGGCAAGGCTCAATTTCAATACACTGGCCAGTTCGATATTCATCCTCCCCCAGTCCAGCACACCTTTATAGGACAGATTATAGGGATTAGAAATTATTACTTGATCTACTCGTACGTTATTTCGTAGATTAAAATACTGATAGCTTTATAGGCTACAGTAACTAGTACAGTACGTACATCCCTAGAGAACAACTTACTGTGCCAGACAGGGATTGCCAAATGTTTGTCCATTTATACCGCAAACAGGCTCATATTTTAATTGGCAATCACATGGTAGACCTAAGGTAATCATGTTTTGATAGTTGGTATCAGATATGGAGACTAAAATATCCAGAGCGGCCTTATAAATTTTTTAAATTAATGAACGGTAGATTGACATTATTTAAGTAAAATAAATGATAGCACTACGTTTTATGTATTATACCTTTAATTGGTTTGCCTACTGAGGCTGAACAATTTTTCTTAGTACATGTTATTTTTCCATTAAAGCAGCCACATAAATTGCAATGATCATAAAATTGTTTACCATGCTCTGATATAGAAAACAAGCCGATTATATCGCTATAGAATACGGTACGTAATGTTGAATATAGGTCAAAATTAATGCAATAATTTTAATGGACATTATGAAAGTTTAATATAGTATTTCTACCTATGGTCTTTTTCCCAGCTATCCTGCAGGATTGTTCGCTATTACAAGGCAAACTATAGCATTGATCAATCATTGAAGTATTGGCGAAACATTTACAAATCATATGGCAACGCTCTATCCCGGGCGTTGCAAGTAACTATAAAGTGCATGAGATAAAGAAGTAAAATTCTAATTAGTTTGATCAATTCAGTACAAACAAGAGTTGAAAAATAGAAATACGTATGTACAGCAATATATTGTAATTTACTCACATATATAATAAGATTGTTTATAATCATAAAGATACAATACTAATACGCGAACTAACCTTAATGTAGCTTCCCTTTTTTATAAAGTAATGCGATGCTACGCCTAATGGGCAATCTTAAAGAGGCAATCAAAGATTAATTATATCGTACGATATAAATTCGACAATGATTTGATATTTACCAATATGGTATAGATCACTATAGTTATAATATTGTAACCGTAGCGCTATAAATAATTTATAGAGTTAAGAAGTGCTTATTAGTTTTGTATAGTGTTAGCTGCCCCTGGTGTAGATGTGGTTATCGAATTTTATAGTACTGTAGGTCTTTAGGACTTAAATTATTTTGGATTTATCATTTAAATACGGATAGTCACAGAATATAATGTCACATCTCATTTATGGCTTAAATTTTAAAATGATATTTGACTCATTTATTCGCATGATCGAAAGCTGTAATCCTATATCTAAGATGTGTTTGTAATGGATAAATCTCTTATTGTCGATCAAATAAATACTGGCCAATATCTTTGGCATACAGTTGTTTATAGCATCATCGTATCAATTTAGTATTATAATAGATCTCTCTAGATCAGATCTGTTGCATTTCGATATATAATTTTATGGTTTAAACTTTTCAAACAATATTTGATTGACTCATCTGTCAAATAAACCTGTTATCCCATACCTGATAAACATCTATAGCTAACGCAATCCTTATCATCAACCAGACATCGGTTAATAATTTCGCATTTAGACGAACCACATGGATTTGGATGACATGGTGAAAGCCTCTCTGATGATTGAATAAAATGATTAACAAATAAGCCACATACGTATACGAATATAATGGTAATAAAGATGTAATTTATATTAAAACTACAATATTCAGCAACGATAAATGATGAACGTTGCTATTTAGACAGGCTATCAATTCTTAGTCTAAAGCGTATTAAAACTATAACTAATTATAACTATTAACGATAATTTTAATATTTTTACCGGTAAGATTGAGGGCTGTCCAGCTATCTGTTGATATTTCAGTTGTATTTCCTTTCAATGTAACAAGCAATTTAACTATTATTATAATTTGTTTATAAGCTAATAATTACGAATATTTTTTTTACACTGTTCCTATAATCACTTGTACTAAAATTTGTATTTTACTGTATTGTTTTAGCCTATAAAGATACTCCTAAAATTTAAGCTATACGTGTATGTAGGATTGTAGGCAGCAGCATAAGATTCTAGATGCGTCATTTCTTATTATCTCAAATCTTTCTGTACTACTTATATAGAGTAATGAATTTTATGAAAGTTCTTATTTTACTGTCTAGGTCTACAAGGAAAGTTCTTAAATTTCAGCCGTATTAAGAAGGTGACGTGAGACTCTAGATACTGTATATTACTTGATATCATAATCTCAGCTAGTTATATACTAAATACATGAAATGCAATAGAAATGATGTACATTGCTAATACATGCAAATCCATTACCGATATAATCCTCTAGACGAATACAATGAGGATAGGCAGAGTTTGTAGCAATTAAGTTATTACACAATGATTCGACGATATTATTGGTAACGTTATGAGAACAAGATCTTATTATCTGTTTGCAATCTGATCTATAATTAAATTTAGAAAGAAAGAGGAATAATTTTAATATGCTCTGGAGAAAGCGAAATATGGAGATCTTGAATAACTTACTTGCAAATATAAGCGCCATGAAATCTGGTATGACATGGCCTTAATTGTAGAATACAAGCCATGGCCTGTTGTATTCATCCGAATGGACAGGAAATAGGTTAATTAAATGAGATAATAAATAGCGGACATAACGTTAATAGTATTACAGCTATACCTTCCAAATGTTAGGATAACATGTTTCAACATCGATCGAGGCAGCCGAGGCCAATGTTGATTTAATATTATTATATACTCTTTGGGCATAAGAATCAGAACTGCTGTCGCAGTTTCTGAAGTAAGTTAATGGTCTGAAAATGCAAATGCAAATGCAGAATAAGTCTTAGCATCATTAGTCATTCAATTATTAGTATGATCAATAAAAATGATTAAGTTGCGATTCGTTAAACTACAGAATCATCCTATTGTATAAAGTGTATGACCTACCACATCATAAGAGCTCATAATACATAATTACCGATTAAAATTGCTACAAAATGTTAAATTTCTACATCCAAGCTGGCATGGTCGCACGACTATTTATGATCAGAAATTAAACCATTTCATTAGTATCCTAATAAATTGGAGTATAGTTTCAATAATTGAATGTCTTCATTTAATAGGTAGATATTGTAACTACCATCTCTTACCATCCAATAAACAGGTATTGAGCTTGCCCTAGTAAATTTTTTATATAATAAGATTCAGATTATAAGTTAAATTAAATAGTATCAGTAGCAATGACGACCATTTTTAATATATCAATAATATCCTATACCATACTTTAGAATAATATAGCTTTCACTTTATTCCTAGGTTTACTATATACTGCAATGGTCACAAGACGATGAAGTAAAATATAACTTACCTCTTCAGCAACTGAACATTTTCGATTATATCGATCAAAATCATATGGCGGAATCAATGTTTGATTAAATAGCTGCCATTGTATTTAGTTTTCATATTCATATGGAAGTAAAATTAGCCAACATGGGATAAAACAAAGTTAAATTTTAGTCTCTATAGCATTCAGATGAGCTTCCTACAGGTAATTACAGGGAATAACTTGATACCTTGAAGCATAATTCACTGCATTGTAGAGAGGAAGCTTTGCTACAACACTGTAATTTCCCACCAAAACGTCCTGTAGCCGGTAATTAAGAAGAAGTTAGTAGTTTGATTCGGCTATTTACGGCAGATAATCAATTTAAAATTTAATTTTATGACATTAAGATCAATAATAAGTTAGGAAGTAATAGAGCTGGTAGCAATTAATGTAATGAAATACAACCGGAGATCTTTATCAAATCTTTTAAGCAAGGTATTAATTATTCAGAAACTAGTTAATTCATATCAGTTCTACAAGAAATCTATAAAATCTTGTCATTAAGACTCTAGTTGTTCTATGAATATAAATTGAGTTTTAACATGTATTTACCAATATCCCGGTAATAGAATGCTCTTTGCTCAGATTGAGAAGCTAAATATTTTTGAAAAGGTCAAGATGACAGTTACCACAGTGATGAAATGGCTGATTATTGAGATCAATTCATCCAATCTTATATCTATGATAATGCGCTCATCAAGTAAAGATTAATTCGTCTTACATTGAAGATTTTGCAACAAACAGTAAGGGATTGGCGACTATCAAGAGTAAAAATCCATATTCCAAGGGAAAGAAAATAAATAAAATGAATCAGGAATGGAACTATAATTTATATAGATTATTTGTTGTAAATCTTAATCACATATTTTAAAGCTCCTATTATAATTATTCACTCACCAAAATACTATTCTTTCTGCACTTCCTTCGAATATAATAAAGTTTTTCTAAATCACTATACTTAGCGTTCATTAATGCCTATTACAATGAATACCAATAGAATCACTTTACCTCAGTATTTACAAACTTTCTAAAATGTTTCTAGTAAAATAGAGAGATTTATTTCCTTTAATCTTACTCTTCGACAAGTAGATGCGCACTGTTTCAGAGTAGTTCTACTACAGCAGGATAGGCCTAGAAGTAAATTAATTTGTTGAAAGTATAACTAAATTTGATACAGTCACAGTGATGATGCATAGGGTAAAATTTAATTTCAAAAGTTTCAAACAAGAGTATAGGGAATCTTTTCTTTCGAATGCGAAAATAACATTAACAAAAATCTCCTCGAGAAATCTTGCAAAATTCGTCTTAGAATGTAATCATAAACTACTATCTATCCGTATTTTAATAGAATATAGCTAAAACCTAACCTGGTACAGTTTGCTTTGCTAGATCGGATTGAGCATATTCCATAGCACATCGATAAACCTAAATAAATAATAAAATGTATGGAAAGTATCCAAATTGTAATTATCGCTATGATTTCTACTACTTCAAAAAATTAGCTTTCCTACGTAAGAAATTGGAAATACCTCGGGATCGGCATACTTGCAATGATACTTTAAATCTGACAGGTGAGCCCTGGAGATGTTAATATCATTTCGAAAGATCTGAAAATGTTTATGATTTTTAGTTGGGATTACCGTCTATTGATCAACACTAACTTTGTGAAATGAAAATTTGAAAGTAAATAGATAGGAAACCAACCATATTACAAGCTCTACTACATCTTGATCCAATCGATGCAATATTACAACATCCCTGAGAAACTGTAATATAGTAGAAATAACTTATACAAGCAAAATCGATCTTAAAATCATAGACTACCTGTACTACTTATTGATTATAGCAAGTCTATCTTTTGGTTTCAAAAAAGTTTCACCAATTTATTCCACACCCACCTTTCTTTCTCTCGATGCATGCCATTAAGAAATGCTATTAATAGAAGCAGAAACAAGTAATATTTTATTAGTTCTTTGTTTTGGCAACAGCCTTAGCAGAAAGCAACTAGGGCTTCTACGATGTTTTACATCTTAAATATGTTATTTACTTCTGTAGTGTTAGGACATCTCTCATTTAGCCTTTGCAAATGGTGTGTCTTGGATAGTTTCGAAAGAGCACAAGAATTAGAGAAAAAAAACAATAGCGACGAAGATAATCCATTAAAAATGATCAATTTAGCAGTGAACAGGGAAATTATTTAGCTATTTCTGTAGTTTTTCCTACCTTTAGACATGTTTTTCGACATCTATTTGTAACCGTAACGTTACAACAATCTCGCCATATTGGTTGATCATCGAAAAGGGCTGGGGTGCCCACAAAAAATTCTGACAGAAAGACAAAATATTATTTTTAACTAGAAAAATTTTTGTTCAATGAAACACTTTCTAAGTTGTTTATTTCAGCATGTTCAATTGTTCATCATGCTAAATCTAATATTTTGATCAATTGAGGAAGAAATTCGATCAACTAAATTCGATTCTCCTTTACTATGTTTTAATTAGTATTATATGACTCTATCTGGAAGTAGACAGTACGGAATTGAAATATCTCTTAATTTCAATCCGCTTTAAATCTAAATAGCTTCACTAAGACTCTTTAATTATGTTACACGCATAAAATGCCATAACCTCTTCGGGAAGAGATTGTAACAATCTGAATGCTATGACGCTAGGTTCGTGTTTGATAATTAAAGTAGTAGCCCTCGACCCACTCTATTTTGATACCTTTTACTGTTGCAAAATCCATTATAGAGATAAAATAAATTAAAATCATGGTACAATATGAATATGTACATATGAAGATCATTCGACTAAAACCTTTTCTAAAATTGTAAGTACTGCGTTCTAAAGTACAGGCATTGATTATAATATTCTAGCTTAATATTAATAATTATAATATCAGTTAGTTCATCAATTTACCTGATCGAGTTGGAGGAATACATTGCCAAAACTGCGTCTGATAATTTAGAAGAAGTAATTAGTAAATTCTTGCATTCAACAGTTGTCGATAGGATACTTATATTGAATTGGCGTTTTATTGATTATATATGTAATTATTTGTCCCTTGTTTAATGTAATTTATATAGTTTATTACTTTCCATGTTTTGTTCTGTTGGTGCAACATGTGGCTACTAATATTAATACTATCATACGGATATACTTCAAACGTAGTGGCTAGTAATAAGTACAGTATGTGTATTAAATAAATTTGTCTACAAATAATTACGATTATTTTGGTCTTCGTCTTCTATTTATGCCAAGATATTTCTATAATTTCATTTCTTAATTTGCATTAACAGATAATAATTATGTAAAATGCTCGCTCTACATAATTATCTTTGACGCTTTTTTTTAACTGTAAGTAATTCAAATCTACCGAATTTCCTGATTGATTCTGCTGTTTTATATGTCTATGATATAATATGGCATATTCCTCACTCATTCTTGCAGTTCATCTCTTTCGTTCATTATAGGGTGTACACTGTACAGTGTACACCCTATAAAGTTGTCATTAAAATATTGATATTGTTATAAGCAAATTAATGTACTAAATTTTATGTAGATATAGTTATGCTTAATCAAGTCTGTAGGTAATGTAACATGACATTTTGCTTCCCGCGTCAAGCTAGGCTATAGATTTTTCACTCAGCTTCAACCCTATGTTGCACAATAAGTATCGCCTATGCTAGTATGTTCTTCAAATTAAATTCCGCATTAACGTAGCCGTTTTAACAGCAAAAAGCTCTACCTAAAATATCAGAGTCTTAAAATTTATATTTTTAATAATTATGTTATAGCACTAAATCTACGATCTAGATATGTAGGATTAATACCGAAAGCACGAGACAAGGAAAAGTTGCCGTGTTTGTAATGAAAGCATGTCATACTAATACATTAAACTAATTGGTAAAAATACCGCATTCCTTATTGCTATAATAGGTCGTTATACTGTTTTATTTCAATTATTCAATGAATTTCCAACAGAAGAAACCTGTAATTACTTAATTTTATTGATAGTAAGTTCAATAGGGGCATATTAAGCAAAGAATATGCACTGATAAACTATGCATCGAGATGTAGAGGTAACTATTTCTGCCGTAGTTAGAGCAAATCCATTTAGAGGGATTAAGAGAGTTTTTCTTCAAAAGTATAGAAGAACCTATCTAATTTTCGACATGCCTCTCAGTTACTAATTATCGGCATTATTCATAAAATTATAGTACAAAATTGTAAAGGTAAATTATATGGGATACAATTTAAAGAATGCGCACTGTGTCATAGCTAAGTTGTACTTCTACTATACTCGCATTTATTACTGCTAAATGTAGATATTTTTCTACGGCGAAGAATGGTTGTATGAGTAATCGACATATTGTGTGTATTTAATATTTCCTCACTCATATAGAAGCAAAGCACTATCTTTTGTTACTGTAAACGTGGTCTAATTAGAATCAACGCATCTTAAGTAGTCAATTGCAACATAGTAGGTAGCTGCGGTGGATATTAACTTCCTTTGGGTGTCGGCTAATTCTGTATAGTCATACATTTATTACCAAATCGTACATCAAAAACATTTATCCTAAACGAATACAGAAGGAGTAAAAATAATGCCGCGACGCTATGATGTATTAATTATAACTAGGTAATTATTGGACTAGTTAATAGGCGAGATATACATTAAATTGATCTAAAAATATCCTCGCGTATAATTTTAAGGCCGCTAGACATGTAACTCTATATCTTGATACTATAACATAACTGCGCCATTGATCTTAAAATAGGGACATTAATAATTTTCGTAAATAATTGCTGAAGTCTGGCCAATTAGTCAACCATCAACTCGAGTTTACTCGATCTAATGGTAATAGCCGCATATTGTATAGCTAGCTATATCGTCATTATAACTAGAGAAAATCTTGCAAGTATACTGTATACGAAGAGGATTATATGACATTTCACTAGAGCAAATTGAATGCACGGAAATAATTTTTCATCGTACAGCGAGAATCGATCAAGAATTGAGCGTTATAATAGTTGTTATATACTCAATCAATCATGTCGCCACCACGATTCCGTATATATATACATATCTGCCTCTATGTGATACTTATTCGAAAAAATCCGGTACACAATGATGATCTTTATCGCAATTGCATATTCGCTGTAAATTAAGTCCTATTTGTATTACATTGCGCTATAATTTATTCAATCCTATATTAAATATATAGCAAAATTGCTGCAAACTGCTATCGTATACATTCACCAATATATATATCGTCAGATATGATATCTTGTTTGTGGCGACTTAATGTTCAACGATAATTCTCATAATAATTAGAGTATAAAATCTATTAAACGCTAAATCAGCTAGCCTCGTGTAGTTTGCTCCATCTGATAATTATTATAGATAGCAATATGAACTTTTGCGCATCTTATTTCGATAAATTTAAAATTGATCATCGCGGTCAGTTGAGACAGTTTTGATTGTGACAGCAGACATTAATGTAAATGACGTTATCCTCAAATCATACTTATAACCATTAACAGTAATATGCCATACTGTGTAGCGGTAGTTTATAACACAGTAGGGAGTGCAGACGTATACTAGCGCGCAGACAATGCGAAGAAATCATTAAAAGATGATAATTATGCCGTCTATAATTTAGATACTACATCATAATATTAGATAAAATAATACACTACAATTTACCTGCCAACGTAATGGCTGCAGATGTCTCCATTATTTAATTTAAACTATTATTATAAAAATAAATACTAATTTATTTTCGATATATCAGCGTGATGGCAACAGTTTGGTGGATACAACGTTATACTATTTATATTATTGCCGAAAAATTTATGTACTTGACCTTGCTCTTATTATTGACATGACACAGTATTGTATAATACTGCACAAATAGCTAAATAAATGAAACGCATATTGTTCTGTACTCAACTTACATTATTAGAAGGGCAACGCTCTAGCAAGGCAGTTACACTCTTCGTATAACCTTCCATGTCGCCCGGATGAACACCGTACAGCTATAATGAAAGAGAGTAATAAAATTTCTTAATTTATTCATAAGTAGTAAATACACATAGATAAAAAGTTATTAATTTTTAAGTATAACACGAACAATTATGATTTAGTTATAATCTCTCCTCTTCGCTAGCGCTGTATCAAACATATTATTCAAAGTCGATCATTGTTGACATTGATAGTATTGATACTATATTGAATTGCGATCAAAGATTCCGATGTATTGTGACATTTTTCAATGCTATCCAATGTAGCTAGGCTACAAAAAATGAGATGAATTCAATACAAGTGTATTTGTTGACTTTCTTCCACGTCATTAAAAGAACATGAAGAATTTGAAGGTCATATTGTATCTCTCAATAATTTACTAAATTGATTTGTAGCGTTTCTATGAATTTAGTTACAGTTATACTTACTAATATCGTATATGGAATCATTATAGGACAATAACATGCACATGATACACGCGTATTTGTTCAACAGAATACACCAAATTAAAATCGTAATTATTTTACTCTAACGGTAATATAGAGTAGAACTGTATTTATTCCCCACTGAAAAATGCAATCAAGGATGAAATTATGTCCTAATATTAACCATTGGCATTAGCTGATACCTATATAGAAATATGCATCGCTTAAATAATGAATCTATTGCAGCTATTTCTAAGTTAGAAATTCAGTATGCAGTTGCATTCATTAAAACTGCTTTTGATAAATAATCACATTTTATGCAATTCATGCATAAAAAGTGAGAGCATTTAATGCTACCTCCATCATATGCTTTAGCATATACTTTAAATGGATATTAGATACAAGCTTTTCGAAATTAGATTAGATCATTTTGCATAAAATCAATTTTAACCTGACTCACTAATAATTGCAGTAGATTGAAAGATACCATTAGCTTATACCCTAACTCAAAATGCGCAAAATGACTTTTCAATTGTTGAATCATGCATTATCTTGGCGTTAGGTGAATTAGACTTGAAGAATATGCTAACGTAACGAGGAATAACATGAGCATGTAAAACAAGCCAAAAATAATATATTACTCGTATGGATGTTATGGATGATAAAGAAATGTGTGATACTTTGATTTTTACGCAAACATGATATATTACGGCATGTAGTGCTTTGATTTTACGCAAATGTGACAGATGTTATAGGCAATCAACCTGTTGCATAAAGTAATTTTAGTTTATGATGGAGGTAGTATTTCGTTTAATAAGGTGGATATAATTAGATGTTGCTAACGTAGTTGCTGCAGATATTGAAGAAATATATAATGGCTTAGATGTACGCAAATAAAATTAATGTTGAATTCTATCAGCCAGCAGCGTAAAGCAACTTTCAATCTATCAAAAGGAATAGCTTTCCCCTTTATCGTAAGGATGTTACTATAATTTTAAAATGAAGATTTTACTAGCGAAAATTTCATATATTAAAGCATAAAGTTTGAGAGTATAGAATTTAAGAAAGAATATAATTTAAATGCTTTTAGTATCGTTGCAAGATGAAACTGTACTGTGCACCAGAGTATGAACATAATTACATAGTGGTTGTGTTCAATTATTATCGATTACTAGAATCAATGCTAATTTAATTACGATTAAAATACGCTTACTATAGCGATTTCAAGTAATTTTATGAGTACTTTGGTATGATATACTGCGCTATTTTAAAATCTTAAAATAATTTACTAGAATATTTAGATGATATGGTTTTATCTATCAACGAAACCAAGTGTAATAGTATATGAATTGAAGGAGCACTCTTACCTCTAAACAGGCGGCTTTACAATCGAGAGAATCTGTTGCCAAGTTGCAGCAAGAAGTTGTTGTAGCTAAATCATGTTAAGGTTCAAAAACAAAATGTAGAACTATAAATACGAAAGATATCGCTTTATAATCTTCTATTAGATTACTTTATACAGGGAAAAAATTGGTAGACTGAAAGTTGGATCCAAGCCAACATACTACACATTGTAGAAAATAGCTGTTAGTAGTAAATTTTAACACATTTCTAATGCTGTCGATCATAGGTCATCAACTATATCAAATTGAAATCTACGTCATTAATCGACAGCTTCAGCTACAGAGATTGCAATATTTATCATATTATATTCGTAAGTATGTTGAACAATCTATTTTGGTCAGTTACAATATATAATGGTATAAGAATAAGAAGTACCAGAGGCAATTTTACTTACCAGTAATTAGTGAACTGGAAAGGAAAGCTGTTGCTAGGATAAAGCAAGGTAAAAGTAACATTGCGAGCACTTTTCGTTGGTCTTACAGGTAGTTAGTATTAGGTCAAATATGATCGCTTTTAGTTGATTTAATTTGATCATATAACTGAATTGACTTGAAGATGTATTTTATATAGCCTCGGAGGAAAGTAAATGGAATGAATAGAGTTCTCTTGCGGAAAAATGATATTTCCGTTGCAAATTAAGTAAGTCCAAATACTAGAGGTGAATACTAGTGGTAATTTAGGCAGGGTCTATATAGAAGAAAATTGTCAATCTAAATTACCTATTGTTATTATTCCTGTCTGATAGATAATATATATGACGCCAGTAACTGACGAATAGATAGACAAAGCAACATGAAGGCGTCGGTTAGCTTTCAACTAGATAACGTTATTTAATATATAATAGATTAAAATATAACATTAGGCAGGTAGATAATAGTTTTAATTATAAATCGACTCTTCAATCAACTCATCGATATTCTTATTTACACTCTTTTTATTTTTGCTTTACAAGCAACATGTTAGTTTGTTAAATTACATCAATCATCGGTAGATTGAAATTACGATTAATCATTGAGTGCCGATCCAATCAATTTCAAGATTGGTGATAATTATCTATTTATAAATTGATTTTTTCTTCTTGATTTAATAGTATTAATAATAATTTTTTGTACCATAGCCTTCAATACTTGACTACTGGAGCCTACATTTAGTAATTTGTATTATTGCCATGGCTATTAGGAACAAATTTTATCATTTATCTGTTTGATGTCTAAGGATATTATGCTGTAATAAAGATCCATTGATAAATTTGTTTTTTTACTTGATCTTAATGAATTCTATTGATAAAATTTTTTATTTATGGTACGTAGGCTTAAATAGTTGCATACAAAGACTACATCAAATAATCCGTATTATTATTTTGGTTATTATGGGTAAAGTTACTCAATTATCATTTTTTCTCCTCTACACAGTATTGCAACTTCATCATAGTAGATATGTTAGAATTTTGTAGATTGTTTACCTATCCGTTTAACTTTCTATTGCAACAGGTGGGTAAAGTTTAATACGATTCTCTCTCTTGGCATAAAGATGATAGTTAAATTTTCTATCTGCATCTGTGTAAATATATTAATGTTACGGTACTGTGTAGCTATTGTATTTCTTATTTTATTCTTTGGTTTTGTTTTTATAAGTTATTATGAAATATGTTTTATAATCTATAATTACCTTTAAGTAGAGGATAATTTCTAACCGATGGTCGTGTTAGTGTACTCGGATATTTTAGTGTTACAGGATACAGTAACAATCTTAATTATCTATCCTATCCTCCAGCTTTGTTTTATAGCTTCTGACAGAATACTCGTATGCTTGTATTCTATAATCACCTTTGAGTGAATGTTAATTACGATCCAATCTTTTTTTATTGCCTCACGATTGCAACTCGACTATTGTTGTAGCAATATGATACATTAATGAAAGGCATAACTCTTTCCTTTTCTTATACTTAGGGATATATCCCCAGTACAGTATTCTCTGTAGTATGAAATCATAAGGACCAGTATCATAAAAATTAATGATACCTACTTAATTAATTTAAGTAGATCAAAGACATTTACCGATTGTACCCTACCTCGAAATGAAGAGGGCCCTGTTTTACAATAAGGATTGATTTCTGAGTAGGATTCAATATTGAAAAATGGCTTATGGTGCTAGATATTGTTAGTATCTTATCATTACAAGTCAATGTCAGCTTTACATAAATGAATTCTAATTATCATTCTATGAAATTTTTAAACTAGCTAAACGTCACTCGATCAATAATGTAGACGTTTTTTCTATCCATGGTATATGACGAATACGATTATATCTTTATTTATTTTTTGTTTATTACAATTAATTATTGATGCTATGGTTATAACTATTCTACGCATATAGAGGAGCCGGAACTATCTAAGCTATTACGATTGTATTCATATCCTAATTTAAGCTCAATCATGCTAGAAATAACTGCTAAGTCTATAAAAATGTCGATAGGTAGCAAATTTTACTTGCTGTATTGTGTACTGTTGTACAAGTAACGAAATAAATTAATAAAGTGATGTGGAGTTACAAGCAAAATCTGCCATATTACATGATAAATCGGATACAGTACCGTAGTTATTTTTGTACTATTCTTCATTTTTAGTTACCTGATAGTCTTTGTTGATCTTATGATAATAACTGAAACAATGCGGTAAAATCATCTAAAATTTCGCTAACATGTGCGATACATGTCAATGTCCTCAGGGTCAATCAGTAAATTATTCTAAGCCAAGCTATTAAATATTTCTGAATCGAAATTGATGATATTTACTATTCGAAAATATTATAATGATAGCTCTGAAAATGAAAATAAATCATCATCTTAATTTCGATAACATAAGTGAAATTATATGCTTAATAATAGTATATAATATACGTCAGGTAAGTTTACTTGTAACGAATTTAGCTATGATAAACTTAGCATTTTAAGGTGAAAAAGTTTCCCAATGATTCATAAGTTTGCGGCGCCTTTAAAGTTTTTTTCTTCGCTAATTTTAATAACTCACGTGAATCAAAAGCACAAATTAATGAACGGTATAGGTTGTGTCAGGTATGCTGCCCTTACTTACTCATTGAAATTAGAACAGTCCTCAAATAAGATTCCTATAAAATTTCAAAAACGTCTAAAAGAAATTATCGTAATGGTGGCTATACTGTATAAGAAAACGGTATGCTGATGTAGCTGGTTTGTTATATAAGGACTATTTTACGGGTGTATGATGTATTCTGCACGTAATGAAGGTACTCGTAACGATGTATAGTTAAATTGTACTTCATGCTATATACGCTTATTCGTAAAATATCACAGTCGGATAATCGTTCTTACCATTGAAAGTAGTCTAATCTAGCTCCAGTTTGCTCAAAGATCTACCTTTGCAGTATTTTCTTTATACCGTACGCTCTTTACTGCATAACGGCAATGACTAAGCTGATAGCTTTACATTGATTGGATGTCTTTATGGGCAGTTTAGACATTTTAGTAAAATATAAGCAATGGTAAAGTATAATATATCGGTTTACATAGCAATCTTCTAATGCAATTTGTTCATTGCTTTCACAGTCAACTTGCTGAGTTTATTGATAAATGTGAATTCATGCTTCCTTAAAGTATAACAAATTAGCAACAGTCGCAGCACTCAATGAATACTTGTTTTTATTACTAGTCAAGGCCTTGAAATCTATTGATTTACAAAACTATATTTTAAAATAGCTATCAGGAATACTTGACGAGATTTATTTTATTTTACTTAAATCAATAAAATATGTACAACCTCATACAATCATACATGCCGAGTAACCATTAATAGTAAGTCAGCGTATATTTAAATTAGCAAATTTGGTACGAATACATTAAATATTGCGTATCATATATAATATGTATATTAGTATTATACAGTATATAATTATTGTGCGTTCAAAATAGTCAGCTGCTCCTGATGCTAGTTTATTTAATCAATTTATCATATAAATTTGTTTCCAATAAAAGACACTTTATTCATTGCTGTTGGATATTTGAGTATAACGTTATATTATTTTTCATTGTAGGTTGGTTAGGCATGGGAGAATTAATTGTACCAGTTTGGCGGATTTGTCTTAATTCATTCAAGTAAAAGGGAATAAATGACATATAGCCACTAGACCAACACTGAAATATAAAACATTAAGACTAATGAATGATAATTGACACTCTGCAGCGATTAAAATTTAGGAAATGCGTGAAAGCATCAGTATATATATATATATATAACATTTAACATACCACTGATAATAAAGTTTTGTTGATTCTACTGCTATGGAATTCAATAAGGTCGGGTGTTTCATTAGCTTCTCCTCTAATGAAACCGCTAGTTCATATACAATATAAGATTAGAATAGCAATGGTAATGGTAATGGCGATAAGCCAAAATTTTTCAGTATTATCAATAAAAATTCGATACTGCTATACAATAATCTATACCATAAAGATATCCTAAAATTCGGTTTTAGCGTAGTCAGAAAGGTTACGATAACTTCAGAATTACTCTCTTCATCATCATCGTTATCTAATGCAAGGTAATTGATATCCATTTAATGATTACTACTAATCAAACAAAATATTTACATTACACTCGTCGATGTACTAACTGGAAAAAGTAACCGCAAGGCGTGACCCATCGTTTTCCCACGATAGGTTGCATATATTTCCTCCAACCCTGTTACAGTATGCAGTGTTGTATTAAAAGCATCATCATCGAGAGGGTAATCAATTAGCGATAGAAAAGGGCTTATTAGGAAATTTTCTTAAAAGAAGTTCAGTTTTCTACTCACTTTACACCGTTACCAAATTCAAATCTTTGCAAGTTTGTTAAGTTTGTAGCAACTTCTCCACTACTACCTAATTTACCATCTAAAAATATGAGAATAATATTCAATTAATGTGCATAATTATCGCTATTATCGCTGACGCTATCTTCAAATATTGACCTTTAAAGTTTAAAAAATATAAGGAAGAATCATTTCTTAATGAGAACAGTAATATTTTTCCATCAGGGCTCCAGCATGCGCTCTTACAGCTAGACTTTAATCTAGACCATTTTTCGCATGACCACCATCTAGTTTCCCAAACTCTGTCAAAGATATTTTTGTTTTTGTAAATATTCGCAATTGTTGACGATTTATCACGCTGCTTAATATGCTTACGTTAAATCTTTCTACCGAAACATAATATTACAATACCTAAAGATCGATTCAGAAGAGGCAGCAAATAGCTTTGATCCATCAGGGGACCATTTTAGCAGGGAAATTCCACCACTTCTACGTAGAGGAGTGCAAGTTTCACTTTCTACGTCCCATATCTGTCGTATCAAATATGGACATCAAGACAAGAAAGTAAAAATATAGTTAAACTATAGTAGGTATGCATATACCATACCATCAAGGCATTATCAAGGGGACATCCAGAAGCTAAATAGTTTCCGGTTGGACTCCATGCCATTGTGACGACAGGTGAATGCTTTTTACACTCCAACAAGCGGATGCCTTGCCTGCGATGAATAATTATTTAATTGAGGAAATCAGATTATCGTTCATTTCTTTAAGTTGATGATAAAAATAACTTTTCAAAATCTACCTAGACGTAGTATCTCGGGTAGAATTTAAATACCAGATGATAATGCCATGTAATCCACCAACTGCGAGAGTAGAACCTGCAAATGGCCTGTAATATGGAGTAATAAATGATGAATACTACTTGCGGTCGTTACTATGTTTTAATAATTATTGACAATAATAAATTTAAACATGGATACGAACTTACCTCCATGCAAGACAAGTTACTCCTTCTTGCTGGCCATGCTTGAGTAAGTTATATTTATCACTGTAATATGGGAGTGTGAAGTTACGGCATCATAATAAATCGCATTTTGAATGAAATTGGTATTAACGTTACTAACTTTGTTAAAGACATTATTCTAACGGTGTTATCCTACAATAAAAGACAGATGAGAATCAAACCATGATCTATTTCCTTTATAGACTTGCATAACAGGCGATTTTATAATTTATTAATATGCACAATCGATATTTTGCCAATTTCGATAACATTACCTTAAAACCGACAGCAAATTTGGAAATGTGCGGATGCCAAGCTAGAGCCACAATAGAAGATCGCTTACTGTATGTATCAGTAAAGGTAGTAATTTAATCAGTAACTTTACTTGAATATATTACAAACTTGCATAGACTGTTAAGCAGTAGCTAAAGTTTTAAAGATATTTTACGCTGCATTAACGTAAACAGATACAACATTTTTTTAGAGACTATTACATGACATAAGAATTACCCATGCGGATGAAGATAGCTGGCTTCTAGTTGTTTATTTATCATCTGAAAAAAACAATAGCCAATTGGTTAAAAATGGTAAGTCTTAAGTTGTATAGTCATAAGTTGTTCTATCTTACAAATGATGCAGGAAACCATCGCTTTTGTGCATTTAAAATACAAGTTAGCACTTTTTCGGTTAGTTTCTGTAAGTTGAAAGTCCAAGTCGCTTTTTGATTATCGTCTAAAGAACTCTCTATTACTGATAATTCTTGAACAATGCCGGAAATACCGCAAGTTTTCCTACGATGAATGCAATAATATTAGTATGCTATCGTTATAAAGCAATCGACAATTCATGATTGATCTATAGTATTGTGTATAGTTATTGTTTTTGCTATATCGCAATGTTCAGTGCAGGCGCCATTAGAATAGCGAATGTGCATATATACAGCTGAAAATGAAGTACCCATTTTTATCATATGAAATCATAGCAACTATGACGCTGACAAGCATAGACTATCGAAAGAATATACTACATACTGTATGCAATTTAAACATACGCGTATATATTCTGACTGCAGTAAACAAGTAAGGTACATTTGTTGTAAATAGTATCAGTGAATGCATTATTGGTTGCCACATAATCCATTATATTCTTATTGTGAATTACAGCAGGATCGAAAAGAAACATACCAAGCACGTGAAATTTTCTGCCAGTAATTACTTTGCTGCTTAACAAAGGCCGATCTAACAGAGGATGATACGATTCGAAATTTTTCTAGTTCATTATTGACCTCAATGCGTTTATAACTGGAAATCTATGAGCATGAAAAGTAATTTTGGATTACATCATCGTTATTGCAGCACGTAGCAGGTTTGGTAAAGAATAGTAAAATGGAATATAACCATATAAGAAAAAAATTTGATAACTTTACATCAAGTATAATATAGAAGTTAAATCAAGGCGAAATGTGGTAAACAACTGATAATAATATGACTGTCATATACTGTCTGTACTGTAGTAGAAATTGTCTACCATGCACAACTTTATTTCTATCATTGGGTATTGTAGCTAGTCCTATTACATATATGGAAGTTATTTTTCAAAGCTTTTGCATTCAATGGTATCATTGCAGATGGATTATTATTATCTTACTCTGTCTCATCGTGATGTACCTGAGTAACATGACTATTGCAACGTAGTTGATCGGCATCTTCTGTAAGGTACAAGCAGTTTTTCTCGCAGATAGTTACTTGATTTTCAGTGGGAGGAAGTATTTGTATTGCACTGAAGCAACTAGGTTGTTCAGGATCACTTGTATTGGTATTTTCCATTGATTGAATCCTATATGAAGTAAAATCAGAATTTCTATATTAAAATTAAGAAAGAAACGTTCCAGGTTTACGGTTATTTGTAGTATTACTAGTAGCATAAGTGGCATTCTACCAGTAGTATATCCAGATATAGCTATCTAATTTGCAGTGACATTGATTAGTTTACTATACGTTCCGAAGTGCACTATACTTGCTACATGCCAGTCTAGTAACTGTAATATTTAAAGTTGCAAATCTAAAACGTGGCAAATTAAAGTATTGTGCAAAATTTTCAACTTGTAGTACTGTGATTGCAGGAAGACTTTCAGGAATAATACTGTACTACACAGTCATCATACTAGAATAAGATGAATTAAGATCATCTTACTCAATGACAGCGGCCGTAGTGAATGGTTTAAACGGTCTACAGGTCATAAAACTGTTGGTGTCTTCTCGAGATTTTGTTCATAGTTTTACAGTGATTATTCGCTGAGATACGAAATTGATAGTGATGTCTGCTACAAGTGACTACTAATGACATCATTGAAAGCCATTTACACTAAGCTCAATGAAATTATAAAGCCGAAAGACTGATTTAACATTAGGTTAGACTACCCTGTTGCAGCTATCACAATCAATTGCGTACCACGTATCATAAGTAATATTCTATTAGTATCACAATCAGAACAGCGAATCCATCGGTAGTGACATTGACGAATTCACTGTGGGAGTAGGTCAAGTAATAAGCCATGCTAGCGATATTCGTATTCTACTCGTTTAGTAAGTAGGTTTAGAGTGGAAAGTCTAAAATGAAGCAGATGATTGTGTCAAATTTTCAACTTTGTAATACTCTGATCGATACTGTAACTACGGTGATATCATTGACAGACAGTCTTACAGCAATCATTATCTGTACTACTATCGCCATTGAATGATTTGATTGCAATTAATAAGGAAAGAAACTACAGGGAGAAAATGAATCAAGATTCAACTTGGTCAATAAGCGTCACAATTGGTTTGAACAGTCTGCAAGTTATACAACCGTTGTATCTTTAAGAAAAATTGATCCATAGTCTATACTCTACCTATCGTCAATGGCGTCCAAGTTAAGAACTGTTGTTGCAAAAATGCTTGAAGGCAAGAATATTAAGCAATGGATAGAAATTGCTGAGGACCTTTGGGCACGATCTGCAAGACCTTAGTGGGAGCGGTAACGGTCAATGAAGACTCTCTGTCCTGACTAGTAATGTACTGTACAGTCTCTGCAATACTCGATGTAATTGACTATCGTACTGTACTGTACAGTATACAGTACAGTACAGTGCAGTACGGTAGTCCACGTTACCGTACAGCGTATGTGCACACTGTACAGTACAGTATGCTACTGCTCTCATTACTCAGTACTGTACTGTACCTCGAGCGTATCGCGATAGTCGATACTATCCAACCTTGTTGGTCGATACTGAGTTATTATACTGTAAATCTTATGGTTATCTATATCGACTCTACTGTACTGTACCTAGAGAGAAATTTTCAATTCTACCGCTAACTTTTGTCAGACATGCAGACTGACCGACTTACTCAGACTGTAAATCTTATGATTGTCTATCGATTCAACTGTACCTAGGGAGAAATTTTCAATTCTACCGCTAACTTTTGTCAGACACACGGACTGACCGACTTACTCAGACTGCTACATCCACTGTACAGTGTACAGTGTACAGTACAGCCATAATACTGTAAGAGTACAGTACTGCCAATCTACAGTACTGTACTGTAATTAGGCAGAATGAATTAGTCGCCAAGCAAATGGGTTCAGGTTTTCAAACATTGCGTCATGTTTAAATTAGAGAATCATTTCAACGGAGAGCATAAAGTACTGTACGCATGCGTACAGTGTTATTGTAGTCCGTATGACATCTTGCGTATTCCATTCCTTGTTTGGGGAAATGCCATTACTCCTCTACTGCATACTGTAGCACTTTTGCCATTCAATTACAGTATGATGAAATCGTGTAGGATGCCGCTTGTGCTACACTGTTGTTATTGGTGTAGTCCGTTCTTGTCTGTCCTGTTTTCTCTTTTTACAGTAAATACGGTGGGCCAAAAGGGACAACTTTACAGAGCACAATCAGTACAGTTACTGTGTAGAAATGATTTCTACACCGTAGAATTTGCACTCTACTGTGTAGAAATTCTTTTTCACAACTGTTCACATTCTGCTCGGGAAAATTGTCCCTTTGGCCCACCGTAAAGTCTCTAGTGTACTCCATGCTCCATTGGACTGGACATTGTGCGGACGGACAGACCTTTTGAGACCAAATGACTCCTGTTCAAATCTCGAAAAATCACTTCCATAGTATGGATGTTTAGTGTCTATATTTCTTCATCGCTTGTACTAATTTAAAAATAAATATTTATCACCTAAAAAACTGCTTTCCAGCAGAACTTTGTAAAACAAAATAGATTTCAATGTAATATTACTTAATTTAGAAAAATAAGTGAATGACAAAATCGAGGATCCACTTGATAACATGATGGCGAATGGAAGTGTTTGAAATAGTATTATTAATTTATTATAGAGCTGTACAAGATTAGGCAGAAATGTCTGACCGTCCGAGGCAAGTGTCCAGCTAAATGTATCCGGATTCTGGACGTCCATGACTAATTGGTAAAGTACTATACGACCATTACTCACTCCACCAGTCATACCATACCAGTCATAATAAAGTCTACTGTACGCTAGTGCGTGTAGTGTGCAGTCCAGTACTGCAGTACTGTACACTTTGGGTGCCTAGCCTTGTATTTTCCTTTCATCAATCCAACAACTACATCCGGCCAGCAGCCATTTTTCAGGCCTTTTACATGATAATATTGCCAGATTGATCTAACTGACAAGGCTAAACCATGGACGACGTTATTGCTACACTAAAGATCTTAATTATAGGCGAAGCTGGCGTTGGTAAATCCAGGTACAGCACGCTTAGCAAGCAAGACAGTGATCACAAACACTTTAGAGTCGATGAGACTACAGTATAGTGTACAGTATTGGAATCGAGGGCAGTTTTAAATCAACTTGGTTGACATACGACTCCTATCTATTTCTATCTTCGCATGAATAGATTGAGATGGATTTAGGATCAATATCGACCCTCTACTTGCAATAATTATGATGATACGCGTATAGAAATATTGTTGATCTCTCTGCCAGATAGTCATTCTCCACAGTATTGATTCTCTGTCTTTACAGTGTTCTAAATACTCCAATATGTAATGTTCAATTTAGTAGACAGTATTTTCGATCTAGACCTAACTGCTTTCTACAGGTGACATTATTATTGGCGTGTACAAATGATGTTAGCTTACTACATGCCGTCATTATTTCGCTATTCTAATAATCCATATTGCATCAGTAACGACTGGTGTGCTTCTGATACATAAAACTGTATGTTTTCAATTTTTCTTTTATAGCCTTCTACTCCGTTTCACCGACGACCAATTTGATCCTGAACAGTCGGCAACGATCGGTTAGTATTTTTATATACTCTACTCGTAACAACATGGAATGCTCCGTCATTTTAGAAAACTGTTACATCGGTAGTGTTACCTCATTCGGAAACGTCTATTATCAACGTTGTATTCGCTATCAATCTCTTATTGATCACTGACGATGATTCATCATACATGGATTAAGAATAACATTAATTATCGCTTTACAGAATAATTAGCTGTTTCAGGAAGAAATTAAATTACTGTATACAAATACCATCATTAATGTTGTATAATTGTTGACTATACGTACTACATTTGGATAGTTGTAGTCTATATAGCGGTAATTGGTTAAATAGCTTGATAATACAGTTTAATCCTTTTTATATCAATTTAAGATCTACCAATCTGTCTTACTTATCTGATAGTTTACCTTGACCATTATACTGCACTCTGCTGCACTGCCAAAATATTGCACTTGATGCATTTGTATCTTTTATAGAAATCAACAGCTATTGTTGATATATAATATATATAACTAATCATGTCAGTGATACCTGGCATATCTGTACTCTCTACAGTATGCTAAGTAGATATTAGTCTTCAATTTCATGGAAAATACTATACTAGACATACTATGTAGAAGTAGTCTAAAACCTAATTCAGATCAATTTTAATAAACTGTCGTGATTTTTGTTGGCCTATTATCATAATAGTAAAAATTATTGTATAATTGCCATAAATCGCAAGAATTAAATAACTACTGCTAAAGTGCATAGAGGATCCATAAATGGCTGTACTATTTGAGATTACAGATTAGAATTGAAGTACGATGCAGTGTTCTATTTAGGACATACATATAATACGAGACAAGTTTTCAATTACACTTACTAAATGTACTAAATGTATTGTGCATCATTATTTATCGTATTCTGCTTTTCTATTTTCACTTTTCAGGAGTTGACTTTAAAATTAAAACTGTTAATGTCGAAGGCAACCGCGTAAAATTGGCTATTTGGGTATATACAAGTATACATCTGCTAGTACAGCAATAGTAATAAAATTTAGATTCCTATAGTAATTATCCTATCAGGATCATACTGATAAGGTCAAAATGTGCGTAATTAGATACACTTTGTATAACAGTCCTCTGCATTGATGATAACCTCTATCATTTTATGCTAATTCGTAATCAGAACGGGTACATAAATAGAGAATTTAATGTTAGGGAAAGTATCTGAAGAGAAAATGTATGTATTTTTCGTAGGATACGGCGGGTCAAGAAAGATTTCGTACTTTGACTCCAAGCTATTATCGTGGGGCTCAAGGGGTTATTTTAGGTAAACAATTAAGGATAACAGCTTAATTGGTAATACTATATGCGTATGGTGTAATCAAAATTGATAGATTCTTTCTCTTTTTCTTTTTGCGAATAGTATATGATACCAGCAAGAGAACTTCTTTTGATAAGCTAGAAAATTGGCTAACGGAACTTCGTACCTATTGCACAAAGCGCGATGTCATCAAAATGTTAGTTGGTAACAAAATTGATAAGGTAACATATAGATATTGATACTTACCTTTATAATTGAATTACAAAGTAGCTCAATAGAGAATAAGTATATAATCGTATATGTATAATGGGTGTATATTCTAGTTATATCCCAAATCGGTAAACAAAATAATATCATTTAATTTTAATTAGGATCAACGTGAAGTCGACACATTGACTGGAACCAATTTTGCCAGAAGATATCAAATGCTATTTACTGAATGCAGGTAAGTGAATAATCCAATCGGTGAATAGATTACTTAACAATACAGTACCAGTGTAAGTTGCAAGGTTGCTTTCCTAATCTTTCAAATCTGTAATAAAATTGATAACATTTCAACAATTATTGTCTATGTAGCGCAAAAACCTGTGATCATGTTCAAGATGCCTTCGATGAATTAGTGCATAAAGTAAGTGAAACTCAACACTATTGGTTCTGCGCTTTAGATGCAAAAGATATTAGGTACAAAAGGTATTTAATGCGCCTATCGAAATCATTGATGATTGTTATTGCTTGATATAGATTATTCAAACACCTGGCTTATGGGATACTGAAAAAAGTAACAGTGGCCTTAAAATTGGTGAAAGAGATGGGGAGGCCAAGGCATCTAGCTGTTATGGGGGTTGTTCACTCATTTAACCTACTTTTAAATTTTAGAAATCCGATTCTATATAATTTAATTTATAAAAAATATCGGCTTATGCTGAAATTACTGTATGTTGTATGAATGGAATGTTTGATATATAATATGATGTATTTGTTCACGGTATATATATAGTTTATCTGTAATTAAATTGAGTTTTATTTGGCTTTGCTATGATTCGTTTCACATAATAACTAACAGACGTGAAATGTCGTAGCTGTAAGTTTAACGCTCTATGAATTTGTAGTATCTCTACGCTTTGTAATAGTCAAAAGTTACATTGCTACAATATTTAAGCTATTGATCAGCTCTATCATCAACTCAATAATATTTTAAATTTAGCCTTTTATTTAGTGACTGTAGTACGATTTGAAGCTAACCACGTATCAAAAGTAATACTTAGGAGGCTAAACGCTGCCTTTTAGATCTTGTAATGTTGTATAAAGTCTACAGGAATAGCGGATTTATGAAATAGTGTTAGTATCCACTAAAAGGTTTCTATATACATACTATACAAGGCGTATATATATACCAGTATATACAGTATGTGTAATCGTATACCTACCTATTGCTGTTTCTCAACTTAAGATTCGTTTTTACACTTAATAGTTATAATGATAGCCACTTATTAATATAATATATATATACATAATGGAAATGTAGCACTAACATATAATTGAAAATTGTGATTTAATTTACATCTATTTATAGGTCAATATTACTGACAGTGAATAAAAGTATCCATGTTATATAAAAATTGCACGGTCGTTCAGAGATGCATTCGCCTTTCTTGGGTGTATGATTGTACCAATTGAAAGATAATTTAGATTTTCCTCCTATTTCAGTCTGAGTTGTTCCAAATTTCCAATATTTACGAGTACATAATGAACTGTAAATGGATTAACGCCTACTGGCTTGTAAACAATTTACTACTTAAGCATGCAGGACCTTCATCAAAGTCATTTTAATACTATAATATACAATCACAGAAAGTATACATGAAATGCGTTGCTGTCATTTCTCGCTAACACATCAGTTGGATAGTTTAGTAATTTGGAATGACAATAATCTTAACCTTATGAGGCAGGAGTATTGTAGTGGGGCTTGTGGTAAGATCGCTATTTTATAATCATATCGCATTGAAACTTATATGAGTCAATGCAGTTTTTTCTACGTCAAGCTATCATTATTTGACTTGATCTCCAGCATAACGAAATTGATAAATATATAATGATAATATCTACGGCATGCGAATGGATCTACAATACCCTACATGAGTTACAAAAATTAAAATTCCAACCGATTAACATATTTTTTGTTCAAATTTATTGAAATATCTCGTGTTAAGAATGTACAACTAAAACCAGAGTTTTAGAATCTTAATTTTTGGAAAAACCACTTATTCTTTCCAGTTTTGTATCTGTTTAAGAAAAGACAGGAGTAAATATTACTACATGCTTTTCATAAATAGAAGTTAACGTCCCATGCAAATAGAGTTACTCTCCATTCTAAAAAGTAGCCATATAAACTTATAATGATCTCATACCTGTCTTCAAAGTTAGCTTTAACATAACGAACTGCCTTCTTTTTTAAAGCTGGATCACGGAAAACATCTTTGTTGACTACTTGCTTATCGAATGACATATCCACGTTGTAGCTGTGATAACATAAAATCAATGTATCAATTTTAATTAATTGTAATACTACGTTAAAGCGAATATAGTGCAGTAGTCTTTATTAATATACCAAACTTTCAATGTTTTATGCTATAGAACTAGCTCTATACCACTGTACGATAATTACACATCAATTTTTGAATTATATAAACATTGGGTAGTACCGTGTAGGCATGAGATGGTTGTAGTTGAAGACTTTGACAAATGGCTTTATCTTGGATCTTTTGCTGGCACGTTTTTTGCCCATACGCTTGGTTATTCTCAATGGATAGCGAGATATACCAGCAACAAGAGCATGTCCATACTGCCTATCACCAGTGCCGTCATCGTGATTTTTGATAATTACAGCTTTGCGACCTGCATAACGGCCACTCAAAACTATAACAGCTTTACCAGATTTTAAGAATTTTCCCATTGCGGTTTCGTGCTAAATGGAAACACAAATCAATCATCAATTGCGATTGGTACAATTAACAAGTTATAATAAGTCATGAATTATGATAACATGGCTTGAAAAAATAAGAAGGATTCAGTGCATGTACAGTGACCCACATCTTCAATTTAATTTATTTTATTCGATATTCATAATTTTCCCTATTTTATTGGTTACACGCTTTGGAAAATACTGAAAGTATGGTGCGATGAGTAAACTTGACCGTTTTTTCTGAGATTGGTGTTACGAAGGTATTGCACTGCCATGATTGAAAGAGTACAGTAACCATTATAAGGGTTTGATAAAATAGCGCAACGCCTCCATGTTAAACGTACATTAAACTGATATCTTTACCAGTAAATTGACAATTTATTCATAGCCATTGGGCAGTTGCTAACCACTGATGAGTACTGTAAGTCATGGCGAGCTAAGCACCCTCGGAACGCGCTTTCTACTACATATTCTGACTTTGAACTCAAAACGGGTCGTTGAAAGTGTTGCGTTGGCCAAGATGAACTACTACAATAACTGCTATAAACGTAACAGAGTATTATTATCATGGAACTTTTGTCGTCCTCTCATGATACTTTGATGACGATTGCTATCAAACAACCGTCGCTAAATCTCGGATAGAAACTATTTCATGTCTATGCTGTTATCAGTATGCGATCTACAGTCTCTCCCTCTATTTGATATATCTTCTTATTGAGGCATGACTTGCCCTTTAAGCAAAGTCAATCGTATAACATTCATTCACAAAAATGGGACGATAAAATAAAAACGAAGTGGAAATAACAACAACATGAACGATAGATACAATTTCTGGACATTATTTTGAAAATCGTGTAGCGATAGGTGATCTGATGCTATCGATAAAGCTAGGGATACATCATGTCTTACCTGCAGCCCCAAAAAATCACTTGTCGCTTTGCTTACAAGGGAAGAGAAGGAAAAAAGGGAAGCTGATGGGCTATATGGCTCTCTGACTAAAGACTCTACTGTACTACAGTAGTGAAATAACATGCACTTGCAGCTACAGTACTGTACAGTATGACCTGTTCAGTCCAGTACAGGTACTGGATTCCGATTGCACATGGCCCTAGTACAGTACAGTACTGTACAATGTACAGTGCATAGTACTTTACTACAATACTGCATACTGTACGGTACACTATGCACTGTACTGTACTGTACATTGTACAGTACGGTACAGTATTATGTACTCGAAAAAAAGACCCCGACCCGGTCGCTCGGATCGGACTCTGACGCTTCGGATAGACAGACTCTTGAAACCAATGACGCCGGAAAGATCGATATGAATTCTCCAGAATTTGCCGGAGAAAAATACCAAAATCATTCACTTTAGTTACTTTTTACTAATTTAACAATATTTATTATTACTTTTAAGCAGAATTAGTAAAACAGAATAGGAGTCAGTGGAATATTACTGTACTTAGAAAAAGAAATGAATTATAGAATCGAGCATCCGTTCGATGACGACATTATAGTATTCTCAAGGCCTTTTTCTACTGTACCGTACTGTAGTCGATCATGGCTGTCGTAGAAATCGAGTTATACGTAGACTAATGTAACCTGTACAGTATGAGATGTGTCGCGTGAAACCAACAGCATATTACCGCTACTGTTTTCGATCCCAGTCATGGACTGTACTGTACCCTACTTGTACACCTCGGCTCTGTCTGGCCATCCATCTGTCTGGAGTCTGAGTTGCTCAGTGGATACGGTACCGAGTAGATGGACATTTTCAACTCTTCGGCTCTTGTTTACCTTCGTCAAATCCATCCGATTTATTCTGGCAAGAATCGAAATTGACTCTACAACTGGTGCTTCCAGACAAGATATCGCTGTGTATTCTTCAAGCAGGAAACGAGTTGATCATATGTTATAGCGTGTCAAGCTAGCAATCGATTGTGGTGTTTTAATTCTCTCTATTGAGATTTTATAGCAAGTAAAACTACCATGACAAGCGTTAGCAGCCAGCATACTGGCATCAATTATAGTGTTCTGTGGTCATGTAATCATCAAGATAAATTTATATCCACTGGATCGGAATTTTGTATCTATACTGTGCTTAGCAGAAGTGTAAGTGTCAACAAATGTCGAGATGTTGCTACAACATGCATAATCTCGAAATACTATCGAATAATATCCAAGATAACAATAACCTGCAAATGCGTGTCTATAGCATGACTATTATGAATAATAACGTTGTTATTATACAGTCCTACCTGTAATGACTGCTAAGTGCAAAATGGACATGAATATGTTTAGAATGATTTTAGGGTTGATTCTGTGTAACTTACAAGTGGAACTTTTCTTAATAGCTTATACTATGTAGAATACAGTACGTCATCATACGGCACCGTCTAAATTCGGATAAGTAGCTAAATTTGATCAATAGCAAGACTTTTCTCTTACCTTGTAGCAGAGTAATAACAGAACGAGATTGTTCATAAATGAATTATATTAACGTCTTCAATATCATTACATGTTCGAAATGTTCAAGTGTATAACAAAGATCCATAATTAGATCTTGTACCGGTAAATTGGTAATTGCGCCAACCTTAGACCACAGTGAATATAAAGTGAGATACGATACTCAACTTAGACCTGAGCTTTAATGCCGATAGTAATGGAGCTAAAAGTAGCCTACGTACGGTATCCGAGATGTTCTACCAGTCGCTGGGATCATCAGGAGGGCCTGGCCCATTACTGCATCCGATAGCCATAACTATAATAGACGTTCTAAAAATTATCCATTTATGATAATGTATGTGAAAATAAGTTGTGATTGGTGTATACACTACTGCATGTTTTTGCACGGTAGCCTCCAATAATCTATTTATTTGTATTTTAATGTATAAATACTCGTATACGTATGCTAAGGATACTGCATCATTGTTTATAATAAACAAGGTAATTGATAAATGTCCAAGTTTAAATTTACAGTTGCATGCATTGATTTTATAGGAAGGTTGTTTGGTAATTCATTTAAATTATAGATCCATGCGATAATACAGTATTATGACCACATTATTGTTATACTATCGATCGAATGCTACAGTAAAAACAATTCCTTTATGATTGCTCATCGTATAAAAACCGATTACTTTTCATCATTAATGCTGTCTTAACACTGTGATAGTAAATGTTATACTACCTTACAAAATTTACTTATATGTTTTTATTAGAATTGTAGAGTATTTCATCAGAGGTATTTATTAGAATTGGCAGTAAGCGGTTTGATATCATCTAATTCCTATTTGTATTTCTATATCTGTTATCTGTTACAACATTACAGGATGCTGACAGCGAATATGTGGACAAAAGCAAATGTAATTATTGTTTCAATATGCAATATCGTATAGTCTATTGCTATACCGAAATGGAAATATTAACTTTATACCTGCACACTATTAATATTCCAGTTCTGCAAATATATTTTATCAAATCTAATCTTAGCCTTGTGACCTGTGTGTGCAAATTTTATATCCGCTGCTTGATAATATATAAAGTCTCGGATATAACTTGAAGTATGTGTCTAATTCTAATGCCTATGTCTATTCTACATTTTTAGTGATTGCTCTCAATAATGGAATGTATGCATATGCCTTGGAAAGTTTTCCTTGTTCTGGCACTGTCAAGGTAAATATCATTGGATTGGACTAATTACATATACGCGTATTTTTTACATGTATTATAGTTTTATCAAAAGTGTTGTTGACTTCTGTTGGACTATACTTCGCCAGTTACGATAAACTATATTATCTTCCGTGGATATACTGTACCAACATCATATTATGGGATACTACATTTGTCTAAATAAGCCTAAGATAGCAATCAGTATCAAGGAAGTCTTCTTGTCTGTAAACTACGTAAAAAAGACAACGTAGAAATCCCGAATTAATAAAATTTACAACATGAAATAGTCATTACATATAGAATCATTAATTCAACCTAACGATATTAATAGAGTGTGTCATGGAGACCAAGTCAAGGCCGCAATGATGATTTCGTGTTTGCATTAGCAATATCCAATAAAAATACTAATAAGGCTGTTATTACGAGGTAAAATTATTCACTCACAAGGTTTTGAGGTGTTATACAATAGTTTTCTATACGATTTGCTATTTGTTGTTGATTTTAAAACTTCACTGTGATTTTAAATAGCTAAGACAGCTCTTGATGTATTACATTTAAAGTGGTTGGTATTAACTTAACATGCTTTACTCATAACTTTTTAGATTTGTACAAAATGGAAGTCAGAGATACTTTCATACCATTGCTGATAATCGTGAGTATCAAACAATATTTGACTATTCCTAAAATACTGGAAACATATCTTAAAATTACTAGAAATTAATGTAAATAACCACATATTGAATTTTACTCATGATATCTTGCTAGATTTGATTACATACTACTAAATGTAAAAAATAATATTCATAACCTATAATTTGTACAAATTTGTAGATCTTAACAATAAATCTTATCATAACCTGGAATGGCATCCACTAAGGCCAAACTATGTTCGTATTTAATATTAAACATTGATGTTGAGTTATATTATTAAAAATAGTTAATTTATCTTAATATGCGTCATTCTTTCCTACAGTTGGCTACTACTATGACAAAATTTCGACAAGATGCTTCAATTATAATCCGAGATTTGAGTAAACATCTGCTATTTCTTTGCATGCTACGATATGTTGTAACGTTGAGGCAATCGATATTTATTATAGTTAATTATTCTGAGTTGTTACAATGATTATGTCACTATACAATTAAATGTGCTAGCGAAATTAATGTTAATAATTAAGTTTATTTTTATTATGATCATTGCGATATTTTTAACCGGCATCTTCTAATAATATCAGATATTTCTCCAGACTGTTCTCCACTAGATAAATTCCGGTAAAGATAGATGTATTAATTCATAGTAATCTCATAATCAATATTAGTGGTCTTACTGACATAATCATGATACTTAAAACTGTTTTAATTTCTAGATCAAATGCAGATACATTCAAGGGAATTATTTTTGATTGCGGTAATTTAATTCATAGTTTTAAGTGTGTTGGAGGATATTCATAATTTTATGTATTAGTTTTCCCTTGATGAGCTAAATTTAAGGAAATAATGTTCTCTTTCATGAAAAGCCAACGGAGAATTTGTCGATTCATTCTGTTGGCTTCCAAAATTTCAAAACGGAGATAAAAATTTTATTGCAGGAATAGGGTCAAAAATGAAATTATTCGACATAAAAGGTAAGCTGTATACATTAGGAACTGTTGTAACCTTTAACCAGCAATTACTTATTACTTATCATTAAGTAATTAACAATTTTTTGCAATGTTTTACTGACCGTTGACTAATTGTGATACAGAAAATCCTCGTACGCCAACAATTATAAGCAGTAAAGCAACTAATGGAATCGTCGCAGATCCATTCTCATCAAATTATGTTATGGGTTATAATGACGTATGTTACATTAAAAATTTCCCTACTGTTTGATCATGCTTGGTTGCATGATTTTCTTAACTGAAATTTGTACTAATTGCTAATTCTTATGGGGATTTGTTGGATGCGCTACAGAGCACAATTGAAATAGTGGATTTAAGGAAAACTACGAGTGCTATATCCTGTTATATAAGTTTCTTAATTCAAAAGTCACAATATTATTATAATCACGTCATTAAGGAATTTTCCTTAATTCTATGCACTTTTGTTCTTGGAATGTTGGCGCGCCGATTTCAAGTCTTCAGTGGTGTCCTTCCAGGTATTATCTTAAACTTGTAAAATCGTATGGAAAAAGATTTCATTAATATCCCTATATTTAATTGGATATAGGAAAAATTCCTTTGCAGTGTTTTTAAAGGATAGCTCTGTTGTTAAAGTTCATGATTTATGCAGCTCTTGGGAAGGTAAATTGGCTTAATATCTATTACCGTACCTCGTACTAATATACTTTAGATTGGTTTATCTTTCTTGATATCCAGTTCTGTTAAGTTGCTATTATTTAATATTGTTAGAAATGAAATCTAAAAGCGTAAACATTCTAGAAAAAGGTGTACATTATGATACCTACGAAAAAACTACACAATGTGAGTAGCAATTCTTTCAACTGAGTGTAGAATCATTTTCAGCTCTTGTAGGGTACTAATTCTTTAATAATGCGAAAGCACAATAATCATTGATTTCTAGAACAGTTTCAGAGATTTTTAAAGTAAAATCTCATAAAACATATTGGTAAAATATAGTAGAAAAATTATTAACTTCTTATTTTTGATTTGTGTTACCATTCTAGTAAGTTCTATTGCATCGGCTTCGTTTTGTAGACATGCTGAGTTTAATAGTTACTTATTAGCTATTGATAACAAAGGTGAGTATGGCGGACTTCTATGTTCTTGAAATGTAATGAGATCCTAATGATTATCAATTACGACAATAGAGTAGCAGTTATACAATATAACTTTAGTTGGGTGGTTGTACGGCGTATATTTATACTAGTTAACTTATAGCTTAATCGCTTTTGCATTACTCAGGATATCTTAAAAGTGTTGATATCAACAGATTGATTCCAATGGTAAGTGATAGCAACTGCATTATATTATATTATAAAATACTTGCATAAAATTTTCCTAAAGATTGTCATCTGAGAAATTTGCTTTTTCGTAAACTTATGGAATGCAATATATAGATTAAACGATTGATGAGAATGTAACGGAATCGATAATGCAGTGACTGTAGAATTGTACCGCGCATACCTTTAGATGATACCTATTCTCTAATATGTCATTATATACTTCTTTATAAGTCATGGTCACCCAATAATGAGTTCATCTGTGATAATATAGAAAAAAAGAAGCCTAAAGGAGCGGCAGTAAGTAATACTGTTAGAATATAGTAATTAGATCCCATAAATGTCGATTAAAATTCATTTCTTAATTTGTTTCTTATCATTTTATTACTACCGCAATAGTATTTAAATTTCGTATCCAGTGATATAGCAACCAAGATGAATAACCGAGCATGCAAGGATTACGGCTTATTTGTAAGATAAGCAAGATACTACCCACTAACATAATTAATAATAGGCTATTATATGTAAAGTGACATTCTTTCTTTAAATATTTAGGAATCATTGATAGATGTTGAAAATATTTGCGATGAACGAGATCTCAAGACATTTTGGTCGTGGATTAAACATATCTTTAAACATGATTAGAACCACTATTTACTTTTCCCATTTTACTTAGAAGCATAAAATCGCTATACCGCATTTTTGCCTTAACATTTTCTAAATGTTAAATCACTAATAAATGAAGGTTGATATAATAGCCGCGAAAATCTCATAAAAAATAGATTACTACAGCAATCTTCAGGAACTCCAGTGCTTGTTTTGCGTGATTGATTATTTTATATAGTTGATGCTATTCGGTTTTGTTAAAACTAGTAATGCAATTCAATTATGCATCCAAAACTCGTATAGGTGAACTTAGAAAAGATTATCGGTTTGAAGGAGTTAACTCTATTATAAATCGAGAATTTTCGAATAAAAAAGGTAAATAAGTTCGGTGATATCCTGACGGTTATATTAGCTAACGTCATAGCTAACGATTACAATTTACGATTACAAATTCAGGATATCAATTAAAGTAAAGAGTTAATTAATTAATTATACACCTTATATATTTGCTTTGCGTTAGTTCACTCTAACCAAACCGAGAAGTCAGTAATGGTTAAACCAGACGCGGGGAGTAGACCAAAAGTTAAAAGATATACTAGTAGTTGCAGGTAATTATGAGAACAGTAGCTGAAGCAGAATTATTATCGACTTTATTATAGCCTTTCTGTGATAAATTTTATCTTTCAGCAATTATTACGCTTTTAATTTAAAACTAGTAAACAGATTACTCGTATGTGCTAATATGGTAGCTTAAATTGTTTACTTAATTCTAGGAGTTTAGCTATGAAATTATGTAATTGGGGATTTTCTGATAGTGCTAAAAATAGGAAAGAGTATTTATCTAGGTATAGCACTTGTGGTACTTGTAAGTTGTAACACCTTACACGATCGATACTGAATGCAATACAATGATAACGTTCAACATTACGTACAATATGTAATCAAGACTTGAAGCAAATGATGAATTTGAAAGAGCGGCAGCAATTTCTTTGTTTAATTTGGATATGAAAACAGCTGTGGAAACCTTAAGTAGGGGAGCAATGATACGGGATGCTAGGGAAGGTAACATGAAGCTTAATATTTATTATTATATCATGATTAACTATTGCGTAAATATTACAAGCAAATTATTCATTATTACATCGTCATAACTACAATTAGAATCAAAAAGTAACCTGCATTTGGTGGCTATGGCATTGTCTGGTTACACTAATGATAAACGAGCATTTTGGACTAAAATGTGTAACGATTACAGATCGATGGTAGTATCTATTGTTGTAATCTTAAATATATCATGAATAAAATTCAATATCGGTAATGGTAAACTAGCTACATAGACGAGAAAGTTGTTGAAAGCATATACTCTTCATCGATATTATGTATGACTCACATACCATTCAAAATTTACTTCAATTCTTTTCTAATCTTACATTTTCGTCATTTCAAATAGCTCTTACATCCGTACTTGAGGGCTGCGTTTGCATTTATTACGAGCTATGATGACGGAAAATTCGATGATGTTATTTGGGTTCGTATGGTCGCATTGGTCGTATATATATATACCTAATACAGAGTAGTGAATATATTGTAGTGCCCAATAATTTTGCCATGATAACTTTAAACAATATTATTTAATACCATTCAGACTGAACCTGACCTACAACTGCGCGATAGAATTGCCTTCGCATGCATGTTCTTAGACGATGAAACGGTAATGATTTGATTACTTTTTGTACATGAATATCGATACTTTCTTTACTCATTTTCTGTACTATTAAACGATTTAATTTCTGAATGGAATGATTAGCTGCAAAATTATGTTGCCCCATTAACTTACGAAGTTATCAGTACCGGTAACCTGGAAGGGATTATTTTGACCGGTAGTATTATATTATGTGTATTTGCTTTCATCTAATATCTGTAGACCTATTCTACAATTGATGTATTTTTCTGATTTCAGGATTTACAACTGACGGTTTAAAATTGTTACAAAAATTCGTTGATAAGGTATGCTAGTTGTTATGAAGTCAACTGTAGTATTTGTATCCCAAAAGATTTCACGATAAGTTAGTTAATCAATCGTCGGTAAGAAACACGCCTCCTTACTTAAATGATTATAATAATCGTTTATATTCATAGTTTCCACTTTAGTCGTAAATGTTTTAAGCCGGACTTATTAAGCATATAAGTTCTCACCTAGTTAATTCCTTTTCTCGATTTCGCGACAAAACAATAGACGGGTGATATTCAAACCGCTAGCCTTGCTGTTATCCATGGAATTCCTAGTGCAATATCCAATAATGAAAGAGTTTTATCTTGGATTGAAAGGTATTCACGTGTAAAATATAATATAGCAACGTATGTTCGTTGCTCTAGATGCTGCATTTAATTTTGTAATATAAATCATTGAGTTGTATCGACCCTGAGCAAATTGCGTCTATTAGCTTTCACTTAATAATTTTATTAAGTTAGCTCTAATTTATTCGTACTTTTTCCTTTTAGTTATCGAGAATTCCTCGATAGATTGGAGCTATGGCATTATAGGTTTTTAATTGTGTGATTCTTAACCAAAAAAGTTTTTCATTGATTTTTGTAATTCCGCTACATCTAGTTAATGTTTTGGTTCTTTGTACTGTATATTTTGCATTACTAGATGCAAACTGGATATTTTACGTAAGCGTAATAGACACACAACGCCACCGCCTCAAACCGCCTTTCTTAGTTGTAATAACTGCTCTAAGCCAATTAATTTGACAGCCAGTGGTAATTTTAAACAACTTGCGATACTTATTGTAGCTTATTTGAATTTGCTTTAAAACTCAAGAGTTTCGATTAAAAATATCATCATCGAGTAAATGATGGCGTAATATATTTTTGATACCCAGTTTGCTGTTAATATTTATTCAATATTCTGTTAAAAGATTTTACTTCTCCTAATGCCAAATACGTACCAAGAATTCCTATTGCTTTACAAAAACAGATCAAAAATGCATCTGTACGTAAGGAGGGTAGATTTTCTTTTTAGTCATATTAGAACATATCATTACCCTTTATTAATGTTGTTACTGCTTGTGACGTGTAACTATTTCGGCATAGTACCATTACTGTAGCTAACGTGCGTATTTTTACTAAATAGTTTGACAGGTGTCGCAATTGTGGGAAAGCTCTCCCGAAGTGTGCAATTTGCTTGCGGAATATGTGTCTTGATATCGATCGTTTACCCAATGATACAAAATCAGCAAATATACGTAATATCTTATAATATGTACTCACTTTCCTACTCTCAAAAGTAATATTAACATAAATTACGATTTCCTAGTTATGTTTTTTGGGTCTCATACTGATATAGATGTTGATGGGGGCAAAGTGATGTATCCAAAGAAAAGATTTAATTCATGGTTTTCATGGTGCCAAAGTTGCCGACATGGCGGGCACGCAACACACATGGAGAGTTGGTTTGCGTAAGTTTAAAGACTCGAAGCTTTCATTTAGCCTTGATCTACTGCCCATCGAGATTAAAGTTATTTAGTAGCTTGATTCACAGTAACTAATTATAATAACTTCAATTTAATTGACTATTATTTAGGAATCACAATGAATGTCCAGTTCAAGACTGCAATTGCAGCTGCTCTGCGAGAGATTCATCTTTTTTTGCCATAAAAATGTGTGATCAAGTTTAAAAGTGTACTATAGTAATTGTTATTTTACCCAAAATTGAAGGGTATTAATGATGCATACTGAAAGATAGAAGAATTTTCCGATTTGAAGGTTTATAATATTATACAGTATCGATTGTATTTATAGGAACTTGATCTTTAATAGTTCAACGCTATATTTACGAATATTACCAGAAAAAATTCTATTATTTGTACCGTTCGAATTACATTTACTGCATTAAATAAAGATGAAATAATCGGATTGAATTGATTTACGCTAATTACTGTCTAGGCAATTGACTCTTGCTCTGGAAATTTGACGATTGACATACTTTAATATTCAAAATTTTTTACATGATTACCACTTCATTATGCATGGATATGCCAACTAATGACATGTCAAAATAGACTAACTGGGTTTGTATTGAAGTACATCTTTAAATCTGCTTGTATGTTCGCATAGATTATACCGGTATGATGTTATAATTTTAAGTTCCCGAAGCTGCACGATCACATCTTATTTTATCTAATTAATTAGCAGTATAAATCAGAGATAAAAGTAATCAGTAAGTTATTATTTGATGATTTAGAACTCTAGCTACTTTCTACAATAGGTAGATATGGTACTATACGTACGTAAAAAGACAAAATGTGGACAATAGTCCATATATTCAATTATTCAAAATTTTCGGCAAAAATCGCGGCTCATTCTATTCCAAAGTATATTATCATGCATCTTATATCACTGTAATGCTCAGATAGCATTATAAAGATAAAAAGATTTTTCTTTTATCTCTGACGGAGCATAACGTAAGAAAGCTGATATACAGAGTAACAATAGTGGTTCGAAGAAACTTCGAATATACTTCCTACAGCAGATTACCGACAACTGGCTATTTTTAAGTTAATTTATTGAAGACCATATTTTCTTAACACGCAGTTTCTGAAAATTTTATGGTTTTTTATTTCTGTTATGTAGTACAAAAGGAAGTAATTTTATAAGTACAACATGTAGTAGTAACAATATAGATGTGAAGGAGCCTTAATCTACATCAGATCTCAGTTATTATAATTAGTACTGCTAAATACTGTGGTGGTACTAGATAGGACAAGTACAATATCGGATAATCCGATATTTAAAGCAAAACGATGTAGTTTGACGAACTTTACAATACATTACATGTAGTATCAATCGAAATATTCTGTAAACAATTATTGAATCATAGAATCACTACTGATGTTATTCTCGTTCATGATAGCATATTCAAAGTTACAGTAATTGCCTATATAATTTAATTCATAATAATGACAACATCCCAATCCTGACGTAAGATTTTAGAATAGGTCTGGATACTTAACAGCAACACTGATTGCTTCATTATACACAGCCAGATCTGCGGTGGATATTTAAAAGATTAGATTAGCAAGTAGAAATGTCGGTCATTCATGCTAATTGCTAACTTAATGCTACGAAGATGTAAACGTGTATATATACGCCTATGATGTACTCGCATTAATATAATTATCTTGAATAGAAAATATGCATTAATTTAATTTGTACATTACCAAATTGTGTCTTGCCATTCAGATAAACGATTGAGTGGCCGGTTACATTACCATTACTTTCTACTTTTCCAACTATTTCAACGATACCTGTATTGTCTTTTAACTAACGCACATGGATTGACATAAGAATGGATCATATTATGTTACGTACGTTAGACATTATGAACTAGAACAATATATTGTAAAGATATATAGATTATCCATGCATGGATAGATATTGCATTGTAACAACTACAGACAAGAGTAAGTTTGGTAACATCAATTATCGCATAAATGAATTCATTGATAGAATTGTGCTACTCTATGGAATGATTTACTTACAGGCTCGATAAAGCTAACGGTTACAAGTTTGCCGTCGGAACAAGACAGCCTAATACTTGTTCCTTCAATGACCTAGAATAATAATATAATATTAGATTGGTCCAAAGAAGATATCCTTTACATCCAATGCTGATCTTAAATGATACAGTAGGCAACTGTGAATCATTCATTGTAATTTGTAGGCGCAAATCGATCCACAGTACTGTACAGGTTACATCTTATTTGCTGCAATCACTGCAAGCTCAATGTTCAACATTACCAGGTCATGCAATCTACGATCGAATTTAGTTAATGTAATATCTTTATCGCAAGAATACATATATAGTAGAGTGCACAGAGAGGAGCGATAGCCATGTACTATGTCCAGATCTGCCAGTCCGCTTCATGCTCATTTTTAGCTTAAAGCTGTAGTAATTAGATCCATCCATCGATCGTGGATCTACTTGAGTGCACGACAAAACTAATAACAATGACTTGATGGCTATTTTGAGGGTCAAACAGGCACAACGTTCTACCCATTATTTCTCCCCTTCACCTATTCCTTTGAATTACAGTACAGTTTAGTACCAAATGATCATTTAGTACTAGATAGAAGGTTTTACAACAATCAAGCATAGCAAGTAATCCTTGGTATGCATGCTGGTACAAGCTTACCCATAGGTCAATGCTTGCAAGAACAGAATCTATTGACTAACAAATTTGAAATTAAAATGACTACAGCTAAAGCTAATAAGCTACAATACTATACAGTCAAGTAAAGTAAAGATTGTGCTTTCCATATTAATCTAATTTCTTATTACCTGTTGTATCTTGCCAATGATGCAAACTTCTTTGCTATACAGTAAAGATTGTACTTTCCATATTAATCTAATTTATTATTACCTGTTCTATCTTGCTAATGATGCAAACTTCTTTGCTATACAGTCAAGTAAAGTAAAGATTGTACTTTCCATATGAATCTAATTTATTATTACCTGTTCTATCTTGCCAATGATGCAAACTTCTTTGCGATACAGTAAAGTAAAGTAAAGATTGTACCTTCCATATTAATCTAATTTACTATTACCTGTTCTATCTTGCCAATGATACAAACTTCTTTGCTATACAGTCAAGTAAAGATTGTACTTTCCATATGAATCTAATTTCTTATTACCTGTTCTATCTTGCCAATGATACACACTTCTTTGCCGATGTTAGCATTCATCATCGCTCCGTTTACTCTCTGTCGAGCCTCCATGATTGTTGATGGCAATTTTGGAGATTACCGCGAAACTTTGCCTTACCGTATTTAGCAGACTGAGAAGGACGGTACACTGTATTTTACAGTACAATGTACTGTACTCTGCCGCCAGCCAACCGTCATGAGGATAAAAGAAAAATCTGTGTCACCGCCAAAGAAAAAATGGCAGTATAGTACATAGTAGTGTTTTAAAAGCACTGCTACTCGGCACGTGCAGTTTTGTACAGGAAATCTGTCGAGTGTGCCATATACAGTTTTAGAGATCTTCGCAGTGAAGTTACGGCTTAACCCATTTTTCTCTGGGCTTCAATAGAAAATTCTCCAACAAGTCCCTGCCCCGGTCATTCCATCTACGGTACCTTGAGCAGTACAGTACAGTACAGTATAGTACAGCAGACAGCGCCGTACTGTACTGTACTATACAGAAAGTACAACTGCACCTACTGCTCATACTGTACAGTACTACAGTCTACCGTGTACAGTGGTTTGGCGTGGTGTTGTGGCGCCAGCTTGCTTTGCGCACGCGTAGTCAGCCGTCGACGTCGCCATTGGCAAGAGACAGGCTGTGCGTCGCAAATGCCCTTTATTTAGCCACGTGGCCAATCTTGCATCACTCAAGCTGTAGTTAGAGCCTAGGGTCTCGAGTGTACAGTACAGTACTGTATTGTACTGTCAGTGTCACAGTACTGTACTGTACTGTACAGTACAGTACAGTGTACAGTACACCTTTCAGCGTCTCTACAGTACGGTACGATAGTATTGTACATTGAAATTCAATGACATCACCAAGCCATGTGATGGGATCGGCTTTACTGACGGAAAGCATCCCACCATTCCTAGCTCACCTTTTCTTGCATCGGTTGCTTTGCCTCAAGTCTGGCTATAAGAATTAGGTTGCTGGTGTGTGATTGCTGGCTGTTCTAATTTATTTTATCCTTTTCACAGGTATAGCATCAAAACCTAATTCAACTTTTAAAATTCTTCCAATTTAACAAGGATAAGCCTTTCTTTTTAATAAAATATTAGTAATCTACTCATTCCTTTGAATATTAATTCACTATTCCTTTTTTTGTTCACCATCTTTCAACCAAACTATTCTTTTCAATTCAATGTAATTCGTTCGCCTGATGATTGATTGGAACTATTATATGCCATTCTCAAATTAGTTCTTGGGAAAGACTATCAGAAATCACACTATAATATTAACGATGGGCAATCTGTTTGGAAGTTTATTCAAGGGACTTTTTGGTAAAAAAGAGGTTCGTATTCTTATGGTCGGTTTGGATGCCGCTGGCAAAACTACCATCTTGTACAAATTAAAACTGGGCGAGATAGTTACTACTATACCCACAATCGGTGAGTAATGACGGAAATGAAGAAGAATTAACAATCTTTGCCAACATACGCCGTTGATATATTAACTTAATCGTAGAATGGCTTGATCTGCATGACATTTCGTAATCAACGTTGATTTGTGGTGGTGCATATGTCCACGACTGCATGTTCGAATTGTTAGTCGCCAGTGTAGTTTTTATATTGTATTGCGGTACTATACCATAGTACGTGATATATAGTATTCAATGTTAAGTACGGCATGACAATCCATAGTACAGTAAGTACATACGGCTTTTTATCAAAATGGTCCATATCATGGGATATCCTTGTTAACATTTTTTTCTTCTAAATCCTGTTCAGGTTTTAATGTAGAGACTGTCGAGTATAAGAATATTAGCTTTACGGTCTGGGATGTTGGTGGCCAGGACAAAATTAGGCCATTATGGCGTCATTATTTCCAAAATACCCAAGGTAAAATCCTTCAAAAGATGTGAAATTAAACTTGTACCTTCGTAATCGGCCGTCGATTACTTTTTCTTGTCCGGACGTCCGGACGGGAAAGTTTCTCTTCAACTTTGGAACTTTTTCTGTTTCGATTCCGTTATAAAATACAAAGATTGTTACTCAAGAGTACGCTAATAATTTGAGAGCTGAAATTAAGTACGGTGATGATGCCCCTTGAAATCCACTCTACTGTATCTATACTGCCATTGACGGATGATACGCCTATCCATAAAATACCCCTGGATGATATTGGATACAACACTCTTACAAAGATTGAATCATTCGTCGCTTACTATTTATGAATAAATTCTTATGCCATATCTTAAATCATCCTGCTGACGGCATGGTCTTGGACCGAACGCCTGATAATTGTTAAAGAAGTTCTTTGTGCTAAAAAGAATCTGCTTTGTCGTGTGATGCTATGTAGTCTATTTTATTTTCGTTAACACTTGCATTTTCTTTTTAACTATTTTGCAGGACTTATTTTCGTAGTTGATAGCAATGATCGTGAAAGAGTTAATGAGGCCCGCGACGAATTGATGAGAATGCTTAGCGAGGATGAGTTACGAGATGCAGCGTTATTGGTCTTTGCTAACAAACAGGTTAGCCATCAAGCATTTAAATAATGTGTAAATCATGACAGCAACTACAACTATCCTTGTGTAGTAGAATGAGTTTAATTTTTATGCCTAAGAATCGGCAATACCAGTATGATTATTGTAGACGTAGTACTTTCCAGTATGATACATATTCTATTCTTGAATATCTATTTCGCGATATCCTGTTACTACGAAATAGAGGCTTTCTAAATATTGTAGAATATTCCAATGCTAAAGATGACAGTAATCGAACGACAGTATGATCGTTCTACATCATTTCGATAATGTATGGGTTCGGACTTTGTAGCGTGTACAGAATAAGAATAGACCCTGAAGCCTCCCTAGTGTCAAGTATAGTACCGTATAGTCTGCTTACAGACGCTTGACACGAACAGACTGTCACACCTGCAGACGTTACAGTATCGAAGGTGACCCTAATTCTTGACAATACAGTAGTACTAGTTTCGGTACTATACAATAACCTAGTTGGATCCCGCATACTGCAGTATCGTACCGTACAAAGAAGCGTCCATTTACAACATTCAGCATTTTTTTTTTTACACAAGGAGCAACGCCTAGTTTTGAATGTTTGTCACTATTTTTTCCCCCTTTTCATTTCATTGAATTTGGACATGGATTATTCGCAACTGTGTGGTATCATCATTTTTATTACAGTAATGTAATTTGCGAAACTTTTTGTGCGCAATTCGGATGTTAATTGCATTAAATAACAGTGACACCCGTATTAACGTACTGTACCAAGGCGGCCTTTTTGCATTTTTGGACTTGTAACGTCGTAGGGTAAAGTAAGAAGTCATTCATATCAAAAAATGCGATTGGGCGCATTGGTGCAGTATACTTACGCGTTAATCTAATATGCACTACTCAATACTTTCACCGAAAGAGCAGTTGAATCAATCGAGAGTAAGGTACTGTAGAAATTGCTCCAGTTGATCCGGTGGATCGTGGGTGATTGCTAGCGTTATAATTATTCCACCTTAGGTAGTTTAATGCTGCTGTCGACGTCAACGCTTTTTCATTTTTATTATTCGTATACGATATTACGATAACGTCGCATCTGCGTCAATGTAGTGACGTACTATGTATGTACTGTACCGATAAATTTTTGTTGTTACGGAAGAATAGTAAATAGGATGTGATGTACTATTTCTGGTACGGAATTTGCTTTATCGAAAAGAAAGTAGTGATATATTGCAGTATTGAATACGTAGAGTTAAAGGATAATTAAATGAACCCTTTTATGAAGTACCAGAACATACTTGTACTTTTGTAGTAATCGTAAATATCGAAACGATTGATTATTGAACACGTAAGACTAATAGAACGATATTTTAGCATTGACTTGAGTTCATAACTAATGCGTTCCTTGAATAATGAAGTGGCATGTAAAGGGTACGTACTCTGTTCCTTTTCCCTTTTATTCATAGTTGATTAACATTAGAGGAAAGTTGAGAACAATGAATATATATGCGCAATCAATGTATCAGTGTATTCCTATCGATTTTGACTGTTGCTACAGCATTAGTGATGGAGTGATTTAATAAACCATCGATTTCATCGATGCTACTTCAAACTTAGGACGTATATCTACTATAGATTATCGCACCACCTTCACAGAGACAGGTACAGTTTGTTAGTGTCTGCCTGCATCCTAGTACAATGATCGGTAATGCTGTACGTAACAGCTGACATGGGGCGTTAAGCTCCTTTTCAATGATCTAGTGCTGCTAGAGCATAGTAAATCTAAAGGGTTTGCTACTGTACCGAGTACTATAAGTAATCACCATTCGAAACTTCCCACTGACATCATATATTGTACTGTAGAGCCTTTGAATCGATGATTTACCCTTCTTTTCCTTTGAAACATATTGTTAGTAAATTTGTAAAAATAATGTTATTTTACCGACCGGTGAATATAACTTTCATAAGTACTATACTGTAGAACACTGCTGTTGTAGGCTCGCAACATAGTGAAATGTTACTTTGCCCTTATTTACGCCAAGATTAATCAGATATGTTTTCTTGCTGATTAATTTTCGTTCTGTACAGCTCAAAGTTCGTAACGAACTAATCCCCCAAAAATGCTTTTTATCACACTGTATAGTACAATACATTTGAATGTTTCAATTTCACCATATTACAATGTATTGTACGGTACTCTACAGTGTACAGTACAGTACGGTACCGTGTCATCAAAATATCTACTGTACTGTACGCTAAACACCTGGCAATCGCTGACTGCTGTGTCTGAGATATGCAGCTGTGAGCTTGTGTCATTGTCAGCAGCGGCAACGGACATTCTATTAAAATATCTACCAAATACAGTGTTCGAATATTTTTGCTTATGCTTAAAAGTTGGAATTTTTTGTAATCTCGAAAATTGAAATTGTAAACCTGAACCATTTCTAAATTACACTAATGATGAACTGCTAGAAGAAGCCCGTCTAGTCCTCATCGTCTAGTACGGTAGTCTATATACACACTAATTCAGTTGATATTTTAAAATTTTTGCAATTTACAAAAGTAATGTAGTCCGTTTAGCATTGGATTTGATTTAATTTGATGTACAAAGGACTATATTATGGTCATTTCGATCGATAGCTACGTACGAAGTCAAGAAGGCTCGTACTTCCCAATCTCTTTCTGCTGCCGTACCTTTGTGTTACTCGTTAGTAGGATCCTTAGTCCGGAGCAACTAACGTTCTATAATTGGCGATGATTTCCTTATTGACAGTAGTGATTCGAAATGATTGATTATTTGACCTTTTATCCGTTGTTACTGTGTCGTACAGTATTGCATATGTATAGTTTGTATTTTACCATCCAAAATGATATCTCCTTTAACGCTGAACTATTGTAGTAAGGTTTTTACTTTCATGGCGGTCATGCCAACTGACCATTGTAGATATAGCAGTTGCTTTACTTTTGGCGTTTATCAATATTAAGTAGTGATTGAACTAGCTTTTGAGTTACTACAATACTGTACTATGGGCGCATAGCTGCCTCAATGGCAATGATACGGTTTATATTATGGAATCTCGTACGTATAGAATTTACATTATTAGGAGCATGATGCATCGGACTGTTCACGCGCATCTGCTGTACACTCTTTGAGTTAAAGGGGTAAACATGACCTTATTGTACTCTTTGATGTGCACTACTTTATATACCTGTACGTAGTATATGCAATACTATACTATAAGTTATCATTGAACAACTACTCTTAGTAAATATTATAGTTTTAGATTGTTTGACAAATTATTAACTAGGATTTTCATTTAACTCTGCTTTACTAATATAAAAAATTGCAGTCTTTACATCTGCTCTTTAACTCTATTGTGGTTCAACCTCTTAATTATAGTTTTAGAGTTTTTAACTATAATTTTATTATCATCATAGAGTATATTCAATGTCCGGTTCGGGTACACCATATGTTTACCGTGATTACGATACAGTCATAAAGTATCTTGTCTTTATCAGACAAAATGTAAACCACTATTTTGAATAGACGTTGGACAACCAGTAGTAATAGTTATATGTCAATATTATGTGTTATACATGTTTCGAGATGTCGTGATAAAGTTCTTCTTTGCCATGGGAACTGGGAGACATCTCGTTACGGGTCTCTGATCTATAACTACAATAGAATGCTCTATCTAGTTCTTTACACCTTATCACGCAGTTGCTTGTATGGTAAAGTTTAATAGGATGTTTGAACGGCTGTTTTACTACACTTCGTCACTACTTCTTTCTTGCAAGTATCGAGGTGCTGTAGCTAAAATTTGTTGAAACTCATATATTTCTGCACTACCCCTACTTTAGACTACACAAATTGGTATCATACGGCTGAGACATGTATCGATTGATTAGTTAAAAAATGCATCTTTGAATGCTATGTCGTAAAGATTCATCTTGTAATAGCCAACACCGTTTAAGGCTGGCAATTTTTCAGCCTTGGATGCAACAGCTGGCAGAGCTGAGTTTATATTAATACTTTTGTTGTAGCAGAAATGCCTTGCAATTCTTTTGCATTTAGTTTTACCATCAAGATGTAGCGATTTCGATCGAGCTCGGTATCGAATTTGCATTAAATAAGTTCATTATACTTATTGCAGTTTTACTGCCGTTGTTTATTACGTTATTTTGCAAATTGGATAAGGTGACCGACCATGCATGTACGGAAATAGATATCGCTGAGCATATTTGTATTGCGATCCGTTTATCTTATTATACTGACAATATAAAATGATATTGAATAATTAATTCTCTAGGCGTAATTACTACTGTACTTTATTCCTAAATGCTTTCAAATTGTAATATTATGCTTGATAATAATTTGAATATGTTACAGAATTGACTAACCTAATGAAATTTTACATATTAGGACTTGCCTAATGCTATGAATGCTGCCGAAGTTACAGACAAGTTGGGACTCCATTCGTTACGACATCGCACATGGTATATTCAAGCTACATGTGCAACTAATGGTGATGGTTTATATGAAGGATTAGATTGGTTGTCCAACGAATTGAAAGGTCAAAAGTAGAATGGTCAGAGTAGACCTTATTTTTTCCCATCATTAAAAAGTTATCAAATAAGCATAGGCTATAGATCGTAAAATACATTTTAAGAGTTGATCTAAATAAAGTTTACTTGTACTTGAAAATTGTGATAACGCAGTGATTAACCTTTGATAAATACAACTTTTTATTCTTTTCACATGACTACCTATGTTTGTTGTCAACGTTTTGTTAACAGTAGGAAGCTCTTTAGGCTTAATGCAAGATTATTACGGTATTATAGATTCTCCTACTGCAATAATATCGATAAATAATTCAATTTTCGGTCGGGTTGTGATGGCTGATGTTATGATATCAATTTACTAGTTAGTATAATGCATTATTATAGGTAGTAATGTATGTCTTCTGCGTATCGAGAGCAATGCAAGAAATTTTCATTTCCATTTATAGTAGTACTAGCAATTTACTAGTTAGTATAACGCATTAACATAGGTAGTAATGTATGTCTCCTGCGTATCGAGAGCAATGGCTAATTTCTCGTTTCCATTTACACTAGTAACGGTGACATTAAAACGGAATAGATATTATAATCTTATGCTATTAAAGGTTAAGGCAATCTTTAGTTGTCTATCATTAAGTGCGTGATTTAATTTCAAGGTAGCAACTTAGTTACTGTAGTGCTTATGTAATATACCTAATACTGTATTATGCGTTACTTTGTCGCAATTCGAGGTGACATTATGTAGCTGTTATAGGTTTGTTGTGAGCTACTTATATTGATATCTACGTACCCTGGATAACTATTAAAGAGACATAGTTAAATGATTAGTAGTCAGTACCACACTGGTGGACATGAAATGTTAACTTTGTACGTACTCCGCCATTTTATATCTGCTCCGATATTGCGACTACGATTGAGTACATGGAATATTTTATGATATCCACTATACACAGCAATTGGAGTGCTAACACTGTAGTCGTAACTGACATCGTAACTTGTATTTCGTCTTTCAATAACATTAATGATTTTAAAACACTATTAATTACTATTATAATGTATTAGTTGAAGAATTTAATGCGCAAATTGATATTCTTCGAATAAAGTGTGTGCGCATTTCATGATATGGTGGCGTCGAAAATAACGAAAAGTTCTGCTTATTCAAATCGGTTTATGTGTACGATCATCAGTGTATTGTTGTGGGTAAAGCAGTGTTATAGTTCGCTTTCTTGCATGGGAATAAATAATTTTTCCATTACCGTAATTATGATTAATAGTTGTCGATTATATCTAGGCAGCTTTTTTGTTAGTTCAGTTCAGTAACTACCAATTTATTTTCGTACGTATAAGTATTAAGTTTTGAGGGTAACAGTTCAGCGGTAATGCTTCTAGCGATTGATTGTATTTTGAAGTCATTAGCGTAGGAGTTTTAAAATTTTACTACTGACAATCGAAGGTTGATCTTTCCACGAATATAATTGTTGTCGAGTATGCTAACGCTTCATACACTGTATTTATTTACTAGACAAATGTAAAATATAGTTCACTTTTCAGTGAATTACCGTGATAGATCCTAGTAAGTACTACAGTACTGATATATTACACTAATAAATGTGAATTTGATAGTGATTTCACATGTTCTTATCACTGCAATGGTAAGATCCGATTAGTACCTGAAATGCCACTATCTGCAATCGATAAAATAGTGATTTTGATCTCAGCTGTCTTACAATAGCTGCAATTAATATTGAAGTACAGGGCTAATAATATTTAGTGTGATGTAATAATCGGCAGGCATATCAATTGCCGCATTATACCAGTAAATAGCTCGAAAATATTTAAAGAAGGACATAGTTACTAGGGCATTATTGTGATCGCTATCATCAATATCTACTTTGTCTAAGACATCGTTGAAGACATAATTTTAAATTTCGATTTTATTAGAATACTATAGTTACATTTATTATCACTAGAAGCGATAAGCTCTTATTCTGCGTAATTCAGATACATTTGGATTATGTTGTATACACATTAAAGAGTATAGTAATACAAACATTGAAAGCAGAGATTTAAGTCATTAAATTATAAAGAGGTACATATAGCAGGTTAATTTATCTAATTTATTATCTAGTCAATCATTAAAATTTTTAGACAGAATCGATTCCAAAGTCGATATTCAAATTATGATATTTTATTCGGACCATAAATTGACATTTTGTAGTACATTTTGCTCGATTGTAAAGTCGTGTTCGAATTGTTTCCACTGTACCGACCTGATTGATCCCTGATAGGACATCGATGAGCAGAGTGCACGTACATGAGGAGATAAAACGAAAGGTATCCTATCCAGATTACTGACAGTTTCGCCATCTAACGAATCGAATTTGCTACTATTTTTGTCCTCGGATATTACTGGGAAAGTATCGCAACGATCCCGATTTTCTAAGTTAGCATTAAAGTTTTGGTATGACGAAGAGCGAGGTTTTAAATCCACAGCAGCATTAGCTTGACGTTGATAATGCTATATTAAATAGTTATAGTAAAAAATTTAGTTAAGCGCTAGAGTGTGAAGTTTACTAGAGAAAATCATCACGGAGGAATAATAAACATTTACAGTAGTTGATAATCGAAAATAATATAAATCTTAAACAAATAGTATCAAATGCAGTCTAAAATGCGCAATTAATAGAATGCCAGATTATAATGATAGAATAGGAATTTAATAGACCGAATCCTGTAAATCATAAGGTTAGTATAGAGCGAACTAGTTGTCAATGTAGCGGAGGAACAGGACGACTACACTTACACACATTAAAATTATTGTTGCTTATACAATACTATGAGTACTACTTGTTTAAAGAGTTTTTCTTGCGTACAAACTGTGAATTGACAATTTAAAATATTAGCATATATTGTATGCACGCAAGGGTTCGTTAAAATATGAGCATACTTAAATAAGCTGGGAATTTGATATTACACTATATCGCGAGCCGATCGTATCGTTGGATATCGCATTTTAATAGTCTATTTTAAAGTAGGAATCAGAATCGTAACTATTTACTGTATTAGTGAGCTTTATTGCGTCTCAAATTGAAGCATGACTATTGATTCCTCTGAAATTTTCCAACTTTACCAATGTCTTATTGTAGTCTGCGATACATGTCGCAAAATTTTTACCACAAAACAGCAGAGGCAACAAGCAGTCACTGCCCATATACAGTATTAAGGCCTAAATAAATACTAGATCCATCCTTAGTAGACGAGCAAGCGTACCTGTATCTATTGCTATTATTTCTACTGTATTTCTCATGGATACTGTCCTAAATTGATGACTTTTATGAACATTCTTTGAGAGTTGGCATATATATAGAACGTATATTCCTGATCACTCCAATATACGCTGATAGTCTACCATTGAATCTGCTAGAAATGGATGCTAAATAAGTTTGTGACTGAAATTTATTTTACAACATAAGGCGTAATTCATGTACGTACTGCATATTGCTGCTGATTCGTGTACAACCACTAATTCGTAGTCTAACGGTGAATGCGCATTTTTAAGGAGGGTCTAAAGCATTGGATGGATGATCCCCGACATTTTTTAGGAGACTCTATTCCATTTCGACATATGTTTAATACTGAGGTTATAATAAATATAAACATATGTAACTACAGATTCATTGTAAACATTATTAGGCAAGCAACCAGTGTTTACTAAAGATAACGTCCGCAAGCCATTGATATTTAGACTTGACTACGGAAAGCGCAAATATACGAATATACATGTATAAACTACAAAATATAGCGTACTGTATATCATATGCGTTGAATAAGTCTATCCAATCAATCTTGTATCGAGGATTTTTATATTCCACTAGCTTCGCAATACCCGTTGTAAAACGGAAACAGCCAATTACAGTCCACTCAGATCATAATTAACAAACAGGCTGTATTTCCTTCTGCTCTATTACACGTACTATTTGTCCTTTTAGCCCAGCATACAATATTTATTGAATTTAATAAATAAGGCCTGTATAGACAATAATGTTCATAAACTGTAAGTATCGGATCAAGTTGTTTAACATTCAATATATTACGATCGATTTACTGATAAATTATGTACATGTTGTACCTGTAATATCAGTTTATGCGAAATAAAATGCTGTATTTTGCCTTTGCTCATAGTATTAATACTGGGTTATATGTTTATTAAATTATTTTGTAGATAGTTTAACTATGTAACTGGATCGATGATCCAGTGCGGTATAATATATACTGTACTTTTGATATTAAGATTTACTGTTGAGGCCTTTGCATCTAATTCTGTAAAGCTGTGCATGCAATTGACCACTATCGTGATTTCTAGTTGGACAGTTAAGGTGATTCCATGCAGTCGATAGATTTGTGATGTACAGTACTATGCTGCAGTAAGCCATAACATTATCACTAGTTCAATTATGTTTACAAGGTTAATGAACTATCATCAATGTATTTAATTCTTACGTAGGCATAAGTCACTATGCTCCAATTTAGTACTGTGTGGTAGTGTACTTTATATGATCTATGATGACTTGAGTTGAGTAATTATGTGATCATAAATAAAGTCTTACGCGGTATAGTACTTCATTAGCTATCAGTTCTATCCATCACGATCATAAACTTAATCAAGGGGCGACTATTTGCACTTCCCTAGAAGCGCAAGTACAACGATCGTAAAATATTATCTTTACCATCTCAACAATTTTTCAGAATAAAATTCAAGTTATAGAGTAGTAGAACAGCGTTATGTGAAATCTTCATTTTGGTGAATGTGCAGAGGAAAATTCTCGAATCAAGTACTGATTGCAAGTCAAGGTATGACGTTCTAGAACGACAACGTCAAGTCAATAATAAAATGACTTTCTTGATATCTCCTGAGAAGAAGAAGAGATAAACCAATTTCAGCATATACTACAGTCAAGTAAGGATTTTGGCCTGTATTCCTACTCCTCTGTGAAAGCGTACTACGGTAGCGATGAACGTTGTTGAGTATTGATATAATACGATGATGGAATATAGACTAGCAAATGATGAGTGTTTGAAAAGTTGGCAAGAAAGTACACTACTGTACTCATAGCAGTTGTCGAAGGAGAGATAGTATAGTAGTAGCTAAAACTGATCCATAAGCATCCAATTGAGCATTGAGTCAAAAGGATTTTTATAAACAAGACTTGTCATTCATAATAAGGTTATTTCGCCATTTTGGACGAATAATTGTATAGATTAATAGAATAGATTTTTTTTGACTTACTTCGGTTAAAAGTGGCGCTGGAGATATTCCTGGTACCTCTGTCTTGTCAATAACGACAAACTCATCTTTAACGATCGTTGGCGCTACGCAACGATCGTCAGAAGTATTTGCTGATTTATTATCTTTTCTATTAGATGATCCGAACAGAGAAGAAAACATAGCAAGCTTGGAATTCACTACCTACGAGTATCGTCGACAGTATTTCCGTTGATGAATCAGTTACAACACAGGGGAGTCAAAATTAATATCAGTTCATATCACTTTAGCCAAGAGGATGAAAGTTGACAATACCAATCATTAGAATGGTATGAATAAATGTTGTAATAGCAGCAATTGGTTTGGATATTGCCGATCAAGGAAGACCAATGCGATTTGTAGTTGGGGATGCAGATCCTAGAGTGATTCTGCTTTTAGTGGAGTAACTACTGATGACTACAGTACGTTAAGACCGATAGTACAGTAAAGGGTTTGGCTTTGGGTTGATCTTCATTTTACAGTCCAATGTTCCAACCATGACGTAACTGGGAAAAATCTGCTCCACTTGGAGTGGCAAATCGCTTGCAATCCATGGCCATTACTAACGTCCAGTCGTACTAGTACGGTACAGTCGACTGTGGCGGTTAAAAATAGTCCAAAATAGACAAGAGGGAAGAGAAAAATCTCTTTCTTATTCAAATAGAATGAATTAATTAATAATACTCCTGTTACAACTCGTTTATATTGTATAGAATTGTAATTGTATAGCTACGGACAGCATCTATCTTGTACTATGTAATAATCGATGATTGATTGATTGTAAATAGGGATTGCAACATCCCAATTTTTGCCCCCGGGTGCCCGTTTCAATAAACTGGAAGATCTTCATGTACATTGTACAAGTGTGTGCTAGTGAATATTGCATGCAGAAGTTATGTACGAGTACGGTACTGTCATAGACTACTAAAGAGACAGAGAGCTTTCTCTCTTGAGTAGTCCCTAACTGAGTAATGGATTATTAATACCCTTGCCGGCAATTGAAGAAATAGACTCGATAGACGCTCAAATTGGAGAATAATTTATCGGCTTTTCAAAATTTCACTTGTCAATACAGTCAAGCTAGTTACCAAGATGCAGTGCTAGACTACTACTATACTTGGATTGTACAACTATGAACTACTAGATACTACTCTACTTGATAGCAGTGCTGTACATTAAGTGTACAAGAGTGGATAAGATAGCCCATTCTATCATTACTGTATCGTATAATCATCGATGAGATCTATGTTGATGATAAAGTCTCATCCCATTTTACTATACGAGTGTATTCATTTTTACATTAGCTATTTTTCAATGTTGCCTGTCTTTTCTAATGTCTTACTCTCTCATAAATTGATCTTCTTTTTACTCCTTGTTGGCCTACGCTGTTCCAATAATTGGAATTTATATTAGGGATTAAATGTAGAGAAAATAATCTCTACATTAGTTGAGCCTATGCATTGAATAGTGTCAAATTGGTAAATACTAATCGTAAGTGTAATTTGAATTTGTAATGGGTATTAAGTTGAATGAAGAGAAAAATAATCTCTACAGTGTAAAATTGGTAAATACTAATCGTCAGAATGTGATTGGAATTTATATTGGGGATTAATCTGAATGAAGAGAAAATAATCTCTACATTAGTGAAGCCTATGCATAGAATAGTGTCAAATACTAATCGTCAGAATGTGATTGGAATTTATATTGGGGATTAATCTGAATGAAGAGAAAATAATCTCTACATTAGTGAAGCCTATGCATAGAATAGTGTCAAATACTAATCGTCAGAATGTGATTGGAATTTATATTGGGGATTAATCTGAATGAAGAGAAAATAATCTCTACATTAGTGAAGCCTATGCATAGAATAGTGTCAAATACTAATCGTAAGTGTAATTTGAATTTGTATTGGGAATTAAGCTGCATGAAGAGAAAATAATCTCTACATTAGTGAAGCCTATGCATAGAATAGTGTCAAATTGGCAAATACTAATCATAAGTGTAATTTGAATTTGTATTGGGAATTAAGCTGAATGAAGAGAAAAATAACCTCTGCATGCATAAAGCCTCTATGCATTCAATAGACTTTGCAGTTTGAAATGAATTCAAATGTCATGGCGTTGTGACTAAGGATGTGAAGATTGCTTGTTTAGTAAATACTACTCGTAGTAGTGGGGGGAATCGCACACGAGTTGCGCATTGTCACGTATTCACCATGATTGATTCAAGTTAGACTGGGCAACTATTGTTGGCATTTGTTGCCATGGCTGATGGCGGAATCTCCAAGTGGTTACATTGTCATTTCCAATTTTCCACTGATGTTGAAATAGCGTATGCGGTACTCTTAGTAAAATGGAAGCATTTAGTATCAGCCCGTGCATCACGCGATGAATGGACCACTCGTTTTAGTAGTTTGATTAGCGTACAGGGTGCTTTACACGGTTTAGCGTACAAGGAATGATCTCTTGCATGGCATGATGATCAATCGCTACAAGATAGGTTGAGATTTTGACGAGTGCTAGACAGTATGTCCTACAGTATGCACGGATGTACGCGTGATTGGCATGACCATCAAGGCATTTGTATAGGCACGACAAAGTATGCTTGAGTGGGTTCATTATTTGAAGACAGTCACTGTATATGTACAGAGTAGGAGGAAGAACAACAAAATGGACGTCTTGCCATGACAGGATAAAAAGGAATCTGCAATGCATCAGAGACCATTTCTCTTGCAAGGTCCTGACGCTAATTCAAAACAGACAACTACGGAAGCTTTTCTTCCATCTCCCAATCCAACAATAATGCTATCCATGCAGTGCCTTACAATACACGACATGATGGAGTTGGAATGCACAGTACAATGAGGTCGTTATTGATTGATTTATTAACTTTTTTTCCTTTCTTGATGTGCACGTAATAAGGATAGAAATGGCAATGAGTTGATGGCACGACGAGGTTTTGCCTCGTCCTCATCCTGCTCGATGATACTGGATCGTTTGGTGGTACCGGTCCCATTTCCAGAGCCTAGTGTACACTGTACAGGGTGTGTGCAAAGTCATTTGAGATTTCTAAGTGTAATATCAGGATATTTTCCAATGATTTTTCTCACATTTTTGTTGTAATGGTATAGAGTAAAGGTTATCCTATTTCATGGTAATAGCTGTCATGACTATACCCTTACCAAAAAGACGCTATGATAAATTGAACCCGCGCGTCTAAATATCGCTAACGTAAAATTCTGGCTTGTTCTGCACAATGTACAGTGTACACTTGTACAATCGTACTGATGGCTCTTGCTGTACTGTACAGTATACAATTTCCTTTTCATGGTGATGTGGTTACGGCTACACCTGTTTACGTAAGGCTAGAAATGGCAGTGAGTTGTTGATGCCAAGACGATGTTTTGCCTCGTCGTCATCCTACTCGACGATATCGGTCCTATTTGCAGAGCCTACTGTATACTTGTGCAATCGTACCAATAGCTCCTGGTGTACTCTACTGTACAGTATACAACTTTCTTTTCATGGTGATGTGGCTACGGCTACACTTGTTTACGTTAGGATAGAAATGGCAGTGAGTTGATGCCACGACGATGTTTTGCCTAGACCTGACTAACTTTTGCCTCGTCGTCATCCGACTCGACGATAGTGGATCGTTTGGTGCTATCGGTCCCATTTGCAGAGCCTACTGTACACTTGTGCATTGTGCAATATGGTGTACTGTATACAATTTTCTTTTCATGGTGATGTGGCTACAGCTACACTTGTTTACGTTAGGATAGAAATGGCAGTGAGTTAATGCCACGACGATGTTTTGCCTAGACCTGACTAACTTTTGCCTCGTCGTCATCCGACTCGACGATAGTGGATCGTTTGGTGCTATCGGTCCCATTTGTAGAGCCTACTGTACACTTGTGCAATATGATGTACTGTATACAATTTTCTTTTCATGGTGATGTGGTTTACGTTAGGATAGAAATGGCTGTGAGTTAATGCCACGACGATCTTTTGCCTAGACCTGACTAACTTTTGCCTCGTCGTCATCCGACTCGACGATAGTGGATCGTTTGGTGCTATCGGTCCCATTTGTAGAGCCTACTGTACACTTGTGCAATATGATGTACTGTATACAATTTTCTTTTCATGGTGATGTGGTTTACGTTAGGATAGAAATGGCAGTGAGTTAATGCCACGACGATGTTTTGCCTAGACCTGACTAACTTTTGCCTCGTCGTCATCCGACTCGACGATAGTGGATCGTTTGGTGCTATCGGTCCCATTTGTAGAGCAAATGGGACACTTGTGCAATATGGTGTACTGTATACAATTTTCTTTTCATGGTGATGTCCTATAGAGCATAAAGGTATCCAACCGAACCGAACCTTTCTCAGGTCTAGCTGATGCGGTTACGGCTACACTTGTTTACAATCGACAGTCCTACTGTGCTTGTAGTAAACATGATAGTGAATGGCCACTTACAGTACAGTACAAGACGAGTTGTCACTGTACACTGTACGTCGTATACTGTAGTATTGTACAGTACTGTACTGTAACGTCCAGCCTGCAGTCTACAGTCCAGTGTCTACAGTACTATCTACTGTAGACTCCACGCAGCACGGTTGTTGCATACTGCAATGTAGAGGGGTATCGTAGAACCCCCAGCCACTCCAAGGTTGCCATTTTGACTGCAGCTCAAATGTTATTTCTTCAAAGAAAATCCAATTAATCAATTAATTTGCAAGTAGTACACATTCAAGACGCTAGCCTGAATAACAGAACAATCGACAGTCTAGTTGATTGGAAATAAACTCTATTTGGGACATTTTTTCTTGCCTTTAATCGTAGTATTTCTACCTTGTAATCGATTGGGAAAATTGTCCATCGCACAGGATTCGTTGACAACGATACATTGCTAGTGTATTGTATAGAGATACGCGTCGATCGTGATACATCTTATACTGTACACTAGACAGTATCGCGGATACGGACGACAGTGCAGTCCAATCACTCGATCATCACCCGATCGATCATTTTGCAGCTTTTGCTTTTTCTTCTTTCCACCAGTTGGTCGTTGAGCCTGCAATTACAGCACACCAAGTTGTCATCGACTTCCAATCTTAATCATTGTATTTTCAGCCCTTTCTATGCCTCCTCTCTATGGTATGTTGTGTACTGATTCAATGTAAAGAGTTACACCATGGCTACACCATCGCAAAGACCACGGCGTAACCCTCCACCGGCAACGGCTACAAAACCCCAGCCTATTAGGGCTACGCAATCGTTTACTTTGATCAATCATGGCAGCCCGGTCAAACATCAACAACAGCAGCAGCAAAATTTTCAGCATCCAACTCGGCACATGAGTCCGACGACACCACCTTCGCCGACAGCCAATGAGAACTTGAAATCGTTCTATCATTTGCGTCGATCTGAATCTTCTCCAGATTACAAAACTTCTATCGAAATAGGCAATCTTCCTCTCTTCTATCAAGGTAAGTTCCAAGCATGTTTGTGTAGAGCCCCACTGTATACTATATTGTCGTATTGATTGAACAGCATCATCATTAGGCATCAAGAGTAGTCAAGTGTGAGTAAGAAATAATAGAATCGCTGCAAGAGATGGTGGCCCATTTTTCATGTACTCTAATTACGCTTACTCATTCATAGTAATCAACTTAGAAATATCAAAACACATGTCAGTCTTCGGCTGGTGTATTTCTTTCGCCAATGCCATGCCATACTGTTTACTGTATATTGCACGCTGTAATAAGTACCGTCCCTGTCGACCATGAATTCACTAACCCAAGTGCCATACAAAAGTCTTTCCAACAGCGTCTTCCCTTCAACTTTTCTATACTCTACTATACAATAACTTGAAAATGAATTGGAGTAGGCCTACACAGGGGTCGAGGAAAGTCGAAATAACTCATTGCGGCAATAGAGCTTGATTCCATTTTTCTCTTTATTGTCCATTTACGTTAACCACAGTCTGACAACTAGCTAATGGAGGACTGTAACAACGCATAAAATGCCAATCATGAATTGATGGAATTTTGTCCATGCATTTTTCAAGAACGCTCGACAAACCAACACAGTTGGATGGAGCCAGTGGTCCTCACTCAGTGGATCACTATCACAGAATAAACTCTAATGCTCGATGTGCTCTCATGGATGAAACCTGGAGTATATTCAAATTAGATTATACTATACGTTAAAAATTTAAAGTTATTATTCTGAAAAAAAAAAGCTTTACAAATAGTATAGCCATTTTTCATTGGTTGCTGCTGTAACACTACAGTAACAAAATGATGCATGCAATTTTAGTGTCTCTTGGCTGATGCTGTACAATGATACAAAAGCTGTTATTTCAACAGGCAAGCAAGCACTAGTAGGGTAGAAAATAAATATCCAGGAATATATTGTAAGCACAGTGTATATGACATATATATATAGATTGAAATCGGACGCCAGGAAACAATTTAAATGTCAATCAGAAAGCAAGTTGTAAAACACACTGGACGAATAGGAGCTGTAGGCGCTACCGATCTCGACATACTTTACTATATGTTGGAAAATCTTTGCTTTTGCAATTTGTAGTACTTCAAGTAGGCCACGTTCAACACAAGACACAACTAGTCGAATATTCATAAAATATCCAAATAGCCACTTTCAATGAAAGCTTGATAGTGTCACTAACCAAAATAGTGGCTTTACCTTATGATAAAGGATAAAATTGAACGCTAAACCTACGCCACTTATTCTACTGTACATACGGCAGTAATGTCTGCTGCAATCATGTCCAATCTGTATTGTCTCAAGCAGTCTACAGGACGTTGATATCAATCGACTATTTCGCTATCGTAACCTTACATTTTCATTTCCAGTTGTTTAAATTAACGATACTAAGCGTATTGTAGTATCTATCTTTTGTATGTATAAAATCTTTCCATTTAACAGTCAGTTAATACACGTACTGTAGATGATCCTTCTTTATTCCTGAAATGACCAGCTAACTTTGCAAAACATCAAGTATGCTGACGCTTATATTTGATACGTCTATTTGTACCATCTTTAGGTCGCGGTACGCCATCGCCAGTGGCTATTCATCGCACAGGATCACTAGATACCATTGCTGAACCCTATTTAGCTGGTCATTGGCCTCCTGAAGGTTTCTTTAATGAAGATATTGTCTGCCATAAAGCTACACAAGTAAGATGTTAATCTTAGCTATTGCTATTCCTAGCAGGATTATTAATGAATGATGCTTGAAATTGCCAAAGATGCGTATTGTATCGCATAAGCTAGTAGTTGTTGCTTTGTCAATTTCCATCACAGATTTAGAGATAGCATGCATTAGTGTTGTACTGCATGACGCCTACTTAGCGACATTATCAATACCATTAGTACTTGCTTAGTACAACATGACCTAGATTTATTGGCAATAATTCAGCTAGTGTTATGCGATGAAGAATATTTTAAGGAAAAATGATGACTTTAAAGCAAAAATATCATTTTAATCAATGTCTATGATTGACTTTATTTCAAAATTTGTAATCATCTAGACTGGTGACATAGATGGTGAACCGAAGCGAAGATGCGCTCGCTCAGCATCGTGGGGAAGTGCAGACACTCTTAAATTGGTTTGTAATCTACTGTACAAGATCTAATTGATATTTGCGGAATCACTTCAAAAGAATAGACGCTGTCATTCTATTGAGTTTATCATAGTGCTTCATCATAAAAGATTGTAATCTACTCAAAGGATTATACACGTGCCTATCATCCTGAATATAACTCTTGATTTATTGCATAGGTATTACGTCAACAGCGACAGAGAATAAAGCAAAAATCGTCATCTGCTGTGTTGTCTCCAATATTTTTAATGTATAACTTTCAGCGTCCTTATTGGCCTGTATCAAAATGTTTAGCAAAGTGTATACGCCAAAGTATGGAAAGTTTAAATCAAGAAATTCAAACTCTTAATTTCGATCAAGCGGAAGAGTGTTGTGATATTTTCGATATTAATGAGGTGAGATATCTTCACCAGGAATTAACACACATAAAACTAATTGTTATCAATGTCCATCCTATATCCTTCCTTGATCTTACACTACAATATTGCATAAAATCAAACACAATTTGTTTGTGATCCTTCCAATATATATAGGTTGTAGAGATTCCTGATGGACACAAGGCACCCATGCCGATATTTTCTGCAGTAACAGTTCCAGCATCCACTAAGAACGCTGATACTCAAACATATGATGATTTCGCTATAGGTATAGCAATCGAAAGCAATAGCAGTTAACTCTCTTTCCATCATACTGTTGGTGTTCACTAGTCCAAAAAATACCGAATTTCGCTTTTTACTACATCGACAAGTTCAACTTGTCCTTTTCGCTCGATTGAATTAATCGTATATCTATTTTGAATAAAAAAATTTCAATTATTATACATTAGTAAATTGCATATGTTAATTATGCTGTGTGTGCAAGTAAGTTAACGACCTTATTCGTTTTTAGATGTAGCAAATTCGCCGTCGCCTATTTCATATAAGTTATCATCTTTTGCGAGAGAACCACCTGATGGCGTAGAAAAGATAATTACAGTGGTCGAAGGGCATAAGTAAGTTGCGTTAAGTTTGAACTTGTCATTGTCAATCACTAATGTAGGCTTACTATACATCTATGTATACAGTACGTAAAGTTTCGCTATTTTGGTAACTTTTTATTTTACAATCATAATCCATTATTCAGTCGGAAAGGTGTGCCTGCGATATTATGTCCGGATAAAAGCAAAGTCAATATCAACTTTAGCCCAACTTCTCCATTTTATTCCACCCATACCAACGAACTATTGGATGGTGTCGACAAATGGAAAATTGTTGTGGATAATTGAGATTTTAAACGTCTTATGTTATTAGATCTTTATATTATAACTTCGACTACAATTTTACTTTCACGTTTATGTATTTCCTTTCGTGCCTTTAATCTACTAGTTCATTTTATTATTACTTTTGTAGCATCGAGACTATCTCCTGTTCACTTTCGTTACTACAATTGCCTCCATAACGACTATCAAGTTGCAGTCATGTACTATATGATATCATTTAATTATCCTGTATATTTTATTCCAATGTAGATGTCGTAAAAACATTTAAACAATTTAACATAAATCTTATTATAATAATAATATTTATTAACTCGACCTATTCGTTCACTTTACCAAATATCAACTTTACTAATGTATAGAATTTTTTTTTGCAATCTATGCATTTTTCTTATCATATTCATGACGTATTCGCGTATTTCTTTCTATCTTTGTTACAAAGTGGAAGTTATTATAGTCATCAACTCTCTATAAATCGAATGTTCGTTTTGGATATTCGCTTATTACATTAAGATGCATTTAAGAATCACTCCTAAAATGGTTGTTGTTCTTTACGGAATAATTTACATTTCTCTTCAACTTGCTTTTGAAAATTATTGTAGACTCTGTAGATTGTTACCTACAATTTTACTTTTGGACAATGAATAATCTCATTGGTTAATATTAAGCCTATAGTCGATAGATAGTTTGGCTTCCTATTCTATTTTATATTATGGTTTCTGTTGCGACTCGACGGTTTATAATTATATAAACTTTACATTGTAACAGTAAGCTGGCGAAATAAATTTATTGTACATTTATTGCAATTATTTTATAATTTAATGGTATAAAATTTAAAATGAATGTAGTAGCGATCTCGATCGTATGATAAAATGATCGTTTTTTTACTCGATTGCTTCTAGATTAGCTTCGTTTTGCCTTTACATACAGTATTCGCGTACTATGCCACTAGCATACTTGTATTAGTCTAAATATTCATTATAAACCGCCTAACTAGAGACGACAATGTTTAAGTACAGTTTTAGCCGCCTAGCATTTCTAGTCATGTGTTGCAACTATCTGTAAAACTACTAACGCAGTTGACACTCCAGATGCAAGCAGTACCGTACAGTTATTAAGAATACAATAATAATCCTATATTACTATCGATGTATTTCATAATCTGATAGCAAGAGTAGACCACTGGATTAACCAACTACGTAAATAATATCCTATAGTAAGCTACTGCAGCTGATTGACTCGGTATGAGTGCTGGAATTGATACAGGCCTCCCTAATAAGTCTCGATCATTACTCTAGTTATTGCACTAATACTACTTATGAAGCACGGCAAAGAAATTATCTAAATCAACTTCCGCATTAACCAAATGCAACTTAGTAGATAAAACTAGTCACTCATACATGATTGCAAAATATTAACTGATCAAAGTTTAAAAATTATCGTATTCACAGTATGCTACACCGTAGAAATACTACGTGTGAATTTTATCATGAATCCACGAAGGATTCTACCCATTAAGTGCAAACTAAGACTTTTAATTGTACAAACTTCTACCTAAAGTGTAGAACAATTTATTAACAAACAGATGTATCGCAAAAATAAATGTCAAAATGGAAATTAAAAGCAGCTTTTCTTGTAAACATAGTAAAAAAAGAACGATCAAAAGTTAGAAGTTAGGATACTGTGACTTTCTCTAAAATTATAACTTATTTGCACTTTCACGATAAGCCAGTAAGTGTTCATAATTCCATTCATCATACCATCGACAACTTCCATATTGATATTCATCACAAGTAACCCTGGGTTGTTCTGGCTTACGGTCAGGCAATTCGGGTTCTTTTAAACGCTTTCCAAGGGCATAAAAATTTTCATAATAGTACCTATGGAATAAATTGCACTTCCAAGATTAAATTTGATTTCTTCATTTAAAATGCATCTATTCCCTAATTTTTTTACAGAAGCTAGCAATAATAACTATGTTGCATCAAGTCGTAGATATTATTACAGTTAGGTAATTACTAATTATGTTTAAATTTACATTGCTTTTGCTGAGAAATGCAGTGTAAGAAAATTAAATTACATAAAAAAGTATCTATATCTATTAGTTATATATCTGCATTATAAGCAGTGTTACAGATTAATTATTTGTTTACTAAGGGAGTTAAGGGAGAAGTAGCTTATACTGTAATTTCGACTAATAATTAATATAATTCAATTCCAATGTAAAATGATATAATAGTGTTCAAGGAAAAGTTTCTTACCATCTCTGAATAATATATTTAAAGCCTCGAACCACTTCAGATGCGGCATGTATGGAAGTAGGATCGCAATTACCGCCTTTGTCCATGTTATTCCATATTAGTGCTTTACCCTTAGCAGGGACGACAGGTACATTTAATTCTGTAAAATTGGTATAGCCGCCTTTCGAGACGTCCGTTAAATAGACCAAAACAGTTGCATATCTATCTCGTTTTTCTTTAGTAGCCGTCATACAGTCCGTATGAGCTTTGTAATCTATAAAAGAAATCGTAATAATACTATGATTAAAAAATAAATTACATAGTGATTAACAAACCTCATAATCCATATATCATAACTGAGATATTGTAAGCAACAAAAAGATATCTCAAGGAAAATTTACAATATATACGCGTATAACATGTATGGCATAATTGAGATTAAAAGAATTGTTACTAACTGATAAAATTACTTTTATTCTATCCATACATTAAATTAGCAACTTTTATTCATTGCTCTTAATTACAGATTACTTTAGTTACATTGAGTATGATTATATGACTAGCAGAGTCAGGTAGCGGTATTAGTTTATGTATGGAGACTATCAAATAAAGCTTGAAGATCGAATAATACAATACTTATTTAATATTACAGCTAATACTTTTAGCAAAATTAAAAGTAGTAGAGAAATTTCGCTCATTCGATTTTATTTATGTTACTGCATGACTGATTGTTAGAGACGTACTTATAGATGTTGGATATGATGTAATTTGAAACTTTCCACCGTGGCTTTGTGGCAGGCCTGTCGCTGCCTCAATACGTTCTGCGAAGCGAGTAGCAAAGGGGCTTTCACCATTATAAAAGGCAGTACTATAACTCCACCTAAGATGTTTTTTTAATAAGCTAGAAAAACTAGCGTTTAAACATGTCGTGCCTTCTGTAAAGACATTCGGAGTAACTTGCATTTTCAACTTTGCATCTTTCAGATGGCTCCTGTATTCAGGTAGACAATATAAAATTATATGATAAGCTAAAAAAGATTTCTTAGTATTACTACAATATTAATCAGTAATTTTTTATCAACTGTAATGATTGGGTAAAATTTATGCACTATACATATATTTAAATATTATTAGATGGATATAAGTAAGTTTGAATTGGTTACATAATAAATACTTCATAGGGTAACGTACATCGTGTCAAAAATTATGTTGCAGTTCAATTTATAGGTAACTATTATGGTCAGAGGGAAATACTCATCTCCCAGGGCTGATCGTAACATAACCAAGAATATCTTTTATTATATCAATCATTGCAATAACCAACTAGATTAAAATCGTTATAAGTAATGATGCTGACCTGAGCGTAGAGATAGCATCAAAGCACATGATAGGATCTTGTTTATTGAATTTGCTAACATATCTGTTATGAGCACCAATTAATCCATCGCATTCTTTATCACTTAGAAATGCATCAATGGTGTATATTTTAACATGGCTTTTCTTATTTTTGTGCTTAATTTCTTTGTACACCTTACGTTTGCTGTCTAAATAGATATTTTTCATGGTTATTTTTCTTATCTTTTTTGATTTAAAATTCTTGATCTCATCTGGTACTGCACTCCAATTCACAGCAGGTTTATTGGTGCCTTCCTTTTCATCAATCTCTTGCAAATTCATATCACTCACAGAGTATCCATCACCTTCTTTCTTATCTATTACTTCGCTAGCCATGGCTAAGATACTCCTCCTTTTAGGCATAAACCAATCTTTGCTAGTATAATCAGGTTCAGTGGGTTTAGCAACGAAAACAACCAAAATGACCATGAGCGAAATGCAGAAAACTATGACACCAACATAGAATTTTTTAGCCTAAATAAAAGCATAGCATCATATCCTGTGATAAGTTATACGTTGAAATCTTTTTCATCGCCACTTAAACGTACAACATTATAAATACGAGTATATACTGAAACGCTTACACAATGATAGATACAGTAAATGCCTTTGGTTATACTTATTCAATTATTATCATTCAGTATTACATCAAAAATATCCAAACAATGCAAATGCCCTCTCTCCATAAATTATTATGTAATAATTACTTTGAAGAAAATTATTGGAGCTTGTAGCGAAATAATCAATTCAGCAAATTACTATAAGTGCTTAGAATGTATTGGCTCCCATGCACGTTGATTCTCATCTCATATAGCACAATATTACCGCCACTTTTACATAGTGTACATCATGTAATAACCATTTCCATATACGTGCAAATCCGACGAGAAAATGTTATTGGAGCTTACTGATTAAATCAGTCAATTATCGTAAGTACTCAGAATGCATTAACTCCTATGTATACAGATTTTCATCCCATATAGCACACAATACTACTGTCACTCTTTATACAATTTATCATGTAATTCCTTTTCTAGCCAGCATGCAATTCTAATGAGAAAGTCATTTGAACTGTAGACAGAATATTATGCAATTAGATGAAAAAAAATCATTTCAACTTGTAAATAAACAGTCCAATCTTCAAATTACTGCAAGCATTGAGAATATATTGACTCCTATGCATGCTGATTCTCATCTCCTACAATACAATATTACCATCTTTGCTTAATACATCATGCAATAACTGCTTCCATAGCCAGGCAATTACGTGAAAAAGAAATCATTGCAGCTTGTAGATGAACAGTACAACCTTTAAATTATTGTCAGTACTTAGAATGCATCGATTTCTATGCTTGCTGATTCTCATCACATACAACACAATATTACTATCGTTGCATAATACATTATACAATTGCTTTACGTCAAGAAAAAATCATTGCAGCTCGTAGACAACCAGTCCAACCTTTCAAATTACTGTAAGTACCGAGAATGTACTCACTCCTATGCATTCAGATTCTCATTGCATATAATATAATATTACTATCTTTTGCATAATACATCATGCAATAACTGCTTCCATAACCATGCAATTAAGTGAAGAAAGAGTCATTTCAGCTGTTCGAGAGTTCAACCATCCAACCTTTAAATTACTGTAGGTAACACAGAATATATTGATTCCTATGCATGCTGATTGTCACCTCAGACAACACCCTATGACTATCCTTCCATCATTCATTATGCCATCACTGCTTCCATGTACATGCAAATGTGACAAGAAAAAGTCAATTCAGCTTGTAGATAAATAATCCAATCAGTCAATTGCTGTAAGCACTGAGAATGCTTGAACTCCCATGCACGCCGATAGTTATTTCATGCTCGACAATATTACCATCAATAAGGATTATATTTTTCCATTTGAGTAGCCATAGTTTGAGTAACAAGCTTTTACAGAGCTTGTGCAGATAAATTCATTCATTTGTCTCTATATACAGTAGTGGTTGTGATAAGTAATCGCAGTACTTGAACGTTAATCAAAGGTTAAGGTAGCGTACAATTAATTTCATCAGCAATCCATCATGCATCGATGCTCGAATTGATACTCAACTTGATCACTTTTTATAAAAGATCTATCACGCCGTATACAAGCCTGCTTCTACTGCCATGCCTTGCTACTTAATCCTATCATCCATCATCATGACAATAAGAAAGCATAAACTATAATAGAGAGAGAAAGCAAAATACCTTTTCAGTAAATTCCATCTCAGCTGGAGTTATAGGGGTATTAAAGTAGTTTGTTTTCTTGGTTACAATTCCTGGTCGTGATCGATCGCCATCTAATCGAGAGCGCCTTGTTGAAATTCTCTTACCAGCCGCTCTACTACCACGTGTAGATTCAACAGCCATGATTACTACTGTCCTTGAAAGTTATTTTAGCTGGAAAAGATACTTTCTATTGCTAGTTAAGACCACCTGGAAGGCTTGGAAATAAAAATCTTGCGTACGCTAATAACGGAGTTGCATGTTGCTGATGTTTCTACCTTACAGTATAGTGTAGCAAACAGCGCTTTTGTTAGCATAGAAGTCGTGGTAGAGAGTAGCGCCAATGCACAGTTTGTAGGCGTAACCGTCTCAGCCAGCTGTTTACTGTAGTCTTACTTTCCTATGAGCAAATCAATCAGTATACTAGCCCATTTCTAGGATAAAATCCCATACAAAAGCTTATTCATTTAGTCTCTTCTATTTTCTACTATAGACTTGGTCACCATAGTAAATCAACAACCACTGCCCATCATGTGGTCAAAATACTCTAAAATCGTCGACTGTTTCGGTAGTTCTACTTCGAGACAAGAAAAGGAAGGTGAGCGAGAATGAAAAATTTTTCAATTCTGAGGCCATTACATTCTTAAACTATCGATCCTACAGATAGAACGGATCTACAATTTGGCCTGATATTAAAAGTTTAGATGTAGTTGTTAGGATAGAACAGGATATTCTATTTCATCCGTCGGCTTATTGATATTTCATGGAGATGCAAGCTTAATCAACGCATATTACAGGGGATTCGAATCCTATAATTAAGCGCGTTGTCTTCGAGCTACTTCTGGCAGCAGTTGATTCGCGATTTCATTATAATGGAGTAGAACAGAAATCAATGATGAAAGTCTTTTTATGCTGTACTAACTCCAATGAGCAAGTCGAATGGCTGCTTAATGCCCTCTCTCTTGCCAGTATCTTGCTCAAGTATTTTCTTGTAATAATCCACGCATATACTGCATACTACGTCATATAAAGGGTGTTCTCTTCGAGTTTCTTCTGATAGCGGTTGTTCGCAATTTCACCACAGTAGAATAGAATTAAAATCAATTCAAAAGTCTAGTTATAGCCCATGCCTATGCGTATATCATCGACGAGCAGTGGCATCCGTTGGAGCGGGTACAGTTGATAACCAAGAGTGTTCTAGAATAGTTGCCCCTACAGTATACAATTTATTCTATTCGCACTGTCATGAAGACTAGTCAAGATATGGATGAGTAAAAGTAACCTTCCAGCTATAAACTTCTAGGTAGGATTAGATTCATGATTCTATCAAATTTCAGCATCCTAAATGCTGTAGCTAGATCATTCTAGTACACTATCTACTGCGGATTCAAAACACTCTTAATTTGCGTCTATCCACTTTCAATTATTGCATACAGGCTCTTACTTAGCGTAATACAAATGCTATTAACTTCTAGGCCATTACACAACAACAAGCAGTATGCCGGTATTAATGAAATCTGTAAACATTAAGCTAAAGATTGATGATATTAATAGTAGGATCATAAGTTATAATTTTGCCAATGATTTATCCAGACACGGTAATGCTGCAAATTAGGTTGTTAAAGTTTAACTCTTCTACTTGACAGCTCACTGCTGCAGTCTATAACTATATATGGTGTGCCGTATACATTCAATCCTTACTTCAGTAATATACAAGGTTTTCCCATTTGAAAGTTTCAAAAATAGGGAATTACCATTGATTATCAATTCCATTCAAGCCTACAGCCTTTCTTTTGGAATGATTCCATGTAATTTCTCTGTAATCATTTTGGACACTCACTCATAAACTACAAAATTGTAAAGAAGGATTTACTAGTCCATGACACATTCTACCGCTATCCAGAAAATTATATCAATCCCCAGATGGTAGAAAACTTGATAAGAAATAAGCATAGATGGAATTGTTCCGACCGATGCATAGTATATCGCCACTAATGTACTTACTCAGATATATGCCCATAATTGTAATCATTTAATGCGATTGACATACACAGTGAACAGTGTCGTGGTAGATAAAGCTTCAAAAACAATTCCTTAAAAATAGTTTTACAAACGCTTAATGCGAGAAGTAACCAAATTCATCAAATATCCGATAAATGCAATAAAGTCATCAAAGTTAGTGAAAGCTAGACTGTAGTTAGAATAATAAATCATTGCTCTTTTCGGTATTGATATTTTAATTTTTAGATACATCCTCAGTAAAAATATTTTTTAAGAGAGGTGAATCAATAGGAGCATCGGTAAAAATTGAACCAACAAAGACGTTAGTTCCCCAAAAACGATGAATTATCGCTTTACAACAACCCAAATCTTCAATTTTGAAGCCAAGATGTCTATAACGTTCATCTGTTTCATAAAATGTATTATTGCAATACGTACCTAAAAACTAAAATTGAAGAATCTCCGTTATAGCCGGTAATATTAAAACTTTTGCTTATGCAATAATGAAGTAGCATCCTTACTGCTCGCCCTGAAGCAGGATCGATAAAGTTAGCCCAATATCCAGCAGATATTAACTTGCTGACAATTTCCATGGAAGCAGATATAAACTAAAGAAGAAGAATTCGAACGTTATCCAAACAATTTTATTGGCGACTTTTTTATTATTCTTATGCAATAAACTCCTTCAACATTAGCCAAACTAAGCTGTATTAATATCATAAAGCATTTAGCATTTTCAATGAATGAAGATAAGACGTGAAAAAATCAAAAGTATAATTCTACAACTCTTGGCATCACGATCAAATTTCAATCACTTACATTCTTTAATAATTGCTCTCTTTCTAATGCCATGTCTTCTGAATATACAGATGAATCCAATTTACTTCTTTGACATAACGTCAGAACATTTAAATCGCCAACTTCGCAACGAATACTGGGAAATAATTCCATAAAGCTTTGGTGATAGTAGGAAGGTACTTGCTGGACGATACATTCGACACTACCTACTGGAGCTTGTTTTATCTCCTCAGGTGATTTTGTCGTTTGGGTATATACCGAAACAGTTTTCACAGGCTTTGCTTCGTCCTTGGGAGCATTATTCATAATCTAGAAACGATACAACCCAAAAATAACAAATAAGCTAATGGAAAAATAGCCCATTTTTTTCAAAATTTACAACTACCGTAATTAGAGATAGAATAAAGACTTCAAGTTGGTCAAAATAACTCCATAAACAAATGTATTAAAAAATGTCAACAATTTAAAGATACAATACCTTTTGTAGCTTAGCTTGAGCATCAATTGGGTTTTGCAAAAACTCGTGTTTTGATCCATTTAGTAATAATTGTCTCATTTTGATGTCAAGCTTTCTACTGGATAGAGAACTGCTACTATCGCCACCAACTTTGTAAAATAAAACCCATTCAAGAAAAAATCAATACAAGCAAAAGATTGTTATTCATATTTTTAAAAATGAACATATTTCCATTGGATCTATCTAATGAGGAAGGTATTCTATGAAAACGTAGATCAATGTCAACAATCAAATTTACTGCTACCAAGTTGATAGAAAGTATAGGGTAAGCGCTCAAATATTGACGCCTACCTATAAGAATAGAGGTATAATAAATAATTGTAATTTGTATTTAATACTTCATTATTTGAGTGAAATGAATAAAAACAAATAAGTATTATGGACTACAGACTTTAAAAGAATAAGAAGTAGTTTAGATATGATGGAAATCATGACATTTTCGTACCAATTATACCAAGTGGTTTATCTCTATCGGTCTTACCGAAATCGTTATAATAATCTTCTTCTGCAGGAGCGAAAGCGGATTGATTACCGGTAGAATTTGTCGGTCCATTGATAACAGTTAGCGGCCTTACACGATTTATAACAGCGCGAAGGTTAGGCAGATAAGTTACACTCCTTGAGCCGGCCCTAAGCATCTACAATTGCAACAAAAAGGTTCAATTGAAAAACATTTGGATACGATTTTTCAATCTTCAACATGTGCTTTGCATCATCACGATATTCTCAAAGTAAAATGAATTTATTTCTTATTGCCAATGTCGACGAGTATTACTTTAAAAGTAGTAAAGCAAAAGAAAAAACTCGATGTTGTACTGTGCTGAGCCCAATAATCATTCCATTGCAATACAATAACCGTATTGGATAAAGTCAATCATGCAGAAAAAGTATCCCATGTATTGTCGGCCAACAACGTGTATTTATGTCTATATACATGTGTTAATCGTCCTAACAACAGGGACTCTTTAGGGTAACAAGACTCTTGGACGAAAGAATAACAGGATGATATCCTTTTTTCCTATATCATCAAAAACGAGACGATTGAATATCTTTTGAGTTTGTATAATCCCCATCGTATAGATGATGACTATCCATCTAACGTCACTAGCTCTCATATTGAATTCAAGTCCATCAGCGATTGAAATACTTGCTAACGATACTATCTAACCTCTCTTGGTTAATCAAAATAATTATTAATAGTATGAACACATGCATTATCCGCCTTACAAGTTAGTAGAAAATAGTATACACATTGTCCTTCATTATTATCATGATGAGGAAAAGAAGAGATATCCCTTAATTAATAGACAGTCGTACAAGGTATCTTTGAAAATTCAAAATTGATAAAATAATCCATTGAGATGATTCAGTTCTATGACACCGTTTAGAATAATATGCATTGGTATCGATAGTTGTTCACTTTTACTCTATTCTACTCTATAGTACTGGAACAGGAAATCGAGCATGCAAAAAGAAAGTTATGACAACATCGTAATATAACAAGTAGAACATCATTGCAGTAAGATGGAAGTACCCTATCAATCGGTTATAGGATCTTATCGGACGTTAACGTAACTACTGTATTTGTCATGTCGAACAATTAAAATAGGGGCATCAATAAGCTTTCGATTCTTCTCTTACAAAACATAAAGAATAAAAATACTGCACAACCAAGGTATTTTCAAGGACTAGTTTGTGTAGTCTTACGATAAACTACAGTCTTGCTATGATTGATAAATAACATGGAATAGAATATTGGATGACATTTGTCGATGTAATACTATGGTCAAAGTTGAAAATGTTATAGAATGATAAGAAGGATTAATAACAGACAACAATTTTAATACATGTATTGACTGTTCTACCACCAAGTGACCACAATAAAATGAAGACAGTGTGGTTATTTTAGTAATAAAAACAATACTAAACCAAGTTTTCAATCTAGAGAATAGTTTACTTTTGTGCACAATTTCAGTAAAATAAAAAAAATTCCACCATTATATATACACATGTAGTTATCCAAACTGACGCAAAAAATTGTGTAAAGCTTTATCCTACTTGGCATTGAGTGTACCTCAAGATATTCTTGACATGTAGAAGGATTGGACATCAAGGTAACCAGTAGAAAGGATAGAAGAGTTAGAAATAGCACTACTGTAATGATATCGTTGCTACTTGTACTAGGACTGTACGTATCTTTTATTTATTTACTTGTATCCTCACTAGCAATTTAAAATAAAAGGAGTAGACGTATATATATATACAGTATATACCAAGGTAGAAAAGTTTCAAGATGGAGGGTACAAAGGTGAACTAATCCTGACAATAGTACTAATTGGTTTTTGTCCTACTGTAGATTGGATCTTATCACTCAACATTGAATATCGTATCCCCAGTTCCTAGACAGATGCAACAACTATTTCAATCTCAGTTGGTAGAAAAATAGCACTAGTCCATCTCGTAATTGCACTTATATTATTATTTTAATTGACTAAGAGGGAAAAGACAGTGCAGGCTACACAGGATGGAACTATTAATTCTATGAAAGGAAAAAAGCACTAAATCAATAGGGCGAGATCCACATTTGCCAATAGTGGGTACCTCCTTGAAGGCGAAAAAATCCATATGGAATTACGTATATAATAATAGCAAACCAACTAGAGTAGAATTGGACTGAAAGGAAACAATTATACACCAGACTAAAAATATAAAGTAATGAGTAAGTTATTTAGCAAATACACTGTGTAATATTTGCCAAGACAATACTTAATTGTGCATCACTTTTGGTACTTTTGTCTTGTCAACGGTTGATAAATTATTAATACTCAATGTGCTATCAAGTTGATCAATCGTTAACAAACAAATTGAGTAAAAAGAGGCTGTTGATCAAAATGAATCTCCTTGTTTATACATTACCTACTGTAGATTGTCTATCCCCGATTTGGTTAAGCAGTCAACAGCCTAATGGTCAAGAAGGCAGCGTGAGCACTGGTGATTATTATTTTGGTTTTCGTCCCCTGCTGTTTAGCATAGCTCATTACCAATTCATGTCAAGTTTTAATTACACTTCGGTTTGACTAATCAAATTAACCGGACTCTAACCACCTTCAAATTTCATTACCATTATGAAGAATCAACTAGCCATGAAGCTAGTTGTAGCTAGTAGATCAATTTTGATATGTTCCATCGTCTTTTATATACAACTCAGTAGTCCATGTCTGAACTACTTTGAAAGTTTGAATTAATAATTGAAGAAAAAAAATGTAAACATTCTCAAGTGAATGGATCATCTAAAGATATTCTATAGCCTGCACAAACTCTTAAGACGAATTAGATAATCGATTTGTATCAATCATTCTAGTTTCTAGAGCAGTTACAAAAAATTACTCTAAATACCCAAGATAAAAAGTAATCCTAGTTGATCAGATATTACAAAGCTAGCAGAGTGCAGGTTGACGAGTATATCTAGCATCGTATAGAACTCATATAAAAATGGAAACATCATTGAGGTAAGTTCAATTATTAAGAAACATCGCTGATTCAATTTAAGGTTGCGATAACGACTCAAAAAATGATTTCAAAACGAATAAGATTGTGTCATACAATATCACTTATGTTGTCCATTTTCTATTTCTACTACAGCTTCAGTTTGTCACCCTGGCTAAGCGTTTGACCATCATCAGTCACTACAGTACGAGCGATACTGGAGAATTGGCTCTATTTTACTTTATCGACAAGGATAGACTGTGAAAAGTGATTGATTGATTGATTCAAGTAGCTGAAAGTATTGTAATAACCACCTCCGATCTGCGATCTCAATCTGTATTCCATTGGATAGATGATCCTCGATAGTTTGCTACTCGTCAATCTGTCTTTTTAAGTTGTTTCTACTCCTAGGTCATCCATTCAGTCTAGTCATTTTTGTAAAGTCCTTACCGACTAGTAGATATAGGGCTGTAGTCATTCACATTGTAGAAAGCAAAAATGTCTACTAGTCAGTCCTCGTTAACCAGTACGCAACACAGGGAATGGAATCAGTTTCTTCATCTGCTGCTTTGGAGAGGAATGACTGAGATCCTTGAAGGATAAACATCAGTGTAATTTAGCAGGTTACTGTGAGGTCCTTTTCTTCCTTCCTCTGTAGTCCTGTCATACTCTACTTCACCAAGTCAGTCCTGTACTACGTAATTCACAAATAGCTATAATATCGTCAACATTCTGGCTAAATTGTTGGTCAAGCATCAAGAGGAAGCCCTATTTAGTCTTGATTGAATTGAAGCGTTAAGACGTTCCTATTCTACTATTCTCACCAATGAGCTTGCTAAAGTTGACGATTGTACACGATAAACTAGTCCTTGATGGCATCAAAAGCCCTTTCAAAGCACTTTAAGAGTAATACAGTACTGTGATTGAGTCATCGTCTCATTTGAAGAAAATCTGCCTAGAATGATTCCATTTGACTGTGATATCGCAGGATCAGTTATTCAATGCAATGGATTTAGGCCTCAGCAGCGACTTGTTCTGTTCAGGATTGCACAACTCAGCGCGGCTGTGTCGACTTTGATCTAGTCGACTACCCCCCTATTACTTCCATCGTAGTCATCAACGACAATCCACATTCATTGACCAACATGCTACTAATCATTTACCATGAGCTAATGAATTCAATCTGTCCATTGCAGCACATTGATCCTACCTTTTTGCGTGTCTTTGCCGAGTCTTGCTGCACTGTAGATTTGCCTGTAGCAATAATAACAATCAACAATATGGCGATGGCTTGGTGCCGCCAATCTCAATAAAACTACTCTTGACACTGTCAATAGACTACACGATGAAAGCACAACCAATCTCGCTTACGACAAGCTAAAGGATTTGCTTGAATGGATTCAACTATCTTCCAATTGCCTTCCTTGAGTCGTTTTGACAGGATAAAGACTGCAAAATGGAAGTTGATTTTCTGCTGCAAGCACACCAGTGGGAGTTGCTGCCCGATCAACGCGTTGCTCAAGCGGTAGTCCAGTAGTGAGACCTGAGAACGGTTCGGTTCGGTTCAGTACCTTATGCTCTATATAGTCAGTAGTCTAGGACTCCATTGTAGTGCAAGTACTGTAGACTGACCCGGAAAATACGGTGCAGTGTACTGTAACTTACAGTTCACTGAGTACCGTACTGTGCACTGTACATTGGACTGGACTGAGCACAGTGAGCAGTCCATGTCTGGCAGTACTGGACGACCTGAGAACGGTTCGGTTCGGTTCGGTACCTTTATGATCTACATAGTACAGTATACTGTAGTAGTCTTGGACTCTATTGTAGTGTAAGTACAGTAGACTGACCCGGAAAATACGGTGCAGTGCACTGTACTGTACTGTACTGTACGTACTGTACTGTACAGTACAGTACGTTGAGTATCGTACTGTGCACTGTACACTGGAATGGACTGAGCAGTTCATGTCTGGCAGTACTGGACGACCAAATCAACATGGCAGCTAGTAAGAGCAGACAAAGAACTGCGGAGTTTAATGAAGGCGAAGTAAACTATTCAAATGTTATTGTAGAGATTCTACTTAGTAAGTAGGTACGCTTAGCTCATCGTATCATTAGTACTGGGCTCGACTAGTATTAATAGTAGTGATTATAATCAAAGTAAAGGAAATAACGCTCAGCCCAGCTAAATCATAGTTTCTAGAAGAGGTACATTGTGACTACAGCATTTTCTTGTCAGCAATTCTATGGAAAATATTGGTTGGGAGAATGAGACTTTCCATAATTAGTAACAGCCAACATTATATTGTACTCAATACATCAGTAATGATTCCAGCCTGTGATACTTTGCTTCAATTGAATAAAATAAAATAATATTATTCTAAAGCTAACAGTACAGTATACATTACACGATGTCCAACAGGCTCACTGACAGCGTATTAAGTATGCTCGTATAATCTTATCCCACCCCCCTCCAAAAAATCTGACAAGCTTGTAATTTGAAAAAAAATCTATTGGCAAAGCTCCTGGCTTTGTTATGTTTCCCCCCCCCCAAAAAAAATTGCTAGAGCCACAGCATGCTATTAGTAAAAATCTGTCTCAGCTTGCAAGCCACTTTCTACTTGTAATGTTACCGGGTGATGTAAGGCTCATCAAGGATGCTCGAGATTTATAGTGCTTGCATAATTTTGTTAAATTAATGTATTAATAGTCAAAGAATACCTGATGAGGAAATGAATCCAGTACTAGAGTATTTAGATAAATGACATATCGACAATTTAAGCAAGTTAATAGACTATCATCTATTAGTACGAGCAATTACCACTAAATTAGACTTTCAATATACCATTATCGTAAAAACAATCTCTACAAATAATCAGGCGATAAAGCACTGCCCATCGTAGATATTGATCATTAAGTAAATACTGCGTAAAACTGATACACCAGTATCAGGATCCACATCAAACTCGCTAGAAACTCTAACATACAGTATGCGTACAGCACCTATCATGGTGCCTATCGTACATAGGATACCTTACTTAGCATAACATAACGCGTATAAGACTTTACTGGGCTAATAGACAATAAAAAGTGCCATTTAAATTGATAAAAATTTTATTTCTGATAAGATAAATTATACGAAATACAATAATGCGATACCATCATGTGCATAAAATGACAAATCAATTTGAATGTCGACACTATTTCCCAAATCATTTGGATAGAATATCGCCTTCTCAAGCAGTAAATAATTATTTACAGTTGCTATAAACTAGTTCGACATCTCGCTATTATTGCATAGGCAAAATTTTCCTTTACCTAGTATTTTGAACTATGAGGTTTTTTTCGTGGCTTATATCTATCATGGTCTCTACTGCTTTCTGAATGGGGACTTCGATCTCGATGATGACGATGATGATACGTGCGATCTCGTCTTTTGTCCACTTCGTCAGGAGAATGCTTATAACGCCGAGTAGGCACCTTATCGATAGGCCGCCCCCTACTAGATCGATTTTCAGAATATTTCCTATCGTCATTAAAACTATAATCACTGCGCTTATCTTTAGCGGAGTATCGTAAATCATTTGCGTCTTCATCAGATGAAGAATCATGCCTCCTTCGCCCTAAATTAATGTCAAGAACAATTCTTAGAAATTTTGAAAGTATTTTAAGTAATTCTGTGTACAATTTAAATATAAGATCAGCATTCAAATATGTACTCTTCATGCTATCTTTCACTTTCAAAGTCCTACCTTCACCCACACTATTTTTAACACTATGTACACCGGGATGCGAGTCAGGGTCAGAGTTTTTCCGATTATCATCATCTGAACTATGATTATGGCTAGAATGCTTTTTCTTCTTTTTCTTCTTTTCCTTTTTTTCCTTCTTTTTCTTTTTCTTCCCCCTGCATATTGGGGTAGATTATATTATCAGTATACAATCTAACTACTGCATTATACTACAGCTGTATAAAGCGCGATACTCAATTACAGTGATTTCAATTATTATAATAAGCAATAAATACAATATACTGTAGGTGAGTGTGTATATTAAACGCCTAAAACATACGCGTCCTTCGTGACCGCATCACCAGGTTCTACCACTTTCTACATAAAAATTGATATAATTGTATATTATTTCAAAAAGTCCACTATCACAAGCTAAAGTGATATCTTTGTAAAGATTACATTTGAAATTCACCTCGTAAACAGTCATATTCGACTTTCCAACACCTTTATTAGTTTCCGAATCTGGAGCCATTAAGGCAGCTCTAGCACTGTAAATGAACAATAAATCAAGGATTTTGTGAGACAAGACACTTCAAGACGAATCAAAATTTCGACGTAATATCTGTGGTTTAACCTAGAATTCCATGCTTACATCGTAATGTACAGTTGTACAGTACGCGCAAGTCGTTTGCGAGATTATAGAACAGTTCCTCATATTACCTACCTTAAAAAGCCAACTCCTTGCATGCGTTCAATATCACCATCATCTCGTTCGGTTTGGCCCCTCTTAAACAAATCAGATATTTCAGTCTTTGTTAAGTTATTGGAACGAGCGGAATTGGCATCAGTTCTACCCCTTTAATGCATATAAATACAGCATTTTACAATCTTAATTTTTCAAGACAATTATCATGATTACGGTGCCTATGCTTAAGTAAAATATGTATCTACGTATATGTAAATCTACGAGTGAAGTAGTGGGTTGCTTTAAAATGCAATTTCGAAACTAATCCATTCATATCTAACTTTAAAATAGATGATGGTTTAGTAGAGATAATCTAAAACAAGCATCACATTTGCGATAAGCCTTCACGGATTGACCAAGTGGTATATACCATATGAATAAGGATATCTTATTAATTGTAAATTTTGTATATCGAGCCTTTCACTAATGTAGTGTGTACGATATTATCACGATAGTGCTGTATACTGAGAGGTGTTTGCACAGCAGTAAGAATAGCAATATGCATAAAACTCTGCATTGTGTGTAATATAAACTATAGGAGGCCTCTATAATGTACTATATTATCACTAACGTCTTGTTTAAATAGTATGTAACAGTTCCTCCGAAAAGATTGGGATGCATTATTAGAGATGCTATAGAGATAACATATATGCATCTTGACGTAATCAAGTGATTAACTTAATATAATATATCATCGTACAACATAACGTTGAGAGCCATCGATTCTTGCTCTTTCACTGCCATCATTTCCTACAAGTAGGTAAAAAGACGTTCATTGGAATGTCGCTTGCATCGGTCATAGCTATTATTAGCTGGTCATGACACTATAACTGTAACTAGATCCTTGCTAAAATATAGTACAAAATTTTAAAGCAGAAATCAATTTGTAACATACAGCTTTACGATCAGCTTCCTTTTGTTTTTTATCTTTATTGTACCTGTAAACGATATATTTCAATATCAATGTTATTGAATTAATTGATATGAGAAAATTGTATCGAATTTATTTCTAATCTTTAATTAGGTTTCAACCTGATATACAGTATTATTGTGAAATCATAAATAGAACTAGCTTTTTCGCTTTAGGCGATTGGAGATAGTGCCTGCTTTTAGGTTTATAACATAGAGTATTTATCATAAGTATAGTAATATGTAGTATTTATTTATGAAATCATTGGCTGCAACTACGGTCATTGAGGTGGAATATCATAATGTAATGAGTAATGTTTACTACAAGCATCTATCCAAGCATGTTCACAAAATGCCAGATCAGCAAATTAAAGTATTCAATAAGCAAAATATTCTTGAATTAATGGAACTTATTCTTGAAAGTAGTATGCTAAGATCTTCAATGGGACAGCAAATCAAATCTCACCAAGTTAAGTCTTTTCCCTTTTGCCATCGACCAATAGGTGCCATAACGGAATGGCCTATCAATTTACGTACAAACACAAAAATGATTAGCTACCCGAGTTAACGCGGAAAGGAAAATTTTACAAAGGCCAATAATCATGGCATTGTAATTTGTGCTACTGATCCTTGCATGTTGATCATTGAAAAATTCTTACTAAATGATATTACACGATTGACACGCTCATACCTAGTAAGGATGTATAGTACAGTATATGAAAAGCAATCGCGTTTCAATTATCTTGGACGTTATCATGTTACTCTTCTGCATGTCCAATATGGTCTATACTGTAAGATGAAAACTGTGATGAAAGCAACTACGTTTCTTGCGACTTATAGTCTTGTAACTGCTCATGATAAGTATAAGCTTAATCTGGTAGGTGTATTACTATTACTTTAATTCATTCATTTTATTATTATTAGTGTTATTATAATATGGATGTGTTTTGTAGAGTAATCCACCATGAATTTGAAATATTATGCGTAGAATTACAATGAACAATGTAAGCTACCACAATTGAGCTATGCTATGAATTTATAACTGCCCTTAACTGCATGATCTGAAATTTGGTGTACTCATATGGATGGAAAATTGAGATTCATGCATATTGTATCATTCATTTATAATGTGATTATTCTTAATTTGTTATTGATGTTGTGTTGAATCATGCTGATATAATTGTCAGTCGATGTGATCGTTGACGGTGAGTCGTACCTAGATAATTCTCTCTATATTTATCTGCTTTAACATCATCCCAATCGAATTGATCCTTGCCTCCACGGGATCCACCTCTTGATGGCATAAACATGACTTTAATTACGTATGATCTTCAATGGCATGAAGCAATGTTGGAACCAAGGGTTAAATAGGAGTTTAGTATGAATGTCAATAATGGTTGCAATTTTGAAGAATTGGGATCCTACTCATGCAAGACGTTTTCGGTTCATGTTTCAGATGGGCCAAGTCCAGTGCAATATCAAGGACTACTACCGTAGACTAGACGAGTACTCAGTACTGTACGACTACAGCTTTACTACGGCACAGTACCGTGCTCCACTGGTACAGTACTGTACACTGTACAGTGCTTTTTATGGTCAGTCTGTCCCTGATTCTGTGTCACTCTTTACAGTACTAACTAGTGAGTGGGAGCAATGCCGTTGACACGCTTTAATAGTACACAGGGGGTATTTCGGGGGGAAACGTGCAGTACAGTACAATATTGACTTGCTAGGTCGGCAGCCATAGGCTTGTTTTGTTTGTTTTAGACCTTGATGGCTTTCTATACTTTATATAACATATGCGGTGCAGTATAAGTAGTCCGTGTCACATGATATACAAGTTTTTGTTTTTGTCCAGTGACAGGGATTACTCTTACTGCTTATTTCATGGATGAAAAGTGGAAACTAATGAAAATACATACAGTACATCTACAATTTGTAAAATTGTCCTATCCACTATTTTAGGTACGAGTAGAAAAGAAACCTTGCGATACTTGGTTCTGGTCATCCATTGTTGATAATCAACGTAAGAGGGAATATAAGCGCGTTTCCATACGCGATTTTGTCCCTTACGAAGGACGAGCGTCGGCCAATGTCAACCGTGATACTGAGACAGTGAGCCCAGACGCCCAAAGATTGGGTAGGGTGATCTGCAGTACAGTACCTGAACTGCGAGTTGTACCGTACCATATTGTACTGTACAGTATTCTACACTACTGTACAGTACAGTACTGTATAGTGAGTATACAGTACAGTGTACAGTACATTGAGCGCTGTACAATACGGTACTGTACAGTATAGTACTGTAGCCATGACACTGGCAGTCAAGGTGGAACTTACCGTGTAAGCAATCACCAAGCATGCTGTTTAATGAATACCGACTAAGCGTCTACAACACAATCCCACAGAAGAAAGACCGCACGACCAAAAGCCCACAAGCTACAGTTTATGACTCCGTCCTACTGTAGTGTACAGTACGCTGTGCAGTGTACTGTACACTACAGTTCACTGCAAGAAAGTCTGACTTTCGTCTAGTGTACGCACGCATAGAATGTCGTTTGCATTGGTCGAGTGTCACCGTCCGTAGTATGACGCTACTGGCAGTCTGTCACACGCTGCAAAATCTCCTTTTAGTGCGACTGTGTGACAATCGCCTTGCCAACTCGACGAGTCAACCTCCAGTAACACGGTCATAGCACCATATTGTGATCGGACCTGAGGACGACACCAATTACTGTACTGACGTTGTGTGGGAGGATTGCCAGTGTCCCGCTTTCAGCCTAGGCTTGAACAAATCCTTGATAGCCCAATTTCAATTCATTTTCACAGTAATGTAGGATCATTGTGGAGAATTGACGGAGGAAAAAAAAAAAATCAACCCGAGTAGACATTGACTAGCAGTCGATCTTTTTAAAATTGGTCGGTAGCGAGAGGAGGCGCTAGAGTGTGCTGCAATCGATGCTGCAAGAATAATTCTGATTACAACATTGCTCAATTGATCATTGAAACTTGTCTATCCTATCCTACTCAACTTCATACTACAAGAGTCAAACTTCAGTGGCAAGTGGTATTGTATTTTCACTAGGTTCTATCCTTGCCCGCCTTTAACAAGTTGGAATAAAATGCTCAATATTTCTCTTTAATACTATCCTATGACTGATGAAGTGATGTATATACATCGTCAAGAGTCTATCTGCTGACAAAAATCACAAAGAATCCAAGTGTTAAAGAGAGAAATTCGTCAGAAGCCATTTGCAGTCAGTCAAGCTAGCAGTGTAGCAAGCAGCGTGTCAACCTTCAACTTGATTTCAATTTGCAGTCCATTTCTATCCAATCTTGTTCAAAAATTATATTCTTGGTCAGGGATTTTCTTCCCTGCTAAATTCAATTTATTATTACACAGAGAAAAGAAAAACTCTTCCTTTCCATCATTCAACAAGGCAAAAGACTACGTGTATAATAACAACAAAAAAAAAAGATGAACAGTGAAGACGCTTGTAATATTCGTGTAGTATGCCGTGTACGTCCACTCAATTCGGCTGAAACGCATGCAGGAAGCGAATTTATTCCTAAATTTCCAAACGAAGGACAAATTGTACTATCGGTAAGTTGCCTATTCCCTCTACTATATAATCATCACACCATGGTAGTCAGACAGCGAGCGATATCAATACGCCCAATACTGCAATGGAGATTACAAACGTTACATGTCAATCTTCTTTTGACCTATACCAATGCCTAGGCCTACAGGATGACAGTAAACGAGGACGATCAATATAGTCCTTGACCAGCATTGGATTTTTACTCATGCTTCAACTACCCTACCCTCCTTGTACTGCTCCATATCCCCTTTCCATAGATCGCCATCAAATATCATGACAGTACTGTTATCACAATTCATAAGTGTTCCCTAATCGGTACACCGATAAAAATAGACATCATCAATCATCATCGATTAAATTGATGATTGATTGAACTTACAGTACACATACGGTAACCTACCTGTAGGTTAAGATTGCCCTTGCCCTTCTTTTCATGTCTTACTACTTTTAATTGAACAGAAGTTAAAATACCCTCCCAACTCCTTGATCATTGCAATTGTCATCAGTATAATTGATCTTTTTGGACATTGATTGAGCGCGATCTTACTACGTAATCAATATAATCTTGCAAGATTTTACATTCTTGATAATTTCTAGCTGTGCCACCTACACGTTGAGTTTACTTAATTAATGCTGTTGTTGTACACGATCCAATGCCAATGGACTGTACAATCTGCTGTCAGTCTGCGATCACTTTATCGAGATTGAATATCCTCTTCTACCGACAATTCATTGTAGTTGCTAAACGATATCATACTCTACGCGTACACCAATCAAAGAAGTCACAAATGATCGCTATACTGTACTGTAATAAAAAGCAAAGATTACCGCCGATTCTTCAACAAGATTGTCTTGATGTTACGAACATGACCTACCATGTGTACAACCTATACTGTGCACATGCGATGCATTAATATTCACTTTACGGGACGCTGTTGAATGTTGATGCTCCAAATTTGTAAAAGACTTCCATTTCTCATGTTCAAACACATCAGGGCCTTGTACAGTACTCTATTTTGTTGTAGTCCATTTTGGAAAATGTGACATCCATTAAACTTATCTATACGAGTACATATGGCATGGAGTAGATTGCTCTCGCATACCTTATCATTTTTTTATTCTTTTTTATTCCGTAATGATTTGGCTAAAGAATCGTATTGATCCCTCTTCAATCCCAACCGACGCTTGTATTTCCATGTCAAAAAGAAAATGATGGCAATGTAAACTGTATAGTGTACTTCGATCAAATTTTTCTTCAATTACCCAGCAAGATACTAGTTATCTTTAGCATTTATATGTAAATTGACTTACGCAATCCGTCAATTATATTTCAAAAATCACCATTAATATAAACCTACCTTAATCTCTGTTTTCTATATCAGCTTACTAAACTACAGTACTATAACTTAAGAGATATTGAAATTGGGTTGAAATGTCATCGCAGTAATTACTACTATACCTACGCCTTGTTGATGGTTTCATAACACTATGAGTATGATTTAATTACAAGATGACAACCATTAAACTTGATAAACTATGTTATATTTTACAACGTTCGTTGTAGTGTTTATCCGGGTAGAATAAAAAGTCGATCGGTAAATTTTTATGTAGCTATTTTAATAGTGTTAGGTATTACTGATTGAGCACATTTCATCAATGGGATTCATAAAAGTACGGTCATCTTTATTGACTCACTAAATATCCGGAAAAATATCCTTATCATCTTTGATATTGCATCATCCTTACTCTATCTTTTACTTTCCTTTTTGGAATAAACTATTCGACTGACTTTAGAAACTTTACGGATGATGTAATTTTTCATCCACACTTCAACTCTACGGTACATAAAACACTGTAATCGACACTAAAGGGAGAACACAATAACTAAGATTTATCTCAAGTATATAACTATTAATCCTGTCTAATCAATTATTTGTCAATGTAGTCCATAACTTTCTACTTGAAAACTGTAAAATCTTAACTACTCATCAAATAGCATAACATCTATCTTGACCTACTATATAATATTCTTTTTAGGGAAAAAGTTTTTCTTTCGATCATGTTCTTAACTCAAGTACGAATCAACAGTCAATGTATGACATTGCCGCTAAGCCAATCGTCAAAGGTACGACAATATTTCCTTGTGTACTAAATTGCTTAATAATTATGATTGTTTCCTCATCATTTATGTGTTATTTTTATATTTCACATGTAATAATAATCTCTCCTTGCGTAAGAACACAGTATAAAGTATCTAATATAGGTTTTCTGTATGTTACTGTTATGGTAAATTAGTTTTTATTTTATTTAGCTTCAAGTTGAAGCCAATCCCTTTGCTTTAGAGTATAATTACAAGATTTATTTTTCAATCTATCACGTTAGAATAGTAGATCATTCTGTACACTATATAATATATGACGATCGTTTTCTGATCGATCGATTCTGTTTATTTTGCTCCTCTATCGTTTACTCTCATCTTTTGACGACTGTACTTTGCCCGAGATTACAGTAATGACTACGCTTGTTAAGCTTGAAATTATACCCAATCCGTATGTTAACTTAGAAAAAATGAGATTTGATACACGAAAATGAAGGAACTGCTGTCGTCGATGCTAATACTATTACTAATAGCTATATAGTTTATTGCTACATATATGTTAATACTTATACAGCAAGTCAACTACAATAGAATATGCTGTTGATTAATGATAATTTCAAAAGTTATACTTTACAACTATTAAGAGATATTCCAGCTGAATATGTTTGCAGTATACGTTTACTTATCTCTTAACAATGCAACGTAGACTTGAATAAAGTATTGCACTATTATTATTCTTTCTTTATACTAAATCCTGCCCAAATAGCAATCAATAGTATTACAAGACTTATTTTCTATCAAAAATTTACTAAATCCTGTATTTCTTTGAAACCAAGTGGATACTTAAATAGTGTAATTAACGAATAAAATATTTACCGTCCATATCGTTATTGCACTTAGCCAGTGTACCTTCTAATATGAAATTAAAAGCTTTAGACTCTGTCGATTATCCAAATTATCCTCTTTTTAACATTTCCATCACCAATACAATTGATTACTTCTCAATGATAATTGATGTAAAGTTTTCATAAAAAATACGCATCAGCCAATATGATATACTGTAGATCTCTTATATTATTATACGTGTATATATTGCACTATACATATGACGCATACAAGCAAGCTAAAAAGCTATTATTTTTATTGTCTGTACTATATTATTATTTAGATGTCTTAGCTGGCTACAATGGTACCATATTTGCCTACGGCCAAACTTCTAGTGGCAAAACACATACGATGGAGGTAAGTTCTGAAAATAATTGGCCTAACTATTTAAAGTACTCTATGAATTTAGGATGAATGATATCAAAAGAAAGTCGACCACAACATTATATTTTAAAATATAAAAAAATTGACGTACTGTATAAGCTCTTGTATTATCATAGTCTAATCTACAGCATTCAGCGATTGTAGTGTTAGGATTATGCATCAATGGAAATATTTATATCCATCCTTCATACTTATTCTAACTACTGCTATAAAAATTCATTTCAATACTCGCTCTTTACTTGATGAATGAGATATAAAATTGTTTATTGCAACCGTAACAAGCGTTTTTCATGTCATGGACATTGCTTATAGGGAGTCATTGGAGATCCAGAATGGCAAGGGATTATTCCTCGTATTATTGGTGATATTTTTGCCTATATTTATACCATGGATGAAAATCTTGAATTTCATATTAAGGTTAGACTTACTGAAGCACTTATTACTCAATAAGAACTTTATGTCGACTTAACACATACCGTAAATACAGCTAAACAATTATACTAACTTGTATTCTGTGTAAAATTTTATGTTTTCATCTGGTATCTGAATGTAGGTTTCCTATTTCGAGATTTATATGGATAAAATTCGTGATCTATTAGATGGTAGTTGACTTCTATCGTCAATAACTATTGATATTGCTAATAATAAATCATTAATAGTTCATAGAAGATGTAAAGTCCTTTACTGATATGTAACTATCACTAATTGAAGATAATTCGTATTTATTTACAACAGTAACTAAAACGAATCTTGCGGTCCATGAAGATAAGAATAGAATTCCATATGTAAAGGTAATCTGCGGTATAAAATAAACTGACTTTTACCAGCAATTTTATATTGACCAATAGTTCATATTAATTCATGTATAGAATATAACGGAAAGATTCGTTTCCAGTCCAGAGGAAGTATTTGAGATTATTGACGAAGGAAAATCTAATCGCCATGTAGCTGTAACTAGTACGAAATGAAATAGCTCTTATATACCATGACGTAGAGCATTGTTATTAAGACTTTAATATTTTAAATTCCTTATTTTCTATGAAGATATGAATGAACATAGTTCCAGAAGCCATAGTATTTTTCTAATCCACATAAAGCAAGAGAATGTTGAAACTCACAAAAGTGTACATGGAAAATTATATCTCGTTGATTTAGCTGGTTCCGAAAAAGTAAGAAATAGTACATAATTTTTAGAAATTTAACTACTAAATGGAAAGCCAAATATTTTTTTGCATATATAAACTTCAACGTATACCGTAATAACAGGTTAGTAAAACAGGGGCTGAAGGTATGGTACTTGACGAAGCCAAAAATATTAACAAGTCACTTTCAGCTCTAGGAAATGTAATTTCAGCTCTTTCGGAAGCGACGGTACGTATTCAATAACTTCAAGTAAGACAAAAATATTTGTTAAATCATAATTGCGAAACTTTTAGGAATTTATCGCTGAACTATCAAAAAAGTAGATTGTGCGGTATAAAGAAATTATAAGTTCTAATAACGTTGTCTATTAATCTTCTTGCTTTGATAAAGAAATCACACGTTCCGTATCGCGATAGTAAGCTAACTAGGATTTTACAAGAAAGTCTTGGTACGCGATATTCGCTATTGTAACAAATAATAGATAATTAATTTGATGTTGAGTAACATAAAGAACGCATAAGATAGAGAAGAATTCGATTTCTGATGACCATATCTTTCATCATATCTATTAATATAGGTGGTAACGCTCGTACTACCATAATCATTTGCTGTTCTCCATCGTCTATTAATGAATCTGAAACTAAAACTACCTTACAATTTGGTGCCAGGTAATATGAAAAGATATTTTGTCGCATGAAGGGTATAATTTTAATATTGAATTAATTACAATTATGGAATCATTGGTATTTTACCATGTATTTACCGTGTCATTTTTATTAATCAGAGCTAAAACAATCAAAAATAGCGTGAAAGTGAACGAAGAATTACCAGCTGGTTAGTTTGAGTTATTTATACGTATATATGGTTAGGCGATTGAACATCAGAGATCAATTTATTAAAATTATATCTAACGCATTTTACTTATACCTATAATTCTTTTGTAACCCTCTGGCGATGCAGAGGAATGGAAGCGAAGATATGAAAAAGAACGAGAAAAATCTTCTAGAATTAAGCGCGTATTGGAAAATTATGAACTAGAATTAAAGAAATGGAGGGATGGTATGCTATTCGATTTTTTGATCATAAATTTGTGAAGTTTCGTATAGATAACTGTTATACGATATTTAAGCATTAATTCATATTATAAATAGCGCAATGGATTTTTATCTCTGATCTGTTACATATAATCCAACAAAAAATCTAGGTGAAAATGTACCGGTAAACGAACAGGCCGGAGGCAAAGACGAAGGAAAATTAACAAGCAATCATTCCACATCTAAAATAAATATTGCCGATGCATTGGGTGAAAGTGAAAGAGTCCAATTTGACGAAGAAAGAAACCGACTTTATGAACAAATTGACGAAAAAGTATATTTAAGAGAAGCTTTGATTGTTGCTTATTATGGAATATTTTAAGTAAAATATTGCTATATATTGCGTACCCAAAAATACAGTTATATAACTTTTTTATTCATAGGATGATGAACTTAATAATAGAAATACTCTTATAGAGCAGCTTAGAAGACAATTGGAGGATAAAGACGAGGTATTATATGATACCTAAAGGGACAAGTTTAGTTACATTACATCAAAGTAACGAGGTTCTCATCAAATTTTTTAGGAATTTCACTTAATAAAGAATGAAAGCACTAGGCGTCAAGCGCAAATAAACGCGTTAGAAGATGAACTACAAGACTCCAAAGACGAAGTTAAGGAAGTGTTGAACGCGTTAGAAGAGTTATATGTTAATTTTGATGAAAAGAGTCGACAATTAGAAGTAAAATCGCAAGAATACGAAAAGAATCTTGAGGAATTAATGGGCATTAAAGTATGTTATATAAGATCTGTATACTCGTTGAGGTACCGTTTATATGAACATAGTTAATCAGTAAATGACGCGACTTTTATTTAGTCTAAGTTATCAAATATGGAAGAAAACTTTGAAGAAACAAAAGATACCGAAAAGAGATACAAAAGAAGAGTTACCGAATCAATTAAGAACCTATTGCAAGATATGGTAATGTGAAGATATTAACTAGATTATATGAGGCACAATGACTTCGAGACCTCAAGTTACAGTTAGGCCATATTTCAATCAATACAAGTAACCTCATTATTTTCGCTATTTTTCAAATCAGCATGAGATTGGAGACGTTCTTCAAGACGAAGAATTAAAGGTATTGTACATAAATAGTAACTAAGTTATTGCTGTAAGGATCGAAAGCACCTATTATATATTTTTGTTTTGTAGTTAATCGACAATATTAATTGAGCTTTGATAATGTACTCTATCACAGACTGCTATTGCTAAGGACTCTGAAAAAGTATCTGATGAAGAGCTTACGTTAGCTCGCTTACATTTCGGAAAAATTAAAGGAGAATTGAAAATTCTTGTATCGGTAAACTTTACCTCTTACCTATAAGTTAATTTACAGTTAGTAATATAGTAAAATTTCGAAACGAATATTTTGTTTTATACTACGTCTTAATAAGATATACTTTATTTCTTCAGAGAAATCATACAATAGAATCGGAAAGAGCCGAACTTGAGAAGAAATTGAATGTATCTGAAGCGAACTTATCAGAAAATCAATTGCTTCTAACTGAGGCATGTTTTTAAAAATTGTAGTCCTGTAGTGATTTTGATAACTAAAGGCTATTTAAGAAACTAAAATTAACATAAAATTTATAAAACAGTATGAGGAAAAATGTAAGTCACTGTCGACTGTGGCAAAAGATTTAGAAGCTAAAAAACGAACCATGGATGAAGAAATCGATAACTTGAAAGAAGATATATCCCGTCACGAGTCTGATGGTAAGGAAGATGATGTTATGATCGATGAGATTGCTTTGCAATTACGACGATCAAAGCGAATTTTGTGTATAATATGTGCGCACATGTTATCATGTATTTACATTATATATTATTGATGGTATTGCAGTACAAATGAGAATAATGGCGTTTCAGGATAAAGAGCAAGAACAGGCGGATATATTAAAGTCAGCACAAGAGATAAAGGTTATACTCTACGTGTATATAGTAGTTTTTTGCCGACTGTAAATTATAATCAAATTTTAAACTGTCCATATTAGGATGCTGTGCAAGAAAGAATGGAACAACATAGACAAGAGCATGCCAAACAATTGGCTAAATTACGTGATGAAATTAGTGCTAAACAAGAGGATATTGCTAATCTGGAAGAGTACGTGCATCACATTGTATATTTCTCATCTGTCATACAAAAATAGATATAGCGAAATATTTATGATAACTTTTCGATATAGTACCTTACGTCAGAAAACATTAAAGCAAAACCAACTTCAACAAGAGTTTGCAAAGTTAAAAGAATCCGAATCCCAAGCTGTCGCGAAATTGCGTGATTTGAAGTATGATCTTTTCATCCCTAAAATAGAAAACATTAATATTTTTATACTTAATTATCGACAATTTTTTTAATCAAAACTATTAGCTTACAATCAGAAAAAAGAGAGCAAGCAAAAGCTGAACTTCTCAACATTGAGGAAGCTGTGGTACGTACTGTATTACAAGCTTATGCTCCCATCTAAATGTGTTATACGATGTGATATTAACTGATGTAATTTATTACTATAGTCGAAAGAACTTAAGCATTTACACAAACTACGACAGCTATTTGTAGCTGATCTGCAAAAGAAATTAAAGGTAATTCGGGTTGACTCTATATTACTTGGACCATTATGCATTTTTGTTGAAAAATTTTTTTATTTCCTATATTAAACCTTCTCCTGTTTAAGAATCGTAATGGTGATGATGACGGTGAAGAAAATATCCCCAGTGTCCATAAACAAAAGATGTCTTTTTTAGAGTCAAATTTAGATCAATTAACGAAAGTGCACAAGCAAGTTAGTCCTAAATTGGTTTCTCAGTTTAGAAATAATTCAAAATTCTATATTAAACTTTCATAGTTCATAACTCCATTCACTTTCATCTTTTAAGCTCGTGCGCGACAACGCAGAATTGAGGACAGAATTACCGAAATTAGAGAAAAGATTAAAAGCTTCGGCCGAAAGAGTAAAAGCTCTAGAGACAGCCCTAAAGCAATCTAGCGAAGCTGCTGTCAAGGAGAAGAAAAGGTACGCGATATAACCAAATTCATTGTGGTGAAAATATAGCTAAACTTTACATATCCATAAGGACTTAGGGGTATACAATGTATTATATAGATTTGAGCTTGAGATGCGTCGCCTGAAAGAAGAGCATGCCCGTGCACAGCAAGGTATGAGTAGTGATATAACCAAATGTAGCTCCGATATAAATGTCATTACGGATCAAGACGATGCTCATTTCGATAATAACGGACTAAACTTACCTTTTCCCACTATTTAACAATTCTAGCAACCATAAGCAACGTAAGAAAGACTAGCCAAGCTAATATTGGTACGTATCACATTAAGTTATGCAAAAATAAGCGATCAGGCGTAATAACTTGTTTAAATATAATCTGTTACAGTGAAGCCTATCAGACCTGGTCAATCCTATTCTACTTCATCTCAAGTTACGGTAAAAGGTGGTGGTAGCGTTAGTTATAGCTCGCAGTCTCATTTAACTCCGTCAGAAAAACCAACAAGTAATTCCGCAAGCGGCTATCAAAAAGTGCTAGATCGGCTATCAACAAAAAGCTCAGTTAGTTCACCGCCAACAAAACCTATAATGGTTAGCAGTGGTTTAAGTCCGACCAATCCTGTCAGAAAAAATACCGGTAGTGAATCGGCGTTTCAATACCCTACGGTAACAACCTCATCGCAAAGTGCCATTCAAAGGCCTCGGAAAATAAGTAACGAAAGCATATCGTTTCAACCTCCGACATCAGGAAGCGCTCGTCGTCCGATTATACAAAACCCAGATAGCTTTGGAACATTTAAGACAATTAAGAGCGATCCTCATATAAAGTAAGTAATGTATGACCTGCTATTCTTTACAGTAAATGCAGCATAATCACAATACGACTAGAGTTTGCATTCATAAAGTTCGATGTTAATACGGTCTCAACTCTATTTCAGGAAAAGCCATCATATTAGTATGAGCTCTCTGGCTACTGTTCAAACTACAAGTCCTATAACTTCTGTCAAGGCAAACAACTCTCGATCATCAACTCAACTTAATCAACTCGGAATTGGTAACAGTATAACCGTAGATCCGAATTATTTACAAACAAAGCGCGCTTCCAGTAGTAGAGTAATGTCAGCAGAAGAAATAGCTGCTATCAAGACTCGTGACCGCATCAAAACTCAAATGGGCAATCTAACATAACGTTATCCAGACGACGAGTCGGTACCTAATGTGAATCAATCTTAGATAAAATAAGCTAATTCGAATTAAATGCTTAAATGACTAAATCCGCTAATCTTGATGGTTGGTGAAGTTAATCGGCGTGTCTTGCAATGAAATATAATTACCATTATTAAATAGGAACATAATTTTTAGTCCAAGAAAATATCTGGTCTGCTTTCTTGCTTTATGATGACAATTATATCAGGCAAAAAATTGTTACTGATACCCTTGTAGGGAAAATTTTTCATTTAAATAATGCTAGAATAGCGTTCTTTGCAAATTTCATGAACTGTTGTTACTTGCGATTCATATATTCATATGTCTAAAACTTTCATTAACAAAGCGATTTAATTTATAGTGCTCAATTACTAGATATTATTTTGAAAATGGGGATAAGAGGCTGCATTTAATCCGCTGCTGCTCACAATGAAAACTTCTTTGAAGAACTTTTTTATCTTAGGGTTGTTGTTATCAATCTGACAGCACTAATCAATACTGCTTAATTCTTTATGGTTTTAAATATGTATGTATGTATGTATATATATATGTATTTATATATATAATATATATATATATATATACGTATGTAAATGTACGTTAGTGTACAGAATTTTAATATACAAGAATATTGAAAGAAATACCATTACAATGCTAGAGCTACCTAAATATATACTTACAAAGTCGCGGTTAAATATCTACGACTAGATTCTTTATTCGCTTGAGCTATTTTTTTCCTATTTTAATACTGTTTGAACAGATTTTGGGTAATTAGAAAATTCCTAGAAAACTTCAATTTTATTATAAACGCTGGTATAAGGTGTATTAAATTTGTTACTGTTAATGATTCCGTTGCTGATATCAACCGGAAGTTATTACCATATGAGCCGAAAATAATGGTAACATTATCTAGTACCTTTACTAATGTTACCATAGAAAGCTGCCCGTGATTCTCTTTAGACAGCCAATAGCAATAGGATTATGATTGCATGGCTTTGTAGAGACAAATTGATATAAATAAAAATACGCTGATTAATTTCCATGTTGATTTTAAAGGGTTATTTTACAATTTCTACAATTATTTCTGATATAATCAAATCCATATTTCCCATACTCGTACTTCCAGTCTTTATCATATTTTAATATCACTGTCGATTACAGGGTACCTTAGATTTGCCTGAATGACGTAAGTATTGCATCATGCGAACATTGATTGATACGTAAATCCAAATAAATAGCCTTTATCATTTAGTCGTTATGATTAGGTATCATACCATAGTTGAACGCAAGGGCCTCTTTGATCGTAATTGTAATAATGATCTTCGATACTTTATAATATATAGTTGCAAGATGTAGCATGCAGTGCTTTCGATTACTATTTTAATTAGTTAGTAGACCATGTACATAGATTGAATTTCAAATGTACTAATAAGGTAAATCAGTTCATTTTCGACTTTGTCATAAACTTAATCCGCAAGAATAAATTTACCCTATGATTAAATCTATCAAATTGATATCGAACAGCGCATATTGTAGAGCAATGAGCTAACATGAAGTTTCATACAGCCATAACTTTTTATTACAATATCTAAATACTATCATATCACTGTTATCAAATTTGTTACTTTACCACAATAACTTAACGACATGTTTGGTGCTATAGTTTATTATAGCCTGACTGATGATGATATCAAGTCTATATTAAGTTAAGATGTGAAAAATTGTAGCTTATAATATAGCTTAACCCTAGCGTATTAAATCAACGACATTAGCAGCCGAATCAGCTATATACTATAATCATATCATACCCGAATATGTACCATCAATTAATTATAGGAGATAAATTATTTTTTATATTTGGCGTACTAATACCATGGTAAATGTATGGGGTTAAGCAATACTGCACTGTATAAAAATGCACAAATACTTTGTTAGATTTACAGAACAAAAACATACTGTAGATGAGGATTTATGTGCAAACCGATATAAGTACCGAGAGCAACAACTTTATTTTTAATTAAAAATCATCAAACCGTATCCTAAATTGTTCTCGATTATTAATACATTGCCCTAAATCCGAGAAGTAATCGTAGCGAAAGCTATTCATGCCGTCATAGAATAATAGAACCTCCTATTCGCCACTTAGCATATCAATCTTATAGATGATTAGTAAAATTAACTTGGAGATGATATTTTCTTAAGCAACGCAACTTTAACTAATACTAGCTCATTTCGACACATTCACTCGCCAAAACATTGATAGGGTAAACGAGTATATATGTTCTTTTTATTCATTAATCTAGAGTCATTAGACACAATCTGTTCATGTTCCCCTCGATTAATACTCCTTGTTTGGCAATTAATGGCAATATAATTATGCATGCTATTATGAATTAATCCGGAGCCCTTAATAACTACTAATTAGTAATAATCCTTATTAGTAAAATTCACATTTAGTAATGACGGCGACCAAAATCCAACCGGAGTGATAACATATACAAATCTCTACATGAGGTCTTCCTTGTTATTGGCTTTCTAGCTAGCCTAATGCACATGCTTAGTATAAATAATGAATCATTTTTCATAAAAGAGTTACGTAGAATCGGTAGCGACCAATCGTGTTATTCTGGAATATTTGCCCATCTATTGAACGTCCTCCGAAAATCAATTATAATTATCGTTTTATCGATGTAAGCTAATACATAGATCTTGATATCCTAAGGATTCCTTTAACTTTATTCTTACTGATCTAAATTAATTCGTTTCAATGGATTAATTTTAAACTATGATGCAAGATTTGTTAATTTAAATCAAATAGAAATGTAAACTATTAAGATTACTACCAGGCTGCACATTAAGCCTGGTTGTGTTTCGATCTATTTTGCTTGACGATGAATTGCAAATACGAAAATCTTGCTTGATATAATCAATCATTGCCGATATTTTTATTGATTATCTTTGATCTCTCTTGATTAATTTGTAAAGAGATTTTCTTATAAATACGCAAAGTATCACGAACGAAATGTTCAACTGGTTTATTGATTAAAAATTAATTTACATCATTATATCGCTATAGCTGAAGCTAAATATCTTATTGTTCTAATGACAACATTTAGTATACACCCATAGTTATGAAGATTGAGCCAGTGATTGCTAAACTTAATCTATATACTGTAGATTTAATAAAAGAAAAAGCAATTTGCTATAATATATCCCCATTTCAAGGCCTTAACTTCACTTATTTATCGGAATAGCTATTTGTCATTTTCAAATATGGACTATAAGACTATTTGATGATGTAAACTCATAACAAAGCTAATTTTACGTTACGTTAGCTAAAAATTTGGGTATTCGTCACTATTTTACATATAAAAGACATTGATAATACTATAAAAGCTCTGGCATATTCGATAATTGGTGATTGTCTTAAGTATATAGTTCACTTCGCAATATTTATTCGAAGACTTTAATAATGTGCTCTATTAACTTTTCCCTGATATTTGCGCTTTGGATATAGATTACTATTTCGATATTATATGTAAGTGTTTCCTTTCGAAATATATGATATATGCAATAGGGAAAAAGAAGAAAGCTTCGATCAAGATTTAGACTCGCTATTGCAAAGCTTAGAAGAGTTGCAAGCGGAAACTGAGGTTGCACAGTTAGAAAGTCACAAGAGTGAAATTCATGGTGATGAAGAAACGGAAGATGATGCTTTAAAATCACTTTCAGATATCGAGAAACGCCAAGATCAGGTATTTGACTAGACCAAGTTAATGTAGTTATATAGAATGCGATTGAGATTATTTAAAGAAAAAGCAGTTGAGAAATCTAGAACTGTACGCTTTGATGGTAATGATATAGTATATTAAGAGACGGGGAGACTTAACTCACCTATATGTGGCTGGAATCTATTTAATGCTAAAATAGGAAAGAATTGTTTTCTTTTACGGCTATAAAAATTATTAAATTAAAGTGGAAATGTAATGGATGGCCATCCAAATTTTATAAGGATTAGATTAGATTTTACCCAATAATGGCTATAAGATCGCGAGACCGAGAGGGTTAACTAATATGTAGCATAAGCTCCGTTTAGTGTTACCGTATATCATAGAAGAATTATCTTTTTACGAGCATCAACTGCTATAATTCGCATCATATCTACGTAATCTAGCAGAAATGGCGGCCAGTCCAATAAAATTGCTGTAGATTTTTTACGCTGTCATAACGACAATATGCTAAAAATCGAGACGGTGAATTCATCAACAGCGTCAGTTTAGACCCTGCCAACCTTAATTTAAACCCGGAAAAATTGCTATTCTTATGCTATAGTTAGATAAAGTTATTGCAGTTAGTCTGCAATGATGATTAATGTCCATTTGCCCATTAAAAACAGATCTGGGATAGTAACCTTTGACTGTGATGAGGCATGAGAGGCTGAAAAATGTAGAAAGATCGAATATAGTAATTCTAATTTCACAACTAACAAGAACTAGATTTTAAAATTTATTTTCTATCAAAATTTCAGAAAGATTATAAACTACAGTACAAACAAATTATAACATTAATGAATCCTAATTTATAATACTTTTGCATTAAATTGAAGTTTTTCCATTCAATAAAATTATTGTGACTATCGATTCTGGATAGTTGCAAACAGGTATTTGAATTAGTTGATAATTGATATAATTCTACGCTTTTATGTCTACTGAATGATTACCACGAAAAAAATGAGGAATTGGATGTAAATGAATCACAATTTGATGGTAAGATACAACTCTATCTATATCAACATCAGTTTCTGTTCGTAAAGGCCCACAACTATTTGCACTATTATCTATAAGAATAAAATGCGATTTTTAAAATATGATTTAAATATATTTCTTTCATCATTCGGATAATCAGTTAATCTGGCTCTCAGTGATTTGGATCAAATGTTGAATGATATCGTCAACCTTCAGAGTGATATCAAACAAGATCAAATATCAAGTAATAGGCACTCATCAATATCACTAAATTATGATATACAAGAATTGCAAGCTACGACAACACAATTAATTAAAGATCAGTTAGAAGGATTTCAAACAAAATTAGATGCTAAAGAATTAGCCCAGGTAAGCCAACAAAATAGGATACTGATGCTATGATATATAGTCGATTTCAGTTCATTTACAGTTGATATCGATAGGCAGAAGAAGAGATGAGAGTTCGAGAGGAAAAAATTTGTGTTGCACTGGATAAAATTAAAGAAGCCAACGTCCAAAAGGTATTGAATTTATGCCCTTTTTTATATTAACTTTCAGCAAAGAAATAGGGATAAATTATTAGAGCTAGCTGTATAGCTACAATATTTGATATTACTTTATAGTAGATAGCCAATATCAAAAATGTATTAGATTTATGTGCTATTTCATGTTAGCTTACTCTAATAACTAATTATTTCTGATCCCTTTGCTGCATAGCTACGGCATTTCATATTACTCTACAGTAGATATTATAAAAGACCCTTATGATCTATAAATATTAATAATGGATTTATTTTCCGTAATGTAGCGAATTGTCAAGATCTACAGCGCTAATGAAAGCAGTAAAACAATTTTAATCTCCGATAAGATGACAGCGGGCGAAATTTGCTTGATTATGATGGAAAAGTGTCACGTTAAACCCGATCCTAGCTGGGTTTTAGTCGAGCATTTAACCGAGCAGAACTTGGGTAAGTTTATATCATGCAACTGCTACTAGATATTTTTCTGTGAAACTTATTGCTAAAAGTTTTACATTTTGTACCTTAGAAATTATATCTAAGAGATAGTTAGGCTTTACTGATTGCTAACTATTGAGCTAACACATAGTTATTCTCAATCTCATAAAGGCGGTAATACGTTAACATTAGCGTTTGAATAGAGCTTATCAGGAATAAAAACTTGGTACTGATAAATTTCATGTACATTTTACTAGAGAGGAATATCGAAGATCATCAAATTGTGGTTGATATAGTTAGCCTATGGCCTGTTAATTCTAACAACAAGCTTTACTTTCTGCTAAAGAGCAATAAATATGCATTATTCAAGAATCCACAGGTTTAATATTTATGCAACATAAATGTGTAGATGAAAACATATAATTACCCTAATAGCCAAGATATTAGCAAGATGCACCAGAATTTGAGATATGTTATCTCGTATACTTTATTCTATTATTTAGCTTAGAGTAATATCTATTAAGTTTTATTTCTAGCCAGTTACCAAAATAGTAATTCTAAACTGTCAATAATTGCTATATTATAGATTTTTTCAGTAATCAGATATCATGATATCTGCTATAGCTATTCTGCTTAACTTTGCAGTAGTAATGAAATATTTTGAGACTTAAGCTATTTAATACACAGAACTTTGAAAATTCAGATTACTATAATTATCGGTACTCGTGGGTATATATATATATCTGTGTGATATATGACGAGGGCTTGCTATAGATCTATAACAAATATTTAATGAAAATACCTTAAATCGTATTGTTTCTCTTTCTAGCATTACTTATTAGCCTCTGGATCCGATAAAGCTGCTGAGAAATCTGCTGAAAAAGATAAAGAAAGATTGCTCAACGTAGGTTAAATATTGTCATTATGCGATAGTTCTCAACGCTATTTAACCAAAGTTATCCAGTAATTGTTTAATTGGAATATGTGTAGCTTGACACTGTCAATACGTCGTTCAAAAATATCCGGAAATTTTTATAGCTTCCTTCAGATACGGAAAGGCTGATTTATAAGATCGACAGATACCGTACCTATTAAAAATTGATGCTGTCTTTTTAAAATAACGATCGATTCATAATAACTGAAAAAGAGATGAATTAATACATACAAAGAGCGTAATAGTATTAGATTCAAATAAGATAATTGAACTTATTTGTATAATATTTAAAATTGATATTTGGGATAGTCGCTATTTCGTAGCATAGATTTACTCGTAAAATTAACGAATTTTATTGAAAGGTAGTATTATCTAAGCAACAATTACGATTTCATTCACAGGAATTTTTCAGCAACAATCAACGCGTGCCTGATGTTGACGGACCTTTATATATCCGATCTGGTAAAAAGTCGTGGAAGAAATATCACTGCGTCTTAAGAGTTTCAGGGCTGTACATTTCTCAGTCTAAATCCAAAGTAAGTGCTATCTTTTATCCAATGTTGCTATTTATTAAATAGAAGTAGAGTTCCAGCAATAAGTTAGAAACGTTAATACAGGATTGGTTTTGCTTTTACATTCCCATATTAATATCATTCCGTTCATTATTGAAATTTAATACGTTATAACTAGAGTTTATTAGGCTCGTCTAGGAATTTGCAGTGCCTAATAAAATTCGAGAGCTATACACCTTTCATTGGGTTAAAACATCGCGAGCTTTATAACGCACCAACTGAATTTTGCATTTGCTTATGGGTAACTGTGTGATAATATTAGTTTATTTAAGCAATAAAGATCTCATTGTTTAGTAAAATTTCCGTTTTATATATAGAAATAGTCGAGAATATCCATACAATTTTTTACGTTATCATGTTTTTAGCCTAATGAGAAAAAGAAAACGGTGATTAGATTCTGTACTGAAGATTTATCATCAATGAAACTATGGTATACCGGAGTTAGAATTGCTTTAGTAAGTTATTGTAATTACTTTCAGTTTTGCCTACATGGATATTTTATTCATAAAGATCATTTATTTTATTCGATATTTCCTTCTTTAAATTGTATCATGATCATAATTATATATAATTATAGGGAGGTTTGATGCAAGGATAAATATTAATAATTATAATATTTAAAATAATAGTTTACCCTTTGCAAAGTTATTTTCAAGCAAAACAATCACAAGAGAGCAGTACTAACTCTAAATTGGCGATATTAAAACAAGATCTTCAATTTGAAAATGCGTTAAGTAAATTAAGGCAACGAAATAGCGAGAAAAAGGAGAAGTCTGAAACTATTGAAGGCTTGGTAAAATCTCAATCTCGTACTAAGAGCATCAAAAAATTAGATAGAAATCTCAGTGTAAAGGTAAATTGCTTATGATATTCAGTCAATTTTTTTAGCTCTTTCAGCCGATTAGTCCCTCGTGATAATTACTTGAATCAAATTTAGACTTATTTAACTATAACATGAGCAATTGTAGAAGACAATCTATCTAGAATACGCTTTTGGTACTTTATAATTTTTTAATATTAATGTAGAAAATAATGTATAATTAAACCTATTTAATCTACATTACAATTATCTTAAAGTTATCGGGAATGCCAATAAAGAACATGGTTGAATCGGAAGCAACACAACAGGATCTTGACGATTTATATGTAATGCCAGTAAAACGCTATAATTCACAAACTGATAAGCCATCCGTCGCAGAGAGTCATATTGCTGGTGAAGGGGAAGACCTCTTAGATTTGCCACCTCCTCCTACCTCAGCCGTGATTACCTTTGATGAACTATATGCACCACCGCCACAAATTGATCGTCAAAAATTAATTACCACCAATGTTGACGATCAAGGGGAAGAAACAGTAGTTTTGAGGAAAAAATCACTCCGAGGACTTCCACCGAAACCTCCACCAAGAATGGACTAACAAGTGTGTAATATGTTGGTAGTCACGGAATGAAATAATTATTTGTGCTAAATTATCACAAGGGACTACTGAAGTTATTTAGTTTGAATTATAAGTTTTTCAAATTAAGATTATTATCAATTTATAATGAAAAGTCATGGCACTAAAATATGGCCTTGATTTAGTGCTAGCTTATGACTCTTAAAGAAGATTAATTATCTATATCACAATTATCTACAAATTATAATCTTATCAGTGATTTTACTGGGAAAATGCAGAAATTTTTACTAAATTTTGATGATTTGTAAAATTTCATTTTATTTCTCAATTGATTGTCCTCTACGAATCAGAATATCAATTTTTCACGGAGTTTCTTAATTCCTGCTTGCTGATTTGCAATGTCTAGATAAAAAGTTCCATTTAACAATAACGAAAGAATACCACATCTATTACTAATTAACTTCCAGACCAATTTTTAGTATTTGCTAATTCTATTTAAGCAGTAAAAAATGACATTAAACATGTACATTTAGTTCATTTTGGTACGCCTATTATGTAGAGTTTCGCTATTACCTTAATAAGCTATGTGAAGTAACCACTTGAAGGATGTGAAACTGGGCTATATAACTCATTACTCCTCTAAAATACTGCGTACCAGCAGGTAGGGTTGGTATGGGCTTGCTTTCATTCATGGTCTGCAAAGCTCTGCAGCGTACTAAGATAGAAATTGGGATTATTCTAGTCTAGTTATGCTCATAAGTATATATATATGTATGTACCAATCGGTTGCCAAAGATGAATGCTGATGCATAGTATATAAGGAAATATCATGAAAGAAAAAATGAGGTTGTTGACTATAACTAGTCTCGCTCAGTTTATGGTATTGCTATATTTCCTTCGTTAGCTTCGTAGAATTACAACAATATCAATTGCAATTACTAAACTAACTATTCAACATTAATCTTAGTTTAATTCACAAGATAGACGCAACAGCTACTGAAATCAATACGAGAAAAGCATCACTAAATTTTCCTCGTTTTCCGTCCGTACCAGGAAATTATTTCAGGATTATTTTATGAATAACTACACCGGATAGATACTTTAAAGTTATCCACGACAATTCATATCTTTTACTACGTCCAGTATACTCAATTCTTTAACCTTTATTTACTATACTGTATCAAGAGCTATCTCGAGTCTATTCTGAGGACTACTGTGCTAGAAAGATATTTTTCGGAGTCATGGCATTTCCAGGTGTTTTGGGCACTTGAAGGAATGTCATCTTGTATAAGAAAGCGATAAAATTATATTGACTAGAACCTCATCTTACTGATCATCCTTACCTCTTCAGTAAATCTGGTAATATTAAGCTAATTTAATAGAACTATAGAAGTTAACCTGAAATCGAATTAGTTTTACCTAGAATAGGAATTGGCCTACGTATGCCATGAATGTTTGAAAATCTCGTGTTAAATTCCGAAATTATTTTCAGTGCTTAGTGATCTTCTCCAACGAAAGAACTTTAATGTTGTTCTATACGTTTTTAATACGTGTTTTACTATCTTTAAGATAATAAGATTCTTAATTGTATGCAAACCCTGGCAAATATCTCTATCACGTAGGTCACGTAATATATATCAATTAAGGATTACGGTGTTTTTACATTGATTAATTTTATCACTTTCTACGTATAGAATATAATACGATCGATGTAAACCTTGTTCTATACGATCATCAAGATTATCATTCTATTGGAGAGTGATAACTTTTAACTTTTAAGTTAGTTGGCTGCTAATTGGCTAATGTGTCTTGCTTCAACTATTTATTCAAGACCTAAATATTGTATTTATTGTAGTCCTGTGAAAGCTGGTATAATAGAGAATGGTTAGGTGTTAAACTTTTGAAAATATTCAACGCAACATATTGAATTGATTTTGTCATTTGATGATGATATCTGCAAAATTAATCGAACGTATGTATCAGGTATACATGGTGAATTTTTCAAATATTTTCTATGCTTGCATTTATAATTATATTATACTGCAGTATAGAATAAATCAATAATCAAGTATACAGATGTTTTCATTTCAATATTGGCGCCTCCTTTGTGATTTATCGTATATCGGCTTTGCATTTTAATTGTTAATTTTGTTTTTATTCCAGGTGGTTTTTAGCGTATTTAGCATTGATTAGCAATCAATTGCCGGCAGGATAGCAAAAATTATCAAACAGAATTAAACTATTAAACATATGACAAGAATGGATTGATAAAAATCGATTTGAATAGGATGCTGTGATAAAGCGTCTTCTCAAAAATATAACAAGAAGTACAGTTTCTTGTAAACTTCACTTAATTACATACATAAGGTTAGGTTTGGCTTATAACTGCCAATCTTAGTGTTCAGCTTATTTAGGGCTGCACTATAGATGTAGACACGTTTCCCGGTATACCAATTTATAAATGGCTCTATCAATATCTCAGAATTTGTTAATAGAGTTTTAAAGGCACTTGAATGCATAGAAATGCTCTCATTTTTACTCCTAGCATGAGCAATACAGCGTAATTAATACGTATAAAGATCTGGATAGGAATATACTCTATCGTCTTCTAGCTCGATATTGTCATCAATATGATTGAAAAATTGGGCGAGTAATTTTATTACTGATTCAGTTTGTGCAAAGCATTTACATCGTGAGACTCATAAACTCCATTGTTATTTCCATACTCTATGCAGCAATCTTATAAGATCAATGGAAATCAATTACGGCATCAGTCAATATGAATAACTATCTAAAAAGTATCCCGAGTGTTGCTTCACTCTATTCATATTAATAAACACAGAAATCAATTTACAGTCTATGTTTACTTAAAACATGTGCGTTCACTCTTCATGAACTTCATGGTTTAACATTGATGGTTTAGACGATGGCCGTACAAATCCATTTGGTGATTTCTTACGCTCGTCTGAACATACCTTAAACGTGTTTTAATGTAATGCAATCATTTTCCTGTTTCTCACATTAAATACGTAATACTAGAAAAACAGCAATGATACTCATAAACTTTACTTTAATGAAACTGTATGGTAATGAGATCAAGAAGATCCAGTAGAATACGTAATGGATTAGAGTGTGTAAAGCACGACGTCATAATTTAGCTATTTCTGTGGAGAATTGTACAATTATTGCGCTCAATACAGCATGAATAGAACAGCAGTAACTCCATTTTTGCCATTGGGTGGTTTGACGATTGTTGCTATATTCGTAGATTATATGCGCTCTCCACTGTACATGAAATATTGCATTTCATTTTTGCCATTTATCTCGAAAGGTAATGGTGGTATTGATTGGTCAAAAGGATAAATAAGTCATCTATAAAACGATTCTATGATTTTTACTAATTCTCTTCAGAATTGTATAACAGGTATTACACAGTCATGACAGTGCCCGGTATAATATTGGTTAGTGAATTTGTAAATTATGCTAACTCTACTAATATGGACAAATAAGCTATATATAAAATGATTCTATGATCTTTCATAGTTCTCCCTAGAATTGTAGTGATTGTGTTACTAAATAGGATAGAGCTTATGGCGTTACCCTTTGATCCATTATATTTATTTATTCCATTACTCTGGAATAGTGCTAATGCTTACTTTTTATTTATCCTTACGACAAATAGGTCATTATGGTAGCATCATTGAACAAAAATAGGTCACGTTGCAATGTCCAAATAGCACCGTTAAAGTCCAATTACGAGGGTGAAATCTATTTAATAAATAATTTAGTGTTAAAGAATGTCAAAAATGTCAATAAGAACTGTGCACCGGTACCACACTGTCCATACATACTAGATTAGTTGACAAAATAGTTTCAATTGGCTGCGATGACAAGAGTTAAAATTAGTTCCGTATTAAGGTCAAAGATATTTATCATACGTAATTCTTTATGAATAATTTCATCATTACTTCCAAATATCCACTTAAGAGTCAGCGTACTTTGCTCAGCAGCAAGCTTGAGTAGTACCAGAATGATCATTTCTATTTTCGGAATCTTTCCTGAACGATTTATGACCACAATAGTTCAAAACATCCTATGTTAACCACCCTGCTATATATGAACTTGAAACTTGGTTGACATTGAAAAGTTCATGTACATTGTCATTGTAAATAAAATATCGACCAACAGCTGATTATAATAATATTGTCATAGACTAGAATAAAATTTTCAAGACATAAGCTGGAAATTTTCTAGAAGTGGACAAGCCCAAAGGCAACAAGGTATTAGATACAGTAGAAAGCAAGGATTAACCTACTACTAATCAGGGAATGTTAATCAATCTCTTAGTGTATGATTTCAGCTTGGAATTTTCATAAAATGTACGGCAGTGAGTTTTATCGATAGCAGGATAAGCAGAAGCCCTTTAGGCTAAAGGATATTTTGATTAATACTACCCAAGTACTAATGGATGATTTCTAACTAGGAACTTTCACAGTGTCGAAGATGAATATTTAATCGTTTGCCTAATCAGAGTATTTTAATAAAATATCCCAAGTACTACTGTATGGTTTCCAACTTGAAATTTTTATAGTGTAGCAAGTGAGTATTGACCGTTTGGCACTTTGATTATAGTAAAATGATCTTATCTGTTGTAGGTCGAATTCTTTATATAATATGTTGTACATGAGCTTGTCGAAATTATCAGCCATCGGTTAATACTCAGTATTCGATCATTTTATGTACAGTATTATAAATTATTAGCCCATAGCTAATATGTTGCTTAAGTCAGAATTGGCCAACAATTGATCTTGTTATTTTCATGAAATGCTAACTACAGGTACTACTGTAACCTGTTATTGCCTCATTTCCAATATTTAAACTCCAAAATGTCTTGGTTATTAATAAGTCTTAATCAGTGGTTGATCACGTTATTTTAATTAAAAATGCCAGATAGTAACGCCTACAGTTCGAGATTGCTTGGCCTTTATATTTTCACCCGCTGCAGAATAAATAAAATTTTG